TTAAGACGTAGGGGGGGAAGGATGTGGCGAGAAATACTATGGTATGGTCCAGTCATGTGTCCTTGTGTCTGGATCATAGAAGAGCTTTCACTTTTACCCTGTGTTCGGCTCGGCTTTACTAATCAAAAGTAGTAATACATTTGACTTTCATGCTCTGGGCTTCCATACTGACCCAACATGGGTTATGTTTTAATTTTGTGGTCGCGTCCTAATATACTCAATTCTAGCCAGAGATCGATGATATAGTAACGTTGATTAGAGTTACCTCTACCAAAGCCTTCGAGATCAAAGGTAGAGAGATAGGGTTATCCTGTCGTGTCTATTGGTGCTACGGCGATCATGAAAATTGATTGAAGGGGTTCCAATCTATGAATATCTATGGAAGAATATCATCTTACCTCGGCACGTAACTGACGTCTTGCTGAAGCGTGGGCACTTATCATCAAGGCAGGTTTTCTATGATCCTTGGGTCTCTATTGAAAACCTACTATTTTTGCGCATGATCTGTATTGTTGGTCTGAAATAGCGAGATATTATCGGAAAGCTCAAGCTGGCCTTTGAAAGAACCATTGAATTACATGGTCGGTAGTGTTCCGGATCATTTATTCAGATTTAAAATTCTCGTCTTCCTTTCGCTCTGTAGATTCCGACACTTGCTGCAACGTGTATAAATTCCCATCTAGTCACAATACTCGCAAAGTACCTGGCATAAAGCCTAGTCCAGAAGTGGTGTAAACTTCAGCGGACAAGCCTTTATAAATAGGGCCGCCTGTTATAGTAAATTGTTTCGTGTTCCTTTTGCCGAGCTGATGTCCAGGTTCTGATTTAGCCAACGTTCAAGGTTTTATAACTTTCCGGTTCAATTTCACTTCGTCAGTTAGCTGAAATTGTGTAAAAGTATTGTTACACCCGGGTGTTCTTCCTAGGACTCTGCGACCAGTTAGCTATCTTCGTCAGATGCGACTTACCTCGATGACTAGGTTCCACTAGTGATGGACAACGAAGGGTTAACTCAAGGACCGAACACGGTGGCAACAAGTACGTAGTGCGAGTAACAATCTAAGGTAGAAATTCCAGGTCTATTGAGTAAACATACTCAGACGTTAGATATTGCGAACGAGTTGGACTGGTAACGAATCTTGAATGTAGCTGTCAACAATATGTATTCATCATGAAGAAATAAATCAAGTACATAACTGTCACTATATATTCTGCCCTATCTTGCCACTGATACGAGTCCTCCAGCGCTAAGCTCTGTCGAATCTTGCTTTATTTAATCTGTTCAGTAGATATTTAGAGAAATACTGGGTGGTTGTACGGTTCTGTTGTGAGTATAATTGTACTTTTAAACGCTTGAAGCCGATAATCAAAACCCTCGTTCCCGGATTACACTTGCCTCCTTGTTTTTCTTGCCTATATAAAATGACGCTTCCATTAGAAATATGGTAGGACGACATTGTTCTTATTTACATAAAGTCTTATATGTATACCCGTTATTGTAAATACAACTATATTAATAATTATTACTAGATCTATAGGTAGTAAGCCTACGGAATACGTTGCCGCGGTTACGATGGGAATCCAACAATCGGCAGCATAGGGCTCCCGGACCTTTGTGCATACTACCTCGTCGTTCTCGCAGTTATGTATCAGCCTGGGAAATTATTGCCTGACCCTTGAGTCATGTTCATGATATCGAAGACCTGGCGGTCGGAAAAGGACCCCTACGCTATTCACAGGCGTTACTAGATGTAGAGAAGGCAAGAATCAGTTCTTTCGTATCATTTTCTACTATTCAGGCAATGGTAAGTCTTCTCCCTTTGCGATCGTATCCTTAACATTACAAAAGTTCTATCTTTAATCCTATATCATTTTAAATCTCTTTGCAATATTTATATATTATCCTCAAAGTGGTATTTATATTTAAAGTTTTAGCCACCTGACTAAAGTGGTTTTGAATTGTAGATAACTAGCATATGTTTCATCGCAGCTATTCTTCTTATAAACATCTTTTTTTGCTATTATTTAACGTCGTCGATATCCAAAGGCAAGGATGATTATTGCTCTCAGTTCATTTTGATATTTGATATCCTAGGCTGGCTTCAACTCTACCGCTGTGCCGACCGTTCGAGGCCTTCATATCTACCTCTTGCCACAACAAGAAGTCTTAGCCACACCTGACGCAAGCTTAATGTAGCTTATCATACGACTTGTAGACAATAAGATAGATTAGTTGTCATCATGCAAGGTCAGGCATACAATAGGTTGTAGACCTCATAAAACTAGTGGTTTGACTGCCCCTTTACCATGTTTGCACAGGTAGTGGTCCGCCAATAGGCGAAGCGAAATAGAATTCTGCGAATCAGGTCAATGCGAAACCCCCTCTCTAGACCAACGTCTGGCTTAACGTTTGCGGGAAAAGCCTACTTTATAGGTTGTAATTAGCATGCTGTGGACTATTAATCCAAATACTGTTATAAAGTCCAGCTAATTCACATATATCCGAAATCAAACTTTGCTACTAATCCGGTGGGGCTCAAAATTCAGGATGTACTATGTAGTATGCTGCACTGGAAATCAACTACATTATTAGTTTCTGGTCTTTATACAAGCCTTATCTAGCATATATACACGCACAATGGCATCTCAAAATTTAGTATGACCAACCCGAATAATGATTATATTGGCGCTATCTATGCAGAATTCTAAGCATGAGTGGAAAGAGTCTAACTATACATAAACGGCACAAACAACAGCCACACGCCTCAGGCCGTCATAGTAGACTCCAAGACTTTCAAGTTCCTAAATAGTGGATTGAACACCATGGCCTGCGGCACCATCCTGTACTAGTTGAAGATGAGGGTAGTGATGGATATATTCTGTTATAAGAGGGACTATATGTTGAATATAGCTTTGAGCATTTATCTTGCTCCATTCATTCTCCCATGATACCATAGGACCTTGAGTAGCTCCGTAAAATGAGCCTCAAAAAGTCCATCCTATCTTACGCAGGCGCCATTCAATAATGCAGCCTTCGTAGAAGACCTCATCGTTTTGGTGAGTAACCCACGTACCTATATGACGGCCTGGATTTATCTAGGTCTCATCAGACCATAGTATGGCTTCCTATTGAGTAGGAGACCAGCTAGAATTCTCCTGTGCCCAGAGAACTCATTCCCACGATACCTTTCCGAAAAGGATCGAGTGATTCTTGCAACTACAATTGCTGCCGCAGCCGCAGTGCTCTGCTTACATAGATCGCCTTGGATGGGATCTTCACTATCCAGTAAAAATGTCTTCTTCAGGTTAGAATGTGGAGGCATTAATCGGGAGACATTGCTTAGTCCTTTATCAAAAGTCTGATGCCTGAGCAGGGTCAATATTGTGAGCAAGTGGCACAGGAATTATCAAAAGATTCATCAAGCAGTCCACAACCAGCATTCGGGGTCCGAAATGGACATTTGTATGACCTCGGAATTTTATTGCTGGAGCTATTGATAAATGAGCCTATAGCTTCTTTCCGCGATCCTAACAAACCTTCAGAGACGGATGATGGGATAGTGTGGCGATTGGAAAATGAGGTCTGCAGGAGAGCTGGTCCGATATGGGCTGATGTTGTTTCAAATTGCCTCCACTGTCCGTTCCAGCAAGCACCAGACCTAGAGGACGACATCTTTGCTTGCACAATATTTACGGAGTTGATCCAACCTTTGGTTGACATGATGCAGCTGCCGGGGTTATAAGGCTAAATCCGATTTTCATCTTAGCCAGATGCATTTGACGATACAGTGTATATGAACAGACGACGTATATTGGGATGGCCGATACATCATTGAGAAGCAGATATTGATAAACTAGGATTACGAAATGCAGCCATGTATTTAGTTGCAAATCCCCGCCAATCGTGTCTGTTTTTCAAGGGTCAAGTCATGCTCATATATCGCTCTTGTTTCTAGATTAACTGGATTACCACATGACCTTATATTAGACCACTTACCCTGACATGTTCATCAGAGTCGAGCTGTTATTTGATGGGCACTCACTATGCTGTCAAGGACCGACCCGTTATGTCTCTCAAACCCCTGAGCCCTCTTGTTCGCTCCCATACAAGTTGTAGAACATCGAGAACAAGCAAGGCTTTGGTTTTGTAATACGGAAACCGAAAATCGATGAATTGTGGGCAATCCTGCTGCGAGGGCTTGGCAGAGAGAAATATCGTATGTACTGTGATATTCTAGAAGACACTCTAGCTGACGTCTTCCTAGTTGATCTCTTTAAACCGGATATGTTTATCATATATATCTAGACCCAAGGGTGGGGTGGGTGGATTCATTCTCGGGCAGTGATGGGCGTATTACTAATACGCTGGAGCTGCCCAAGAACAATCGATACGATCAATACGACATGCAGAAACCACCTAAGTCTTAGGACTTAGTCCAGGAAAATTTACCACTTTATTTAGAGAAATATCTCTCCTACTGGTCCAAACCCCGAATTTCCCCAGAAGACCGTCTTGTCATGAATTGTGGTCTTAGGATTGAGAACATTGCTTAATAAACAAAACAAATCATTTTTTCTAAAGCCGTATGGTCTGCTCGTTCAGGGCCCACCATAGGGCCATGAGGGGGCCTAAGCGTATTTACTGCTCGAGCGTATTCGGGAGGAGCGTATCTTCAATCTACATCCTTACTTTCAAGGTGGGTTTGTAAGGATTAAGGGACTACTTTTTTAAGCTGCTCCGCAGCCTTTACCAAACTCTGTATAACCTTAACGATTTTTAATTTCTAATACGCCCGTCGAGAAGCTCAGCATGTCACACAGCCCCAATTCTAAATCATAAACCAATCCAGAGGTCAACGTTTAAGTATATATAGATAGAGCCCTTCCCTATATTCGGGGTAACTATCAAAGAAGAATTTATTATCTACGTATTTCACTGCATACCTTTAACGTGGCTTTGTTTTCTTTCTTTGTTTCTTTTTTGTTATTGATTAGACATCATGAAGACTTCTACACTTACTCTACTTGCTTTTGCAGCCTCTGGTCTGGCATTCCCGGATCCTGGTGGTCATGAGTTTAGTGCCCCAGGGCCGTTTGATAGTATGTACTGTAATTATCCCACGCTGACGATCTATAACTAACTTCCGCCGGCCGTTCACCATGCCCTGGCCTCAATGCCCTAGCAAACCACGGCTATCTCCCGCGCGACGGCAAGAACCTGGATTACGAAATGATCAACAAAGCTGCGCAAGCAGCATACAACTTCGAGTCGGGCTTTTATATAGACGCCGTTAATATGGTTTTCGAATTTAATATCTCCACCACAAATCGACCTAATGAAACTTTCCATCTTCGCGACCTCGCTAGGCACGATACAATTGAAGCGGACGGCTCGCTTACTCGCAACGATATTTACTTTGGAGACGATCTCCACTTCGATGCCACCGTTTGGAGTCCTGTTGCGAAGGATCTCGGGTTGGATCATGACCGATATGTTGACCGCTTCGTCACGGTCGATACGGCAGCTAAGGCTACTAAAAACCGCTATGGTCTTGCGATGAGTGCCAACCCGCAATTCAATGCTTCTGCGCTTTGGAAACAGTTTCAATACGGGACTACTGCACTTTATCTTCTGACCCTATGGGACAATGATCACAATGCTGTGCCAAAGCCATGGGTCCAAGCCTTGATGGGTATGTCAGCCTCTCCTGGCCTTGAAAATTGTCATACAGAACTAGTCACTAACCTGTAGTAGGCGAGGACCGGATTCCATATAGAGAAGGATATACGAAGGGAAATGTGACAAAAACTGGCAAGCGGCTTCAGGCCATGAACAAGGCGGTACGGGATGCAGTCGGGTTGAATTCTTGAAGAGAGCAATTGAGCTCTTGGATGTGTTTGTCTTTTATTGAGGTAGAGGTCGGCATGAATAAATATTTCTAACACCTTGAGATAGTCAAATCCTGTAAGCGGGTCTACACATGAAGGATCTCGTGGAGTGCTTGAATCTTCACCCGGGAGAAGGTGTCGAAGCTATAAGCTCATGGCAAAGAAAATTACAGTTCGTATAGGTCTGGTCATACCGCGTACTCTAATCAAGGCCCACCCTCATCCCAAGTATAAGAACCCTTCTCTCCCTGTTCTGAAGAGGCTTGAGTTATAGACGTTCACACGCTCTCGCGCCTTCAACACATTGCAACTGCATCCGATTGTTCCCTGTATCATTTTATTCAGTATGCTGTCTAGCTCAATTCGCAACGGGGGTAGCAAAGTCTGCATGCAGGGCTTTAAACTTACTGTTCCCTCTGTACTTGTGATTGCCGGCCTGGTCTTGTATATGCCGTAGATGCCCGATAAGGCCCATGTTCGGTTGGGTAAGACATTTATCCATACACCTTACAAAGTGATCTAGCCACTACTCCTCGGGTACAAGATGTAGAAGCTCTATTACCAGTTCCAAAACGAGTAGCTATAAAGCTTCCGATAAGATACAAGAACATTTTCCCTCCCCCTAATTTCCCGCTTCTTGCTAATCTCCTACTGAATATTATCTAGTAAGTCCCTCATAGTCGACTCCGTTGTTCTCTCCAAACTCTCAACCTCATTCAGTCTGTCCGTCGTGGCCTTCAGTTGCTTTTTAAAGCTGTCTTCTAGTGTTTACGGTTATTAAAGGAATGTGGCATTATAATGCCTGTTCCTTGGAGGTTTAGTGACGTTGATCTTGGTAACCCTAGTTGGTATTTTGTCTTTTGTTATAAACAGGAAATATGAAAGGAAAACACAGAGCCGAAAGGGGTTAATGATTTGACTTACCTAGGCCTAGAGCTTAGTTCACTGGAGATAGGCTCTCCCGATCTTTATCAAGTTATGGACAAGCTTCGTTATGTAGGGGCTAACTAAGCAAACCCTAGACACGTTAACTATCTATTTTCGAGGCTTTCAATAGGTAACTAGACTATGATAATGATGATACCGTCCTTTAGTTAGGGTATTTCTTGAGTAAGATGCAAGAGAGTCTAAATTGTCCTTCTGAGATAAATCCATCGCGCTATGAAAGATATGGTAATCGTAGGGCTCACGTATATATACCAAGCATCTACACATCCGAAGTTCCATTATCCTCCACTTTATCTCCTTTCTTTGGCATTCGCGGGAGTCCCAACCATAACAACAAAATCCCACCCGAGAGGCCAATGATAAAAGGCTGCAAGACCTGCACACCTCGAGCCTGCGCAATGGCACCCACTACGAAGGGCAGCACAGCAGCTCCACCTCCTCCGAATGCTGCTGCGAAACCAATAGCACTGACGTGTAATGCTCGTGGGAGCAGCTTGGTAGCGACGATAACTGCAGCTGGGAAGAAGGGGCCGAGGAAGAATCCTTGGAATGAGACTGCCACAGCTGATGCGTAGAAATTAGGCACGAGCCAGAGGATTAAGCCGCATGCTATTGCGAATAAGGAATATATCTTGTCGAAGTTGATACGTCAGCTGATGTGGTACGAGTGCAGGTATGTAGAAAACAGAAGGGAAAGGGGAAAGAGAATATAATATGTGGATACTTACAACTATGGCCAGTTTTTCTCCAATTCGCGGAGTGATGAACCCGAGTACTACTCGACCACAGGCAATGCCTAGCCAGAACCCCGTAGCAACCATACCGCTGGCAAAGTCCTGTCCATGTCGTATTCGCATCATGAACGTTACAATCCATCCGCCCAAGGCGACCTCAATCCCAACATACCCAAGGAGGAAGAATGCGCAAATCCAAGTGACCCTGGCGGATCGCCTCGTGAAGAGGGCTTGACGGAGGCCTCCGCCAGGTTCGTCCCCTTGGGGTGTAGCGTCCTGCAGTGCTGCAGCAGTGGAATCCCAAAAGACCATAAGACAGAAGGCGAGCTCGATTGCGGCACAGCCAATCTGTGTAACTGTGGCATTAGCGAGTGTGTCGTCGACAGATTTGAAATAACGACATACCATGATATAGTAGAAGTAGTACCAAGGCACTTTTGCCTCAGTAATTAACGAAGTCGCTATCAGCGGACTCAGAACTGCTCCTACACCATATAGCCCGTGTAGAAGTCCCAGGAGCTCGTTGGCATTAGCCATATTGCCAATCCAGGCGTTCCAAGCTGAGTCGGCTAATCCATTTCCAAACCCTGCAAAGATGAAGGAGACTACTAAAACTGGATATGGGGGATGAACGCAATTGACAATATATGCCAGTAAATGACATCCTGGGGAAATCCAGGCGACTCCGCGGCGACCAAGGGTTGTATGGATTTTGTTGTTGAGTAGGGCAGCCAAGGTATAGCCACCGAGTGGTGACAGGAAAACTAGAGAGACAATCGTATAAGAGAGATTATAATAGTTTTCGAGCTAGGCAATTAGTATTGGATCCAATCACACGTAGGTTTCACGCTTACATATGGAATTAAAGGCTATAAGTGTTAGCTATGGTCCGATCAGCCGGCATCTGAACTTACCCCATACGCGGCATCATTCGCTCCCATCACCAGGAAAGTCCAGAATGTAGCTAACGTCTTAAGTATGTTGGATCTGGGATGATTCCATCGTTCTTCTGCTTTGAATACTGGCTTGGCCTCTTGTGCGGACTTCTCAACAGTTGGGCTTTGCTGCGCCAGAGCACCGTCTATGGCTGGATTGTTAGTCGCCATGCTTTACGGTAACTTTTGGAGATTCAGAAATCAGGACTCGCGTCTTTAAATATGTTAACAGGACCCAGCATAGCGCTAAGCCAATTGAAGGGTAGTGGAATACAGCTTAAATTGGCCCTACAGATACTTCTTCGCTAAGTGATGTCGGTCTGACAGCGTAGGATATGATTCATGGGTCCACTACCACATTGACCAAAACTAAATCAGTCCACATCCCCACAGCGGTGTGACGAACACAGAAGAGGTGCTGGTCTTTTGTCCGTGAGACATCATATATCATATCATACATGCATTTCGTAGCACTCCTTCTTAAGACTGTGTATATTGAAAGACTTCTTTTTTTGAAGGCAAAGGCAGATTGAGCATCAATCAGCCCGAAGCACGTGGATAGGTGTTAAGGTGCAGCACTAGTAATGAAAATTGGCGTCAGGTGCGATACGTTTATCTAAACCAGCCTAGTAGGAGGGACGACCTTTGAAGTCTTCTAGACGTTAAATTCAAGTCATTGGCCTAGTTTTGTGACGGATACATGAAGATTTTGACGCCGTTTAACATGATCGGAAGTACCCATATCGGAAACTGATCGGGCTGCGGGCGGACCTTCTATTTCAGGCTTAGTGAAGTACAAACCGAGATCTAATCTTATTGGATTTTGGATACATGTACGAGATAAACTATGCCTATTGTGGAAGAACTCCCAACTCCAGATTTCCAACGCTTTGAACTACCAGATCAGTGGTGATCCATCATCCCCACCTCGCACTCCAGCTCGCACAGCAAACCCATGGCGAAGCTCCCTTGGCCCTTATGCTAATTTGTTGCTCATGTTCAATGCATCCCAGTTGATCTTTGGCCCGGTGAATTTATTCCTCCGCTCAATCCACAGCAGCATTATGAGGCAATACACTCCTACCAGGACAGCCGAACCACTATATCCACATTAGCACTCCCCAGGACGAGAATCGACATGGAAATGGATGGCAACAGGACTTACTAATTCATTGACCCTGCTGTTGCCGGTAGTTTGGTCGGGAAACAAAACAGAATCCCACTGAAAGTCAACCATACCGTGGAGAAAATATTGACTGCGTATCCCCATCGACCCAGATTAAATGAGCGCACCGGAAGCTTGTCCCGTCCTACTGTCGCCAGGATGGCCTGGGGCACGGTAAAACTGATGTTCAAAAAGAGGATCGACATGTTCACGATGCAGTTGAATGCGGTCGAACTGGCGATATAGACCAGACCGTACAGCAGACAGAACGAAACCGAGAGGAAGGTAGTGCGCACGGGGATGTTGAACTTCGGGTCGATGAAGTTCCAGTAGTGGGAGAAAGGAAGGCCGTTCTGTTTTGGTAAGCATCACACATCTTAATTGTTGGTTACGCCCAGGAACATACATCTCTAGAGAATGCCCACGCGATCCGACTCGAAGTTATCCATTGGCTTGGACCGCAGGCTGATTGATTAGTATAGTACTACACACCAAAGGGCACAGACTTACTCCAATACAGAAATGTCATGAAGGCTTGCAGCGCGGTAGCGCCCACCTTGCTTCCTGTCGCTTGATAGTAGACCTCCATGCTAGGGATGAAAGCTTTGTGAACGGCATCAATGTCCTGGATGCCGCAGAGCATCACTGTGACCCACGGTACAGCTGTCATAACACCAACCAGGACTCCGAGATTACTGCCGACAGTTAGCAGATTATCAAAATCTATCTGTGGTCAATCATACATCACGAGAGGGATCCTCCGGCCCGGCTGCGGCATCTCCTCCGCGATATGTGTGACAGCTCCGATAGCCGCATAGCAGTATTGGCCCATCGTGATGCTCAACAACCATGCTGGGGCTGTGTCCCAGCCACTGGTCCCCTGGAAGGTTGTGAGGATTTCAGGATGGTAGCGTCCCCGTCCGGCGGCGAGCACGGCTATCAAGACCAATACTAAGCCGGTTATGGACAGGGTAAAGGTAGTTTTCGTCAAGTAGTCATAACGTCTCTGGGGGACAGCGAAGACAGGAACCACTAATCAATCAGTTACCAGATCCATAATCAGACCTTGGGGCCTTACAAGTCAACGTGACCACCAACACATAACACAAGTATATCTGCCACCTCTCATGCTGAAAGTCCGGATACCAGAACACTGCTATCCCAAACGCCGAGATCCCTGTATAGATAATGCCCGATGCCGCACTCACCCACCATGCTATCACATTGGTAATACCAACTGTGTATGCGGCGAACTTCTTGTACTTCGGGGGAGCTAGGATATAGGTAAAGTGATATTGACCCTATAGGTTGTCAGCGTGGTCGAAGCATGATGAGAGCAGGATTGAACAAACCCCTGAAGATGGCAATGCAGAGCACAGCTCTGCCAGTCCGAGCAACACAATCCACTGCGCTACCGCTGCAATCATCACTCCGAAGAGAACGGTCGGGCCACCTCCATACGCCAGGGGCGTTCCGAACGTTGCTCCATAACCTAACCATGAATTGGCAATACTACCTAGGTCAGTGAACGGTACTTGATACGGCTTGTAGGGAACAGCCCAACCTGAACGACAATCCAATGGCTCCCACCCAGGAAAATGACCGCGCGAGCTCGGGCCGATGGCCCTGGGCCTGGAGGACAGCATCGTCAGGAGCAAGGCTCTCGTCGGATAGTTGTTCTACCTCGTACGGAACCTGCTTCTTGATATCTGCGGTGTCAGTCATCTTGGACTATAGTGACGGAGACTGACAAAGTCGGCTCCGAGGTATGAGGGGAAGAAAAGGGATCGGGGAGATATTAACACTACACATGTGAAATACGGTGCGTTGCACCGCATATTAAATAGCAACTACGCTGGTGTTCGGTTACTTGGCTATTCTATCGAGCAATTGCTTGGACCTCGACACACCGAGACGGGAAGCAAGGATGTGGAATGTCCAAAAGTGGAACCAACAACGTAGGGGGTGGGGAATCCAGCTTGTATGGAATGTTAACTATGAGAGCATCTTGAACGTTAATGGGACGGTTTCTTCAGGTCATCAGCCTGTTCTTTGGCCCTGTGAACATTTACAGCTCTTCCGAACCATGCATGTTACGAAACTATGATGTATATGATGCAACTCCATGCTGGCGGCTGCAGGAGAATAAATAAGCACTTGCTTCAGATTCAAACACCGGCGGTTAACGTATACTCCTCCGCCCCCTTGCATTGGAGCCTACGTTTGACTATTGCACTGGTGCTCTCCACAGTAGCAATGTCGATCAAATTGGAGATCTCATGATATACCCTCTTCCCAAGATTGACCAACTTTTTTTTGTCCTGGACAACCTCGTCGTAGCCCTACATCAAGGCCATCACATTCCACGAAACCACGATCAGCGTGCTTTCGTTTTAATCGATAAAACCAGGAGATGTAGAGGATTCAGGAAACACCGATAAGCAGCTTAATAAGTGACTTTACAAGCGCTACGATCATGGTATGTGTCTTCTAGGAAAGCCGAAGTTGCCGGCCGAGCTATCTTATTAACCTTAAGGGGAAACCCGTCGAGCTCCCAGAAGCTCTAGCTCAGCTCTCAAGTGGCCAGTGCTTCCTCCCCCTTTACCAATAAAACTCAGTTTTCGATTAGTAGCTCGCTAGCTCGCTGCCTTCATAGCTATAGCATTGCGGCTCCGCAGTAGCCAGACCTAGATCCCTCTCACATCAGCACTAACCACTGGCTTCACACGTTGAGTGGCTTGGTGGCACCATCGAATACGATCAGGAGTCTCTACTTCAATACTCGGATATAAACCCCCGAACCCCACCCGTAGATCCTCTACCGATCCTTGCGATAACAACATTCTCAGACGCCTCAGCACCCCTCGATGATGGCAGCAGCCAAGTCGTACGCAGGAAGTTGCCACTGTGGCCAAGTCAAGTACTCCTTTTCCTTATCGCCACCGATTGAGGAACAGGAGGTCGTCCAGTGTAACTGTAAGTTTAACCTGGCTATGCCTCTTCGATCTCACCGTTCGGCGATTTAAACCGAATTATGGCATGCGGCATTTGCGTCTAAATCCCCCAAACTGGGCTAATTTTATCCTGACTGACTCAGGCTCTATTTGCCGGATAAATGGCTATTTGCTTGTTTATCCGAAAATCGACGATTTTGAGTTTCCGAAGGAGGATACTGTGAAGGTTTGTTTTCTTTTCCATATTTCCTTTTCTTGCTCTTTTGTTGTTATTATTATTAATCCTCGGAATCTGTCTTGCGTCATTCGACTGGGTCATTTTATGCAGGGCATTCATAATCTGGACTAAATTTTCTTTCCTTCGCAGGCCTATCGCTTTGCGTCAGAGCAGGTCCCCCATTATTTCTGTACGAATTGTGGGACCAGTCTTTATGCGAGAAGTACTATTCCGCATCTCAGCCATATTGTGGCGCTGAATGTAATTTTCCCTCCCCTTTTTTTTTTTTTTTCTTTTTTTACCCGTTAAAAAGAGTGTGTGGTTAATGTTGGGTCTAGGTACGCACTATTCCCGATGTTGAGATTGAATCTTTGAAAATTAAGAAAATGGACGGAAAGAGTATCAAGTTTGAGAAGCAGGGTTGATTTTTGAGACGGTCATGTCTTCAATGAGACTAGTAGTATAATATATGAATGGATGGGTGGTGTTGAATGCTGTTTAGGGTTAGTGTTGTGTACATTCTTCGTTATATATTTACGCCTATTGTCGACTCAGTTGGATGTTCGGAAGGCGTTTACTTGATGGAGTTGCCATGGTAGAAGTACATATATATTTTAGTCAATGTGAACTTTTTGTATGGTATTTGAAAGCTTGTCTATGATAATTGCGAATGCATATGTGAAGTTATAAGTTATCTGTCATATGTAAATTGTCACTTATCTGCTGACAATGACGTTAAGATATGCTTCGCACACGTTAAACCCTCCTCATTTATCATCATAACTAGTGATCAGCAGGCAGGATGTATTTCTTAAACGACACATGACACCTGTCAACCATCTAGCACATGACCCTGGTAAGAACTGTTTTTCCTTATGACTCATACCCTAGGACATATACATTCCTGAGGCACTAAGGCGATCTGCGGGCTCAAAGTTTGCCTTCACGGATTTGAGTCCTATTCTACGTTGGTAACTTTATACAGCGACCGGGAACTAGTAGCTCTCCAGGTAAGATATAGTATGTGGTGGCCATCTGTCTAGGCCTGCATTTATCATTCGATCTGCAAATTAGGCTTCCTGGCTTTAGAGAATTGGTAAGCAGGAAGGAGCTTAACTATATTCTCGACAGAATGTCTACCTGTATTGGCTTAGCGGTTCGTTCCTTGATTAGTCGTACTGATCTGGATCATAAGTCCGAGACCCTACATACTAAATAAGGATATATTAGGGCACTGGATTTTGATAGTGGGTGAATGAGCCTAGTGATGCGGTTAATATAAGACAACAAGGCCTTGTAGGAACGTCAAACTACATGACGCCAAGTGTATTAACCCTGCATTACTTCACTCGATAAGTGTCAACACAACTTTTACACTCTTTGACTGTAACTTGTTTTATGACTTAGTACGAAGCCAGCCAGCTCTCACGATACTGTACTTATATTTTCAAGAGAGGTATGTGTCGCTGTTCTTGTCGTTATGGAGTATACTTCAGCAATGTTGCTTTGAACCAATATCGCCATTCACACCAACAACTTAAGTACGCTGCCGCGGCAGCAGAAGCATAGTATGGCTCCATCGCAAGGTATACGGGAGGGAAAATTGGTCACTGCGGGCTCCAAGGCAGGAGTAGAGACTGCTAATTATGGGTGTTATCGCGATTTCCATAATCGAGTTTATCTTTATACTTAGCTGGAGGGTATCATTGTAACTAGCCAAAGGAAAGTTGCACAATGGAGTAGTGTGATGTGATGATGTGATGGCTACCCATCCTGAATGTCAGCGCCCGCGTCTCCTAATAAGAACTGGCTGCTAAGTAGTATAAAGAAGTTGGCATTAAATCTCAAGCTGGAGGTGAACCGCAAAGTAACCATCATATGTATTTATCTAAGCCGATTTTAGGAGATAGATGTAAACGATGACAATGAAGAAAGACAAAAGCCACCCCGCAATAAATTCACATCTGTGTCGGTGCCTGATAAGTGTCGGATATAGCTTTAACATTCCCCCTTCGGATAAGTATGCATATGTTCAGTGAATCTCTGAGATTACTCCACCTCCACGATAAGATGAGAAAGCAATGATAACAACGACCACGAATGTGGAGAGAGAGTGGTGATTATGAATGGCACATAAGTGCTTCTACCAGGCATTAGGGCAACTATATCTCAGCCTAATTAGCGCTTGATTGGCTCGGTGTGTCTACGGAAGCCTTGGAAGATCCGAAAAGAGTTCTAGCTGCGAGTCTAACATATACCCCCCATGTGGTCTCCACTTTCGAGCAGTAGTATCGCATGAACTTTCCTATTCGGTGTCTGCAGGAACGCGGTGCATGAGGGTGAGGAGCAGTAGTGGAGTTTCAGATTTCGATGGAGCGTTTGTGGTAGACCCAGTTGGATGCCGCCAATATTCGCTGCGGACATGTCTGTGTAGCATCACTTATCTTGAGTACGCTATGTATCACCTATAGCAGAGGATATAAGCGTAGTGAGCTCGGCTCCCAGGAGGAAGTAGCATCCATATGGATGCAGCACGTTATGGTATAAATCTCGGCGTATATGACACCGAACACAGTGGCGGCTTGCTCGGGCAACAGGTCCAATTGACTTTCTGCAATATTCGTGGTTGATCTGTTACTATTTTGATGTTCATCTTACTTTAGTTCAAATAAGGCTTGGCCACATCGTTACGTGCTTGGCGCATGATAGCATCAACTCGTTCCAGTAGCATTCGAGGGCGGCCCAATTCCGAGGAAGAACTATTCGATCAAATCCGTGGAAATCGCTTCATATCCTTTCCTTGTAGGGTAGGAGGAGACGATTTCTGCAGACACTGACCTCCACAAGAAACTGTAAATCTGACAAGAGACCATGCTGGTAAATCAAAAGAATTGGAGTCTTTGAGCCAGATGGCTACCCCATACGCTATATCCCAGCCATGAGCCGTTAATACTAAACCTGGCCGGCCAGACCCCCATGGGCATCAAGACATCGGTGACAAGTGGATCGACAAGCCATATTTTTGGTTGCCTGGAGCTTCCCCGCATTTCCAGTGCCCCTTCCCAGACGGATGTCGGTTATGATCAAGGTTCAGCCTAAGATAGGCTACTAATGTAAGATGAGTCCGTGCCGATCTTACTGGGAGAATGCGACAGTGTCATACACAGGCTGGCCACGAGGACAAGAAACTCTCGGTGTCTGACGTTCTCACCTGCGTTTTAACGCCACCAAGTCAAGATACGTTGGTATTCGCATTCTCTTTGTGTTATCGCGCGGGCAGGAGATAGTGGACGGATCGACAATCAGGGCTTATCACGTTCCGCATAGACTTTCCTAATCGGGACGTGGCGAAGTTGTTTTAGTTGATTGACTTTAGGAGAGCTGATACCAAATCGTACATGTTCGGTATGTATGCAGAGTGGCTATCCCGGTGCGGCTGAGGACAGCTGAATGCATGGATGCATAGACACAACCCGTGTCTGTGGAAAGGACAAAGAGCGCATCCGATAACATACGTGTTGTATAGGAATGTCTTGGGAGCGAGTGGCGTGGAATATTCCCTCGCACAGCTATCCTTGTTCTTGTAGTAGGAGAAGTAGAAGATGTAACCGTGATACTGGGAGACGAACTATGGCTCCAATGCTGAAAGGCCAGCAAAACAGCGCCATCCCCACTTAGGATGTCCTGCCGAGTTTAACACAAAAAAAAACCCCGCAAACTTTTTACGGCCCGGAAAAATTAAGGCAAAAAAAAAAAAAAAAAGAGTGCCCAACGTCACGATTTCCAAGCCGCGAACTTATCATTATTGCCTATCAGTGACTGAGGAAGATCGCTACCATGACCAATTCCACTGATTAAACTCTTCTCGATAATTATCTGCAACTAATCTTCCCCGAGTGAGGGGGTGCGAAAACGTCCGGGGACTAAAGTAGAGGCAGAGCTTCTTCCTCCTTGCTTTCCCCCCCCCTCTCCGTGTATAGGCTGCCCGGGTTTGATATATGAATGAACCCCCGGCGTCAGCTCCTTGGAAAATTTTCCCTCCAGAAAAAAAGTACGCGCAGAAAATGGACAGTAGGGTACACCACTTGCCCATCGAATCAACTCGTCCACCCCTTGGCTGAACTCTCATCATCTTGTCATACGTGATTACATCTCCGTATGGACCTGGAATCCAACTCCCAGCCCCTTAAACCACACTTGGTTGATCAAAGTGTGCAAGATGCTCACGATCTCGCGGCGATGGGCCATGACCAGGCCCTGACGCGCAAATTCGACATGTGGAGCATGTTAGCCTTGGCATTTTGCGTCCTAGGTATGGACGACCTTCGTTGCATAGGGAATGACCGACCGTGATTGACAAAATGTCTAGGAACATATTCAACTTTTGCGCAGGATCTCAGCAGCGGGTTGACCAACGGCGGCGCTGTTACTATCCTGTGGGGTCTGGTTCTGGTCACAGCATGTAACCTCTGTGTCGCCGTATCTCTTGGCGAGCTCGCCAGCAGCATGCCGACCGCGCTGGGTCAGGCGTACTGGGTGTTTCGACTATGGGAAACCCCTTCGGGTCGCTTTGCTTCGTACATGTGCGCGTGGATCAACACCTTCGGCTGGTGGACGTTGACCGCATCACAAGTCGCCTTCATGACCGAGTTTCTTCTGGGCATGAAGGTCATGTTCGAGCCGACGTGGGAAGGGGCCGGGACCGGGTGGCTGGAATTCCTCGTCTACATCGGCTGTGTGCTTCTCTTGACCGTGATCAACGTGGTCGGGTGCCGGAGGGAGAAAATCCTCCCCTGGATCAATAACTTCGTCGGAGTTTGGTTCACCGCGTTATTCGTCATCCTGTCACTGGCGTTGCTTATCTCGGTCGGAGTGAAGAAGGATCTATCGTTTCAACCCGCATCCTTCGTATTCGGCAAATGGATGAACCAGACCGGTTGGAGCGATGGTGTCGTGTGGTTTACGGGCCTCGTTCAGGCCGCATACGGTCTGACGGCTTTCGACGCGGTCATTCACATGGTGGAAGAAATTCCTGCACCCCGAAAGAACGCCCCTAGAGTTATTTGGCTGGCTGTGCTCCTTGGCGCCGTCACCGGTTTTATCTTCATGGTCGTCTGTCTCTTCTGTATCCAAGACGTGGATCGGGTGGTCGACTCCCCCAGCGGACTACCTTTCATTGAATTGATGCTCGAGACGATCGGATTAAAGGGCGGCGCGACATTGATCGCATTATTCATCTTCAACGGCCTGGGACAAGGTGTCAGTGTCTTAACGACCGCATCTCGACTGACATGGGGATTTGCGCGCGACGGCGGGTTACCCTGGAGCGGATACCTCAGCCACGTGGACCCGGTGTGGAAAGTGCCGGCGCGGTCACTCTGGTTCCAGGGCGTTTTGATCGCGCTGGTCGGAATCCTGTATCTTTTCGCCAATACGGTGCTCGAGGCCATTCTCAGTGTGAGCACCATCGCCCTCACGATCTCCTATGGTATGCCCATCGCCGCTCTCCTCGTCGTCGGACGGGATAAACTGCCACCGGGCCAGTTCAATCTCGGGCAATGGGGCAAGCCTTTGAACTGGATCAGCATTATCTACTGTGCCGTTACGACGGTATTCTTCTTCTTCCCTGGTTCACCCAATCCACCGGCGGGTGATATGAACTACGCCATTGCCGTCTTTGGAGTAATGCTGGTGGTGGCTGTCAGCTTCTGGTTCATTCAGGGAAGTCGCACCTACTTGAAGACAGAGGATGCCATTGCGCAGATGATTGTGGCGCAACGTTTGGAGAATGAGGGCACGGATGAGCCGGATTCGAAGAAGAAATAGACCGATTGGTGAAATGCTGGGAATACGTGTGGTCGTTCCATATAAACTACACCTTCATGTCAGGCATCTAGTATACTTAGCGTGAACGGAATATATTAGGTTTTTCTTATCTGTGTTTGGCAACCATGACAATAATCTAGCTTAATCAGCTACCCGGTACTACTCGTGTTTCTCGGCCTCTGAAGGTTGAACCCTACTCCTACGATAGGGGAGTTCCCACTAGTTCTACAGTGCACCATGCAGATCGTGCTTAGTCTCAGCTACCAAAATAACTGGGCCATATGCTGAATAATATTCGTTAGCCCCTAATGCAGTGCATCCAATACGGACGATGTTGTATGTGGGTTTAGGAGGTTGTTTTATAAGGGTCTTCTCTATCCCTGGCCCATAACAGACTAGCCTTGATTTTACTCCTTTTATACTCGTCAGTGTCGTTACTAGGGCTCCTCCGGAGCAACTAAGGCTAGATCAATGATGCTCATCCGGAATACAAGCTGTCAGTACACTATATTATCAACCTTAGCTTTGTACAACAGATAAACATCCAAATACGCTCTTTGTTCCTCTCAAATTACCTATACAGAAGCTCCCAGCCCATTGAGACTGTGCGTCGTCTCTTCACTTACTGACCCATCTCAAGCGTGCTGATCATCCTAGTGTAGTCGAGTTGAATAGCCCTTTGTCCTTCTAATAGTAGCAGGGGCTAAACAATTCCTTCAGTTGGCTTGTCATATCATTGCTTGCTTTTATTATAGGCACATAAGGCATACCTGCTCTGTATAATGAATAAAAGAAGCGTAGTGGGTAAAGGGAAACTCAAGAGAACAAAAAGGGCATCTACTACTAGCCATGTCCAGCTGTTACCAGCAGGCGACACGCTAAACGCTAATATCGGAGCCACTGTGGATTTAGACATATACCCAAGCCTCAGATATACATCTTCCTAAGGCAGTTGACAAGGAACCTGAGCCATGAAATCAATCCTGCAGAACATCCATAAACACAAAAGTGACCTACATACACTCAGGGCAAAGCTCCACCACAGCCCTACCCATCACTCTCAGAATACCACAGTCTCCACCCGACACAATGCTTGGCCTTTATCTACTCCGTACAATATAAGCAATTCCATCTCTCCATACCGAGCAAACGCCCATCTGGAAAACGTCACGACCAAAACTCCCCAGCCATTGACTCAACCCCGCATCCCATCATGACAAAGAAAAACAATCTGCCACACAAACAAACCGTCAAATACGAGACCCTAAAATAAACGAACAAACACTATACTCATTCGGTATTAGGATCTTCATAAGTGGCCCCAATATTGAGGATCAATGGACCCGTGCCAAGATCGAATACGAGATATCCAAGCATGCTGCTGAAGGTAAGGCACGTTGAGGCTGAAGGGCAGACAGAATTTAAATACTACATTGTTGGATGCTGGGAAAAATTTTCCCCCGTTCTTTTTTTTTTGGTTTATTGTTCTTAGTCTTGGTTGTTTGTATACCGTGATTACGGGTTTCACATAGTTGGATCGATCTGACATAAAATAATGTATTTCGCTAATTCCCTATCGTTCTTCCTGGCTTCGGCCACGTTCTACAACCAATGCGCCGCTGCGCAAGTAGAACAAGACCAAGTGCAGGCACTCAGGGCCCCGATCCTGGCTAGTAGGGAGTTCACGCCTATTGAGGAGGCCGGGCTGGAGAGAAGAGCTACATGTCCTGATGGAGGACAGTGTTTTCTCGGTCAATGCTGTGGGACTGGATGTTCGCCGAATTGTTGTGCGCATGATGACGGGGGAAGTAAGTTATACTTCCAGTTTCTTCAAGTCATATCTCCCTTTCGGTCTTCTGCTCGAATCTCTCTTCTCGACTGAGTGGATATTGATGAAATGATACTAATGAATCCAAACAAGTTGGCTGTAATCTCGCAGAACGCTGCCAATTCCAAGGCAATGTCTTTGTTGGATGTTGTAATGGGTTTATCGGGTATCTTTTCCCCTTCTCTCGCTTCCCTCTATATCCTATATGTTGATCCAAAACTAAAAACATACAGACGCTGCACCGGCGAAGCAACAAGAATAACAGTCCACTCCCCAGTCGACAGCACGATGTTTAACACCGGCGCCCCTGCAACCTCAGACGCAACTACAACCTCAACCACATCCACAACGACCAGATCCACGCGCACCACGACCTCCACCGAATCCACCGCTACTTCTGCTTCAGATGAGGATTCAAGCTCAAGTTCAAGCTCAGATTCAACTTCTAGGTCTGTGGCCTCGCGGACGACATCTGCGGTGGAAACTCGGTCTACGTCCGGTTCCAGCTCTAGTTCGCGATCCAGTTCGAGCTCTGCAAGTGAAAACGATAGTGTTGGTACGATGACTGCTTCATCTACGAGGTTTGCGCAGGGTGGTGGAGAGACGGGGTCTGTTAATGCTGCGCCTGTGGTTACGGGTTATGTGGGGTTGGAGATGGGGGCTGTTGCTGTTGGGGCTTTGTTGGTTCTATAGGTGTCGGTTTCTCGAGTGTAATGATTGAATGGACTGGGGAACGGGGGATTTGGATTTGGTGGTAATGAGCGATGATTGATTGTGGTTGTTGATGGGTTGTGTTTCATGACAGGGGGGGGGCAATCTTGGTAATAGAGGTCTGTCTATGTCCATTTTTATTCCACCAAGCGCCTAATCAGCTACGTTGAAAACGGCGGCGCCAAAGGCTACAAAGATATGCTAGAGGCCATACGCGAGGAATTTGGCAGGTTGGGCATGTATTAGATATGTCTGCTCCCAAGCCAGCAGTTGACCTAATCGCTATGCACTGGTGTTCCGTATCGTTCCAAGGAAATTAAGGTACAACTCGGCCATTATGCCGCTGTGACCAGACCCAGACCTTCTTACTGGCTGGAAATTTTCTTCGTCGTCATTAATTTGCTGGAAAACTAGCCAATGGAGCTACATTGTTGACGGAATGCCTTGCCCAATCATGAACAGCGCCATCGGTTGAAGCGCTCAGACACTTTTGCCCAACGAGGCTGACTGATTAGAGAAATTGTCAGCAAGATGAGGCATAACTGCTCGAAGGTAACAATAATTACAGAGGCTTAGTTCCCTAGGCACCGCTGTTCACGAGTGCTAATTCCTTTTGTCTCTTTCATACTATTACCAAGATGGAGACACGACAACAAGCTCAACGCCATCAATACACCATCGGTTGGGTAAGCGCCCTCCCCATTGAACTTGCCGCCGCAGAGGCAATGCTGGATGAAAAGCATGAAACTCCGCCTCAAAATGCCAGTGACACCAATATCTACACACTTGGGCGGGTCGGCAAACATAACGTGGTCATCGCATGCCTACCGGACAGTCAAATGGGTACGAAATCAGCCGCGGTGGTTGCAACGCAGATGAGATCTACGTTTCCGACGATTGTATTTACCCTTATGGTTGGTATTGGGGGAGGTGTTCCACAAGCGACTTTGGATATACGTCTTGGAGATGTTGTGGTCGGTCACCCGAGTGGTTCACATGGTGGAGTAATACAATATGACTTTGGAAAAGCAACGAATACCGGATTTCAGCGGACAGGCTTTTTAAACACTCCCCCAACAATATTGCTGAATGCCATAGCGCGGCTCAAGGCAAACCACATTGGCGAACAACCTAGTTTTCGGAAGGATGTCTCCAAGCTGAACAGGATAGACACATTCAACCGCGAGGTGGCAGGCCCAGACTATCTATTCAGTGCCGACTATGATCATATTAGCGGAGATACGTGTGAACGGTGCGATAGAAAAATGTTGGTGGAACGGACGCAACGTGACCAAGAAGCCATGATTCATTACGGTACCATCGCATCAGGGAACCAGGTCATGAGGAATGCTCTTGAGAGAGACAGAATTAGCTCCGAGCTCGATGGGGCTCTCTGCTTCGATATGGAAGCAGCCGGCCTGATGAATGACTTTCAATGCCTTGTCATCCGCGGTATCAGCGACTATGCAGATTCGCATAAAAATAAAAGATGGCAGGGATATGCTGCGGGAACAGCAGCAGCGTACGCAAAAGAGTTGCTCGCAGTCCTTCCGACCATAAATGTTAAAACGTCGTCAGCCCTTGAAATCATCAGTTGTCATGATGGTCATCTGGTCCAGGGAATTGTTGAAAAAAGCCGTGAAGCGATCAGTCGATCAAATGAGGAGATACGCAAAAGCCAGCGACAACGTGGTAGTCGATCCGAACGAGTTGAGATTGTACACGATGGTATTATAAGTTCACGCGATCATTTCTTCACTCTCCTCGGCACACTATTTCCGCTTGCCAGTCTTCTCATGGCCGCATATCAGATGTATCAGGATGCTCTCCTAGCTGGTAGGCGGAACTTAATCAGTATGGAGCAAGAGTCAGAGGGTTCGATCCAAGCTCTCTCTAGAACACAGAAGGAAGTTGAGAAAATAAGGACGGCTATAGATCTAGAGACTGGTCAAATAGGAAAGGAGGAGGCCAGAGATACCCACCACTCGGATGACCCTACTGGGGCGGAGGCTAATAAGAGTGAGGACCATTTCCACCGAACCGAAGAAATGAAGCTCGTTGATATTTATTCCCAATACCAAGAGAACGGAATACTCCATACTCTAACGGACAGTTTGTCAGAGAAGGCAGAGCAAGATCGTCTCGAGGCAAGCCTGGAGACCACGGCGCTTGTTGCACACAACCATTACCAGAATGCTGGTATAAATGCATCTAACCCTAACATGGAAGTCCTCAAACGAGAAAGAGATCACTTGACCGAGACTATAGAACGTCTCAAATCTGAGAAAAGGGCTGCGGAAGACGACCAAAAAACCTTGAGAAAACGGTATTCGGAGATAGAACGAGAAAATGAAAAACTCAAACAAGAGAAAGCAAGGCGCGAAGAAAGTGGTTGGTGGTGTGTGATCCTTTAAACAGCGCCTTTCCAAGTGGAATACCACGGCCTTTATGGCAGAACGCAGTATCTATTAGTCCACTCCCTTTCAGATGAAGCGTGTGATATATCTGCCAGCTCCATTAAATATCCACATTCAGACCCTGCGCATACACATGAGACCAGCCCAGGTGGAGATGTTCTCTCGACAATGAGGCTGAGTATTGTTCGGCCATTCCTAGCTTGGAAGGTTACTTAGATCGTCACTGAGTTAACTAATGCAGGGTCACACCACTAATGTGTTGTCAGCTTGGTGAGACTGAGTTCGACCATGTGCTGTACCCCGTACTTTAACCTCACGTAAGCGGGCAACCTTAATTGGATTGTAGTCATGTATGAACAGTTGTATTGAATATAAGACACATTGTACATAGTGGTATCTGTTATATCTATATAAAACAAATCTTTAGTTGGCAAGGGCAAGCTCCTTGAGCTGGGCGAAGTCGGGAGTTCCGAGACCCGTGACGGGATCCCAGCCCTGAGTAGCGTTCCAGCTAGCAAAAGGCACGACGGGACCGCCGTCAGGGGCGCCGCCGAAGCGAGCGCGACCGGTGCAGCCAACGCTAGCGCCGAGGGTGATGTCTTGCAGACCCTGGCGGCCAGTCTTGTACAACCAGGGGTTCAGGAAGCCGAGAGTGGGCTTGCCCGCGCGGAGACGGGCATCGTTGAGGAGAGCGACGATAGCGCTGAAGGCCGGGGCGGAGGCGGAGGTACCATCGAACTCGCCCAAGGTGCCCTTGTCGTAGACGGCGAAGTTCATGCCCTGGGCCGCGACGTCGGGGAAGGCACGGCCGGAGGCGTTGAACAGACCCTGGAATGCATCACCGATCGTCTCCAGGTAGCTGCTCACAGCCTCCTCCTGCCACTCGGGACGGGCCCAGTAGTCGGAGAAACCGCCCGAGGAGAAGTAGGTGGCCCGCTCGGGGGTGGTCTTGTAGGTGGCGCCGACGGAGGTGACCCAGGGACAAGCGGCGGGGAACTGGGGAGGGAAGTGAGTCCGGTTGGTACCGTCGTTGGTCAGGCAGCCCTCGCCAACACCGGAGTCACCGGAGGAGAAGAGAACGGAGACACCGCGGCTGCCGAGCTGAGCGATCAGGTTGCAAACGGTGCGAGCGTACTTCTCGGGGATTTCCTAGATATCATTTAGTATGTGTTTCTCGAGTCCACGGGAGTGGGAAGTCGCATACCTGTTCGTTCTCTCCGTAGGAGGTCGAGATGACCTGGGGCAGGTGCTCCTGGTCGAGCTTCAGCACATTCTGGAAGAACTCAAGGTACGGCTCGTTGCTGTTGGCGTTGGGATCCGGCTGGGTGAGATCAGGGACGAGGGGGCCACGGCCTCCGGTGCTGAATTCCGTCACGGGCAATGGGGCGCTGACACCGAGAATGTATTGCAGATCCAAGTTGGCCTCACCGCTATCGGACGAGGAGTTCTGATCATTGAGACCACCGTTGTAGGTGACAACGGAGAAGTTCTGACCTTTCGCCCAGGGAGCAAGGTAATTCTCAAAGTTCTCCAGATCAGCATACCGCGCGTACTCCTCCAGATAGCTGGCGAAGGCAATCTTGCTGCCCGAGTTTGCATCCGCCTGGTAATCACCAATGTTGTAAAGCTCCTTCAGACAGGTGGGGGTAATGATGGAATCACAGTGCGAAATGTTCTTGGCAACGACCGCGGCAGCAAGGGCGGTCACGTCCAACTGGGAGGGCTTGCTGTGCGTGACGATCTTCTTGGGGTTAATCTTTCCGAAACGGGTGGTGGGTTGGATTGTGTTGACGTGAGAGGCGACCGATTCGGGGACGTCGTACTGCAGTGTTCGGAGGCGGCGGATATGCTTCACATCGCTGACGTACCATTTGAATTGGGCATTCAACAGTTTATTGGCGGTGTCGACGGTGGTACAGAAGTTGATCCAGTCAGCATCCTGTCGAACGTCGGTCACGCCGCCGTTTTCGAGCCACTGTCGAACGGCATCAACGGTCTCATCCCTGGGGAGAAGCATGCGCTTCATCTCGTCGTGGGTGGTGAAGTGCTGGCCGTAGTTAGGGTGGTCGGGATCGGACATCTCGTAGACCTTCTTTTCGAAGCCAGCAGCATCCTTCTGCGCCAGAGCGATCTTCAGGCAAAGCGACGTGTTGCCTTCAGGGGTACTAGAATAGTGCCATCCTAGCAAGCAATTAGTATTGACCGACTACCGATAGAATTCATGCATATTCAATCATAAGACGGACCAAGGGGCGCATACCCTTTGGAACGGCAGAGAGTTTCTCAAAAGCCTCCCCTGCGGCAGAAGAGCTGAGCAGTGAAAGCACTGCGAGCGAAAGCGCTCCACGGCTGAAGAACATAATGAATTGCAACTGATGGCGGACAATGGTTGTAGAGGGGAAAAGACGAAGGAGAAGAATGTGGAGAGTATTTATTTTCAGATTCAACGACCAGCCCTTCGCGTGATGGTTATCGATAGTGCACTGTCATCGCTTGCAGCTGACACTGCATACCATTGAGCAATCAATGAATCCACCGGACGTCCGTCGGGAACCTCCCTCGCCGGTCCAGCATGATTGGGCTGACCCTTTGGGATCCAGCCAAGCCCGCATTGCATAGTTACATGGTGCGCAGGAGGAATCGAGCACCCTAGCTTATCACAATGCAAGGTGAGATGCGATCGTCAGGGGATGTGGAGACCACTATTCTCATTCGGGATGCGACACCGAATCGGCCAAGACGATAATCAGGCTGCCATTTTCGGAGTGCATCGTATGTACATATGTCACCGAAGACATGCATGTCTCTTCGATTCGATATCGGTCCCGCGTGTCACTCATGGAGATTTTGACGTTTGTGTCCGTGGTTGAATGTTTCCTCCTTCGGGTCTTTTTTCTGATTCGTTTTGTCCGTTTTGCGTTGTTTGTTTGTCTAGTTTGCATGCCAAGAACCACGTGAATCACAACAAAAAACATTTTATTTCGGACTTGCTGACTGTACTCGTCCATATTCGGTTTGTCAACTCGTATCTGCTGACTATAAATACAACATACCAGAGATCAATATCTTTTCTTGTCGGTGACTTCGTGTTCAACCCCCTTCACTCCCCTTCCCCCACAACTGTACCACCACTTCTTGGCTGAATGTAACCTGAATTGCAATCCTCCCCATTATTCAGACTCGGCGAGAGACTAACCGCGTCCCCGCTATGCTTCTTCGGTACAAGCACCGCCTAACCAACGCTTCTTCTCCGCCGAGAGAAACCTGCCCTATCAATTGATATTAATTGGAGTCCGCGATATCAGGATTGCCACCTCTCTATCATGAAGGCGTGATACCATTAGGTAATTATTATACCAGTCAGTGAGTAAGAGTGGAGTGTCGAGTACACCGCCCGATATGCCAGGAAGAATGAAAGAATGTTGCGCAACGTCCATACCTTGGCGGAGGTCCAAACCCTACAGGGAAGGGAGAGAAGAACTTAATCTCACCGCTGCTGACGAACCGGTCTGACGATCTTTACCTGGACGACTGGGATTTGTATACGGTGTATGTGCCAAATTATTTATCCATTGGCAATAATCCTTGAAGGAGAGATTGTGCGACCCGGGTTCTCACTGTTGTTGTCGCTTGATGGGAACTGTGGAGCTCCAATTGGGGGTTGGGAAGTTGGAACAAATAGATAACGGAAACCTTTCCGTGGCTTAATTACCATGGAGACGCTGTGAAGCGGGGTGTCACCACCTACCTTGCCGAACTTTTGATTTCCAATCTTTGATTCTTGATTTCAACTTCCTTGGCTTGAGAGGTAGGCTCAATAATAGGAAACATTATGCATTATGCAATGGCGCCATAGCGGCGGAAAGGAAGCACTGCCATGTTCCTACTCGGCCGAACTCGAAACTTGATTACATCCAGCATGGCAGTCGATATATATATATTTGCACCTTGACAGCACCAACCCTACACTATTATAATAGCATATTATTTACGCAGATAATATAAAAACCTGTAATTTACGTTTAACATTAAATACATATTCCTCATTTAATATTATTGAGTGTGCCGGATATCCTCATCAACGCTTCTCAATTAAGTATTAGTATAATAGGCTCGGAGTCCGAGTACATGTTTGAGAGGATAAAATCAACCAATGTGGTTGACTTCAAGCAAGGTGAATTAGATACATTCAAATTGTCTAAATGTCCTCAAAGAGAATATTTACCCCCTTTGTCCACTGTATTGGTCATACATCCTCGGGGGAACTTGTTGATGAGCTCTTGCGGGGAGTGAGAGGATACTCAATCGTCGAGTACAAGGCTGAGTAACCGTTGAAGTTAACTCGCTTCTTGGTGCTGACAGGAAGCATGGTTATATAAGAAACCGAGCGGGTAACGAACTAACGAGTGAGTAGTAGTAAGGACATACCTGATGACATAACATAGCCCCTTGTTATGTACATGCTTCGCCCCGAAGTTGCATGCTGACTGATAACTGATAACTCTCTTTCGAAACACGTTGGTATGTGGGGTCATGCCCCGGCTTACCTTCCTGGCGGCCGCGCCAATCCCAACAATCATCTTATGGCATGAGCAAAAAAAGTGATAGTTAACTCGAAAACCAACGTAAATACGTAATATAGCGCAGCGTCAGGCTTCTTCAGCCTCGATGCCTTCCGCAAATAATTCAATCTGACCCTAGTTGGTCAACTCACGAAGACAGTCCAGTGCCAATCGGATGTGGGCTGTGCCCTTGTTCTCCTGCTGGATTCGATCTCGCTTTAGGGGACCTTTTGCTGGAGGTCCTGTTCCAACTCAAGTTTTTTGTACTTTGTAGGGGGACAGACAGTGCTTAGAAAATGCTGAATAATCTCGATCTCTCCCGGCTGAATGACCTCTCTTTCTTGTTGGTTAGTTGTACCCTGTCGTTGATTGGAATAACCCTCAAAGCTTCGAATGATCTGTAGTAGATGAACCCATCGCTATCCACTTCAAACAGGAGATACTTGGTTCGAAACCGTTCATTCAGCGGCCACAACGGCACCTCTCCACGCTGCAGGTACAACACGGCAGAAACTTGATCTGCCGTGACGCTTTCATTGGCAAAGGTGATCCAGATAGTAACCGTGTTGAGTTCTTCGATTTCTCTTGCGGACCGCACCTAGTTGATTCTTTGGATTAATGGGGAACTCCCGGAGATCCCCGCCGCTTCCTTTGCGTTGTCCAAAAGCTATTGAGGTGCCAGTAAGAAAGATGCGAATAGCCTTGTTGTTGGGCTTCGAAGCTCGCTGTACGAGCTTAAGCAGCGAATCGTCGATAGTAACTCCCAACTCATCAATGAAAATATAAAACGTGGTATTAAAATGGCTCATTTGTTGTCGAGCAGCAGCAGTGGCAGAATCTCCTCCGGGTCAAGGGTCCTTGACAGGTGCGCACTGCCGACTTCATATACGGTTCATAACTGTCTGCAAACTGCCAGATGAGAGATTTAACAACATCGAATCCATGGTCGATTGTCCCGCGGTCGAGAAAATCAAAGGCCACCAGATGTCTAGACCTCTGATACCGCCTAAGCAGATTCTTTCGTAGATATCGTATTATCGAGGAGGCCAGATAGCTCTTACCAGTACTTTCCGTTCCCTCAACACTTGATGAGCTCGAGTCGCCTCCCCATGACTGAAAGATGGAATCATATAGAAGCCACTGGCCAGTGTTTGGCACGACTGTCTTGTGGATGTTGTTGTACGTCGTCTGCCAGGAGTCTACTGGTTGCTGTCTAGTGCTATTTCACTGACGAGGATTTCTGTCAAAGCCTTATGTATCCGGCAACTTCTTGTTGCCATCTGCTTCCACCATTTCTTTCTGATCAGCGATGCTCTGCATTAGCGCATCTAATTTACCGTTCATCTACATGCTGATGGTCAGCCCTTGACCAGAATTGATGGCCCCTGCAGAGGCAGACTGGAAGGTCTGCGCAGCAACCAATTGACGTTCTTGAGTGATCGACCTCTGTGTCCATTTCTCCCTGCAATCCCTGGATATCATTCTCTGCCAAGAAGGAAATCTTGGGCCTTGTTTTGATCCTTTCGCTGGCGGAGTACCTTGGCTCCAGTGCACAATCGCATATCTTGACGAAGAGTAGCAGTTGCTGTGATGCCACTTTGGTCAGTTTTGCATCCATTCACCCTTTCCATCCCTCCTTGGACGTAATATTCTAGGCGTCCTAGATAGTCATAGCACTTTTCTAACAACTTAGCCAAGCCATCAAAGGCACTTCGGCAACCCTCCCAAGCGCCGATAACGAAACTGGAGGCGTTGTAGCATTGGACGAGGGGAAAGCTCTGCAGCTTGTCAATACTACGTGAATATTTTCATATTGCCAAGATCGTACTTATTTGGTATGGACCATTGGACACAATTTCTCCTACCGTTTTAATCACTCCTGAAGTCCGTCCGAAAGCCTCTTTGACAATTTTTGTCCTCCCGGCTCTTCCTGAGTGGGCTCCTGGGTTGAAGCCAGATTGGCAAGGATATCGCCAATTTGCAATCCCCGATAGACTTCTTGTCCTTCGCGAATGGCCAGCTGAGCCACCCGCTCCTGTACGTGAATCCAAATTGCGGTGATCTCCCCATTCATCGCTGCGTAGGATCCCTCTTTCCATCCTCCTGCGTTGGTGCCCACAATTGTAGGGACGGAAATGGAGATGTGATCTACGGCGTGCCCTTCCGTGGAGTCACAAGGGAAGTAGGATGGCTCATGCACAGTTCAATAAGCTATGGAAAATATATTCTATATAGTCACAAGGTCCCATGGCCACACAGGGTCTTGACCACTCTGCAAATAGCTATATAGCTCATGTCTATCTAATTGAACAACCTACCGACGGGAGAAAAACCAGATGGCTGAAGTGGATATAAGCAAGCCCAGTCGTAATATATGAAAGCGGACTCCATTCATGGATTGGCGGGATCCGGATGCATCGTTGTCTGCATCTTTCTTGTTATCCCGGAACGTGTTATCAGGATTTTGGCTTGCTTCTGAGGTTGGCCCGGCTTTGGACTGGGGTTTAGGGTCCGCCGGAGCACCGTCTGATTTTTCCTTGCCGCAAATGAGCAAATACGTCAACACGTAAAAAATGGGGATGACTATGAACTCAATAAATATTGAGAGCATATTCCTTGACAACTGCGGGACCCCCGCCATGAGGAGTTTAAAGGAGCAATAGCTCGCAGAAGCAGGTGTAATTATTTGGTGGATAACTTTGTGAGTGATTGGAGCGGCGCTGGCAAGGTCTTTGAGCCACTGCGTGATACGCCGTAAGAAGGAGATATATTGGCACAGTCGGAGGAATAGCAGTCTCAGAGCGACCAAAATGCAGAGGCTGCCGAGCATAATAATGAATGCTATGTACGAGATGGTGAGCAGATCCTTAAGTAGGCGGATGTCTAGCAAAATATCCGCAACAAGGAGCGTCACGGGCTGCAGGCTGCGATGTAGCAGCCAGGTGATCAACGCCAGATCGCCAAACATCAGGGGCCAACGGACCACCCGGGTGGTGATGTATATTACTAGATAGATCAGACACCGCCAGTGCCCACACTTCCCCAGCGGGGCTCGGCGCGTGGGGGAGAAAATCTGTTCTAGATTGGAATGGTTTGGAGGCAATGATTGTGAATCGTCATTGCCATCTGCCTCCGCTGTTGGCGACCAGAGCCCGTATACCCGATCACAGAGGCTATCTGCGGTGACAGAAGACGACAACGTATCTCTGTCCTCTTCTGTCTTCTTATTCAGATCTGCCTCTCCCTGGTCCTCGTCACGGTCGCGGATGGGCGGATTAGCGTTTTTTACAACGAGCGTACGATGAGGCCAGTCTCGATTGAACCCCAAGTCAGCTTCCGAAGTCCCCCAGAACATTGACAACAGTTCGATCAATATGGAATCAGCGACCAAGGGCGTCGCGAGAATCTTGATCCATGGAGAATGTTCGGACCTTAGTAGGGTCACGTAAAGCGGCACTGTGCCTCCAATGAGGAACGTGCGCCGCATCAAACGCCACCACCACTTGCGCTCGAGACGAGAAGAATCCGACGTGAAGTAATAATGACTAGAAATCATTAAGCCGGCATGTATGTCAACGAGGTCTAAGAGTCTCCAGCTAATAAAATCGAGTAGCATCAGTGCGACGAGGAGTGCAGACTGGCACGGGGAGAAGAGTAATACGTTGCGCTTTACATTTTCAAGAAATGTTGGGTGACCAGTAGGTTTGATGAGAGCGCTGATTGTGGCCGTGACGAGAGAAAAGGTGGTAAGTCCCCATGGCGCCATTCTACCTAATCGTCTCGGGCTTCAGTCCAAGACATACGAGGGAAAGCAGTCTGGAATCTAGATTCTAGATAGGGGAGAAGTAGTGGCTGGTATCATAATCAAATCCGGAGCGTGACGCTAACCGGGGGTTAAGAAAAAAAAAACTTTTTTGTTTTTTTCGTACTTTTACACTTTTATACCTAGGTATAGAAAGCACGCTAAACCACTTCAAGTTTCCTTTAGCATCCAAAAACCAGACGAACATTTATGTAGGAGATTTGTTCTCACTATACTAGACTGTAATCTTGAGTAGAGAATAATATAGTTTCCACCTAACTATTACACTTATATCACTGAATTACTAGCTGTCCTTATGTATTCTGTCTTGGGAACCATCTTTCTCTGACAATCACCATCAGTCGGTTCATTGAAAGGCCTCGCGACTGCATCATGCGATGAGGTGATTCTTGTCATGCTTTCGGCCCTATCAAGATTACAGGTATAAACAGTGATATTCTTTCTGTACGGCTCTCTTGTTTTCTCTCTCACCGACTTCTCGAGGATAGTGGAGGGCCTTGAGCCGCCCTCCTTTCCTAGACTGGGAGCTGGGCCCCGTTGGAGAAACAACGTGAGAACCAGATCCTGCCCAGTTACATTTCTTCGATGAGATCAGCTCTAACTCCTCGGGGATATGAGCTCTGTTCACTCCAAGGGCCAGGCTGCTCATGATACGGTACAGAGTAGGGATGCATGTCGTAATAATGCCGGCTTCCGTCATCCCCCCTGCGCGGCGGAGCGCAATGTTAGTAGACCAGAGAAGAAATTTAATAAGTACGTCCGGTACAGGAATCATAACTGTAAAGGAAAGGTCATACTGGTTGCAAGCGGATACACTGAAAACCGTCCCTAAATGCTTGCATCGGCAAGGAGTAGCTGTCGCGATGTAGGCATTGTGAAACGGAACTGAAAACCAAGGCCAGGAATGTGGAAGCGAAAGAACATGGTGTAAATAGTTTTTCGAGTGTCCAAAGAAAATTAAAAGGAAACGGAGAGAGAGAAAGAGGGAGAGAGCCCGTGTGTCTAGCATCATGTTGGAGATGTTATTCGCTTCCAACCTGTAGCTCGCAGTCAAGCCAAAGCGTCCCTGGAGTGTAATCTAGCAAAGAGAAATTGACGGAGCAGACTAAAGCAGGCTATTATTTAGTATATTATTGTGATGTCTCCTGGTACCCTTTCAATCACTGTAACCGTAATACTCGGTGTAGCCTTGGCTCTGGTTGTGATCCCGACCAGGGCTAGAACTTGGTTGATACTTACTACATAACACTAGAAGGTAGAGGTTGGACAGGGTTTCATGAGTATAGTCTATCGCCTTAGCACAATCTAGCAAATGAGGGTGGGAAACTTCTCTTCTCGAATCTTCTTATTCTCTCTTTATTTTCCTCTAAACACTTCCTATAACCCCGTACTCAGCTCTCAAACTACACCCTAACCGCCTTCGTTCCTTTCGAAAGGAAGTTAATCCAACAGCCCTATTCAACGATAACAGCGATGGTGTACAAGGAGGTTGAAATGCCTTACGACTATGGCGAGCACAAGGTGCCCCGCGACACCGTGCGGAGGTCTTTACCTTGTCGGAGCCAAAAGTCTCAGCGGAAACACGGCCTTGAGGTATGTGTATCGAACAAAAGCAAGATCAATAGACCTAAGGATTTGTCGGTCTAAACTATCATATCGATGTCTTGGGTTCCTTCTAATGCGATCCTTTGCCGCAACTCTGCAGCCCCCGTGGGAAGCAATCGGGGCTATTATGTTTACGGGTTTAGAGAATGGGGGCCCTGTGGCCCTCATCTACTGATATTGTCAATTATCAGGTCACTGGGCATGGCTCTTTCGCTGGCTGGAGGCCAGTACCATTGAACTTACGATCTTACTCCGTTCGCTCCTCGATTCCTGTGTTCTTTGCAAGGTGAGACCGACGCTTTTGTCTCAACGCATGAATCACTTGCAGAAATTCGGACCAATACTATAATCGATTCCACCACGGCCTTCAATCCGCTCCTGTCCCTCGCAACTCTGGACCAGGACAGCGCTTATCCCATTCTCATCATCTTCCTCGCGTTTCACCCGAATTACCCGGTAACAGCGAAGAACATGAGCCATGCCGCGCCCGTCTTTCTGGCAGTGATATTGTTCGCCATTATTGATTGGTTTGTCTGGGGCCACAAATGGTGGCAGGGTCCAAGGATCAAGGCGACAATAGATTAGAGTTTATGCCTCCGACGGCTGACTGGAGGGGGTTCCGTGGTTCCGTCCACCACTGGCCATAGTCAAGCGGTATTGCGGATGCTCTCTCCCGACGATGCAAAAACTTAATCGCGAGTGGTGATGTCAAACAATTGCCCCCGACCGAACCATCCGCCGACTGAAATAAGGTATACGAGTCATGTATGCATATCAATGTTGGAAAGATCCTTGGAGCTAGTAGGAGACCATCATGCGCAGCTGGATACGCGATATCGGGCATTGAGTGGCCGTATGGGTTTGCGCTAGTGAGTCGCCCTTAAGAACGAGGAGATCGCCTTCGCCTGGTCCGAGCATGAAGTTAACTTCCAAGCTCACAGTGACAGTAAATGCACACCGCTTCACCTTGCAGCGCTTCTTGGTCACGAGGGACTTCAGACTGACATCTATGCATCTCGCCATTGAACAGCCACATCTGCATCTGATGAAGTTGTTTGCTGACTTTGACGCGGGCGTCGCTAGGTGTTATTAGTCTGTAGAAAACGGTATCTGGTATATGATACATGCAGGGCTACATGTCACATTTCGTGCGAAATATGCAGTGGGATACGCGGTGGAAATACTGGATGCGTGGCAATTGAGTTCACTCGGCCGACGATCACGTGGATCACTGGTGAGGAGGGGTTGGACAGACCCCTCAGAGGAGAAAAAGAATAACAACTTACCTTCTTAGTTGCTGGGAGCTCTCTCACCGGGCATCCCCTCCCGCTGGATCTACGACCGGAAAACTTAGAAACAATATGTGTATAGCTTCCTGTCAATCCCGCTCATATCCTGCCGATGCTGGATCTCTGGACCAGGAACTCCCGGCGCCGCAATGCAAAGCCCGCCCCTACGACCCTTGTCTGAAAGACATATTCCATTGCGACGATGATATCTGACCGGGAGTGGTTACGAGCATCGGGGCTGTGCTCAGGCATGCTGGATACCCTCCCTCGGAGAGACCGATGTGATACTGGGCATTTTATTGGGATCGATGAGAAGAGGGTCGCAGGAGCCACACCCCCATCTTTGGGAATACCAACCGTGCTCATCCCTCTGACCCGGTTGATGTGGGTTTATTGCCAGGAACCCACACCTTGCTACCAATACCGTCTCGGCCCGATCAACTTCTGCCCACTTGGATCCTTGGAGACACACAGGTTCCCGCGGCAATTGACAGTAACTAGTAACGGCAAGGGATTTGGGGGAAGCTTCGATCATGTTCTATGGCTCAGTGAGTTGCCCCCGGTCTCTTCGTGGGTCCAGGGAAGGCGCTGGGGTTGTGGAGTGGTCCCCCGGGACTTTGAAGTTTGCCATCAGCCCAATCCAAGAATATTCCCGTCTGCCGTCCGTGGCTCTCCCCTTATTTTCCGAGTGTTGGCTCGGGATTGACGTTCAAGTCTGGTAGGAATTTTACTGCCAGCGATGTATATCTTTGGTCCATGGTCAACCGCTGACAGGTTTTAGGGTTTTCTCTGGGTGGATCTCAGAGTTTTTCTTTTTGTTCCATTGACAAAAAGTGAGCTTCGTACATGAAAACCTTAAGCACGATTAGTTTAATGTGATACGGCGACCGATAGCGGCGAAACAACCAAAAAAAGAAAAAAAAGGAATGCTTATCTAATTGGATTGTACTTTTTCAATTTTTCCAAGTGGCAGAAAAAGAAAAAGAAAAATTCGAGAACCTCGTGAGTCGTGAGTTCAGCTCCCCACCACATGATGTAATCCTGTTCTAATCAGCGGTCAAAAAGACTGGCGGTGACCCTGGTCGAGTCAGCGCCCCAGCCAGAAAAAACATCCCCCTTTTATCTCTCGCCTTCTCGCCCGTGGTGATTTTTTCCCATTCCTCTCTTTCTCTTCCTCACACATTCACAATGGCTCCCCTCAAGCTCAACAACAAGAACTTGTCCCAAATTGCGGCGGCAGGTGAGGCCCAGGTCAAGGCTCCAACCTACCAGCGCGGTGGCGCCGTCAAGGAAGGAATTGTCCACGTTGGCGTCGGCGGCTTTCACCGAGCCCACTTGGCTGTCTATGTCGACCAGTTGATGCAGAAGCATGGTGTGACTGACTACGCAATTTGTGGTGTTGGCTTGCAGCCCTTTGACGCCGCCATGCGCGATGCCTTAGGGTCGCAGGACCACCTCTACACCGTCATTGAGCGTTCGGCCAAGGGCAGCTTTGCCCATGTGGTTGGGAGCATCAATTCCTATCTCTTTGCCCCCGATGACCGGGAGGCCGTCATCGCCAAGATGGCGCACCCGGATACCCACATTGTGTCGCTCACCATCACCGAGAGCGGTTACTACTACAACGAGAACACACACGAGCTGCAAAGTGAGCACCCTGACATCCAGTTCGACCTCCAGCCGGCCAACGAGAAGACCCCCCGCACCACGTTCGGCTTCCTCTATGCCGCTCTGGCACGCCGCTACCAGCAAGGGCTCAAGCCCTTCACCGTCATGTCCTGCGATAACATGCAAAAGAACGGCTCCATCACACGCCACATGCTCGAGTCCTTTGCACGTCTGCGCAACCCCGAGATCGCGAAGTGGATTGCCGAACAAGGTGCCTTCCCCAACGCCATGGTCGACCGCATCACCCCTCAGACATCCGCCACGGATAAAACGGCCCTCGCCGACAACTTTGCCATCGAGGACTCGTGGCCCGTCGTCACCGAGCCCTTTATGCAATGGGTCATTGAGGATCAGTTCTCCGATGGCCGCCCACCGTTTGAGAAGGTCGGTGCCCAGGTGGTGAAGAACGTCCATGACGTTGAGCAGTTCGAAAAGCACAAGCTGCGCCTGCTCAACGGCAGCCACTCGGCCATAGGTTACCCAGGGCAGCTGGCAGGCTTCAAATATGTCCACGAGGTCATGGAGCACCCAGTGTTCAGTAAGTTCGTGTGGCAAATGATGCAGGACGAGGTGAAGCCGCTGTTGCCCGAGATCCCGGGCGTCAACATTGATGAGTACTGCAAGACGCTCATCGAGCGCTTCTCCAACCCAACCATCATGGACCAACTGCCCCGCATCTGCCTCAACGCGTCCGGCAAGATTCCACAGTTTATCATGCCTTCGATTGCTGAGGCAATCTGGGTTACTGGCCCATTCCGTCGCCTGTGCTTCGTCGCCGCCGCTTGGTTCCATTACATTAACGGCGTCGACGACAGCGGCAAGACGTTCGAGGTCGACGACCCGATGCGCGAGGAGCTGCAGGCCAAGGCCCGCGCAGGAGGCACCAACCCGGCCGAGCTACTCAGCATCAAGAGCCTGTTTGGTGACGATTTGCGCGGCGACAAGCGGTTCATCCAGGAGATCACCAAGGCGATGGAGGACATCGCCCGGGATGGCATCCTGAAGACGCTTCCCAAGTACGTTGACTGAGCGCCACCGCTAGGCGCTCTTGGCTTAATATATGCGGTATACCTGTGTCTCTGATATTTACGTTTTCTTTGTATGTGTTATATACGGGAATGGTTTTACAAGAAAAGTGCGATATAGAGATAGATAATGATAGATAACCTTTTTAATTGTTACGTGACTATTCAGATTATGATTGTTTCTATTTATGGGCGGATCTTGGCAGCATAGGCGCTGGAGATAGTCTAGAATAGTCGATTGCAGTGCAAACAAATCAAACCCATAGAGCTGGAATGGGCTTTAGGAATCTGGGCTCAATTCGGGGCAATCACTTCCTCTTTGTACCCGTTCTCGTGACATTGGGTCGACCCGACTATCGATTCCGCTGCAAATACTAAGCTAACAAGATGTGACTTGTTATTGAATTGCTCCCTTTTGATTATCAGACCGTAAATTACTACATGTAATACTTGCTTCCGTAGTAGCCGGTTCGAGCATCATGCGTTCAAGTTCTTACTAGTAAGTACTAGTATCGTTTTCGAGAGGGAAGGGTGGGTACAACACTGGATATACTTTAATAACATGCCAACATATCCGGCACACGTCGCAAAAGTTAGCCCTCTTCTTTATACGTTGAAAGTACGTTTTTATAAAGATATCAATATCTTTTGACTCCATTTCAGTTCCAATCTGGATTATATAAATAGTGTCAACCCTTCATGATACTTTTCAAACCCTCGTCGGATTGCTACAGTCAGTATCCCGACTTCCGCATGCGGAATGCCGTTGACCGAGAAGCAAAGATGTTTCTACTACTCAGATTGTAAATACCCGTTAGTTGCAAGCCACCACGGTGGTCAACACGAGTTTGCAAGTAATGGGGTGTTGGAAACTTTGGCCCAGCATTCTCCCTACAGTATCTTAGAAACGACACGTGATTGCCAAGGACCTACCCTTCCGAAAACGGTAATATGTATCTCCTGTCCGCTTTGACGACGGTGAGACCTTTCGGCCAATCAGAGCGCCCAAACATTAATTGCAAACATCCCACTGAGTTCAGCAACACAGGGTGATGGGCAATCAACCTTGCCAAAACTTAGTCTACTACTGGAATTCAGACCTGAGGACGGATGGGGCAGAACCTTCATGAATGACAGGAACATTAGTGGACGAAGCAATTGACATCACCTAGACTGATTACATTGGATACAAGTTCGGAGATACTGACGATGGAGACTTTTGCGAGGTCATCAGCGAGAGGGTTACTCCTCCGACTCTCACATGACCACATCTTGCTCAGCGAGAAGATCTAGGTTCTCATCGGCTGATCAAACCCAAAAGTCAGAGACCCAAGGATGCCATGCTTGGCATCAAGGACCCGGGACATCTAATTCCACCCCAGTTCGCTCTCTTTTGACAGACCACCCCCAAATATATATATATATATACCTTCATCGAGTAATCTCGTCTCATATATTGCCTATCCTCCTAGCTCTTTGATCCTGGCCAGCAGCCCAGGGATTTGACTCTTCTCTACCAACTGGAACAATAGAGTAAGTTGTTGTTGAACATCGTGGAGCATTCTCTTTTCAGCCTGTTGTTTAAATTGCTGCATCTCCTGGCGGGCCCGTTCCATCTCCTGGTGGACTTCTGCCATCATCTCCTGGCGGACGTTTGCCATATCCTTGCGAACATCTTCCATCAGCTCCTGTTTGAATTTCATTCTTTCTTCCTTGATCTGCGCCACCTTGGCATGTTGTTGTGGGGAGAGCTGTGGTGCTTGTGGCGGTTGGCGGGTGTTCCAAGCCTGATGCTGGCCTGCGATCGGTGCTTGCGGCTGGGCCACCGTACTAGGTGCTTGATAATGTGGTCCTATGGAGTGGATTAAATTGACTGGCTGGCCATATGACGTGACAATCCCACCCTGCGGCGGGGCCATCATAGCAGGTGCTTGCTGTTGTGGCCCGGTGACGTTGGTTGAATTGGGTGGCAACCTGTATAGGGTGGCCCTCCCAGCTTGCTGCTGGGCCATCGTACCAGGTCCGTGTTGTTGTGCTCCCATGGCGTTGAAAGAGTTGACTACCTGTCTGGATGGGGCAGCGTTCCCAGTTTGTGGCATTGGATTGTTTCCGTGAAATGGAACCTGCACGGCCATACTGGGTTGGCCATTAACAAGGCTTTGTCGTCCTTGCTGCATGGCAGCGGGCTGAGTCTGAAACTGGACCATGATATGGGACAAGTAAAAATTGAGAAGAAAAAGGGGAACAGCAAGTAGAGGTAATTTGCAATATTGCTATTAGGCGGGCGAGACGGTACACCTAGATAGTGATTTTTCTGGAGAAGATAACAGAAGGTATTTGGGAATGGGAAGAGTCAAGACTCAGAGGAGAGATGAGAGGCATCTTATACCGTAGCTTCCGTCGAGGTTGTAGATATAATAAAGGAGAAGGGTTGGGGGGTGTTATACTGTGATTGTGGGGAAATAATTATCCAACAATATTCTAAGGTGTTCAAAGATCTCACCACAGTGGTTGTGAAGTGTTTAACAGGATGTTCAAAAGATGTTCATGAGAATGGTTCAACAGGTTGTTCAAGAAGTGTTCAGTAGACAATATTTACTAGAATAATTAATTTTTTTAAGAATTGTACTAGTGAAGTGAACATCATTTAATAAAATAATTAAAAAGTATCCACCAGGGGCAGTTAAAGTGTTGTGTTCAGCAGGTTAACGCGGGGAAAAAAAAAAAAAAGAACTATCAGGGCTAGGAAATATTAGCGCATCCAACATCTGCTCAAACTTGGAGTTTTCAATCCCGACTTTCTCAGTAGTTTTCTATAGTAATGGTGCAATTAATTAATAAATCTTTTATTGTTGTATATAAATATATTAATGACTTTGACTTGTTCATTTTCTACGGAGTATATGTTCTTGAACTACCCTCTTGACATTCATTGTGCATGGAATGCAATCTACACCCGTTCTGTATTATCCGCTACAGCCCTCTTGCACGTGACTAAAGCTCCCCGCCAGATAGGCTTATACGGTTATACCTCCCGGCGTGTGGCTTAAGTATGGTTGAGCGGACGGGAAGCCTCTTACTATAACTAGAGCTGCCAGAAATATGAACTTGTATTCTTTGCTATCTTTTCATTTTTCTTTTGCTCACTGGGAGACAAGGATCTACACCAGCGTCTGCTGCTGCAACTTGTACAAACATCTCAATTACTATAGAGAGATGTTCCCGATTATACCTAAGCTCGTCTACGGATATTGCCTAATAAATCCATACTTATTTAAAATTATACACTCTGTATGATATACTTATCTTTCCTATTTAATATTCTTCTTTTACTCCTGTTTAAGAAAGTTATTAATAGTTATAACACTCTATATAGTATATCACGGTCTGCGGCCTCATATGCAGATTCTGTGCTTTTTGCACGGTTCGGGATTCCTGTACAGATATACCTAAGTAAGGAGAAATCTATTTGGTAGAGAACATTTGACTCCAAATCTGCTTTTCATAAGCCACCCGGTGTTTCTTTGCTTGTGCTTTAAAATAGCAGCCACACTTACAGCCAGCTCAGGGTCTCCAAGTATCTGATTTATATCGATCTTGGCATGTAATTTAGGGCCTGGGGATGAACTTTTAAGCAACTTCACGGAGATGCGCAACTAGCTATCACGAAAGTTTGAGGTTTCGCTCTAGCTGCTCGAGATCCTGACTTGCTGAACATTGGCCCATTGGGCGTTTTACCTAAGCTGACGCTTTCCAGGTCAAGCCTGTGCCACTGCAGCGGAAAGTAGACTGAAACTTGGTGGGAACAGAGTAGCGTACGCATTCTGTAATCTGTTGGCACCAACCTGGGTCCAGTCGGTCATACAAGCAGGCCTTGAAGCCAACTTTACTAACCTCACTTTAAGAGGCGTATCTCCTATGAAGAAGGTTATCCAGATTCTGGCTGACCTACAAGGGATCCATTTAACACCGAGGGCTATTGCCTACTTTTTATACTAACATCCATAACTGCGATGGCTCTGGTGTGTGTGCAAAAGGGTGTTGCCACATAGCTAAATCTGACTGGGCTTGAGGACGCGACCTGACAAAGTGCTAGTACTGTTTGTCTCCCAGAAAGCGCAATCCACGTCGTGGAAGGCTTCGAATGTCTTTAGCCCTCTCACCATACCCGGCTCCCGCCTTGTCTATTTCAGCAAAAGCATCCAACCGCAGTTATGGGTATTTCTAAATCTTTGTCTATAATTAGCATGGGCCTTGATCTATTGTAATCTTGAAATATTCTATCGATTTGGGTTCTTTACCACGAATACAGCACGCTGGCCATCATAAGTTGATGGAGTAGCTAAGGCTTTATGCTGACGTGGTGTCCATAACGAACTGGAGAGCTGCTCATATCACTATTAGATTTGAACTCCAGGATCCTAGTCTATCAATTGACAGGTTGATAGAAGTAACGAATATGACGTCATGGTCCAGGGCTAATATGGACATGTAGAAATGCATCTTGGCCACATCACTGTAAGAACCGGCATGTTGGAGTGACACATCACGATCAGTATTATCTTCTAGCAATGATGAAGTCGGTTGATTCCGCTTATCGCTGCTACTACTTCGATCAGATGTTCAGGAGTCATTGAGCCATACAAAGTAGGAGAGGGTAGTGTGTGTCATAGTAAAAGGTGATAGGCAAAAGTTTGATACACCATGCATATACGACATACGTAACTACTGATGTATTAACCCCGCATGTAGTCCCTTTTGCAGTTCTATATATGTTTAGCGTTATTAAATCGGAACCAACAGGAATTGGAGGAGGGCCATGCAGTGTTTCCCCTCCGAAGCAGAGATTAAAATGATAAAACCATCAACGTGGACCATAGATGACTTTGTTCCTTTTTACACTACGATGCTGCTGTTGTGTTACTTGATGCGACTGACATACAAGTCTCGCATCATATAGAGCGAGGACATCTATGTATGTATAGCGACATAAAACAAGTTGAATTATGGGTTGTAGTACGGAGTGGCTGAGGAATCAAAGCTTATGTGGGCCGCAACACCAAGGGGACTTTTCTCACTGGATAGTCATACAGTTGTCCATGACGCCCTGGGTTGACAAAGCAGCAGCGATTATTGGTTGGCCATACCGGCGATGTAGGCTCGGCATGCATGTGCTGGCATGTAGTGGACCAGGGTATTTGTATAGCGTATCAGAATCCAGCAAATATGTACATCATTTTACTGTACTGATGCCCAATGCTTTGCATCCCTGCCAAAGGATGTATGGGTCCAGAAGAGGAAGTTCAGTTTGAATGATAGCTAGCTGCAATGATTTTGTTGTGGAGGTGGTGTTAGCCATTTTAATGGTGCAGCTAGCATCTCCAGTACGGTGATGCGCTGGCAGAGGAATGCGGCAAGCGGAACACCAACGATGCGCCCTCGACATGCAATTAGTTATATCGTTGCCATTATGTAGGTGAATGGCCAGTGACCACTAGAGCTAGCTTCCATAGGTCCTGCGTGGTCGTAGAATGGCGATGATCCCTGCGATCGTCCATCTGGGAACGCTATATTGCCTTTCGTGTATGCGAGAGAAACAGGATACTACCTGCATAATATACGGTATCTTGGGAAGTCGGGCATAACGAGGGCCTTCAAGGCCTATTTTTCTTGTATCCGTTTGCAGAATTGGTTTGGGCACTGTCGCCTATCGATGACAATGGATTAACTATACAAGCCGAGATCAAACTTATAAAGGTCTTCATCTGCCCCAGATGGCAGGATGGAGGAAAGGGCTCCAAGCAGAAACACTTTAGCAAGTTCTTTAGAACTCAGATCCAATCAGTCTTTCCCATCAATTATTCTCGATTTCTCATCATCTGTGCAGTCATGACTCGTGTGCGCCAGTCCCTGAACCGTCTCAGTTATCTTTACTACAAAACGAAAGAGAGTGACGAAGCTGTCGATACCGAGTCTCAAAATGCTGTAGAGACACTCGAGAAAGTTGTGAAGGCCATTCACGAGCTGCAAAAGAGGAACCCCCGTGAGGCAAACTCGTTCTTCAAGCTGGCCGGATACCACGGGGAGCCCTTCCAAGGCCAGGGCAAGACCAATCCCAACTGGTGGGGTGGCTACTGTCATCACGGCAATGTCCTGTTCCCAACTTGGCATCGAATGTATCTGCTGCGCTATGAGGACGCTATGCGCACGGTGCCCGGCTGTGAGGATGTTGCCCTTCCATTCTGGGATGAGTGTGAGCTGGACCAGAACAAAAAGCCGATGCCGATTCCCGAGGTTCTCACCAGGGAGAAGTTCAGACTTGGAGGTCAAGATATCCCCAACCCTCTCTTCTCATACAAGCTTCAAGAGGAGCTTAAGCATGAAGTAGAGGGTGCTGCCCATCGGTACAGTAAACCGCTTGACTACCAGACTGTCCGATACCCGCGCTCTGGCTTGGTCGGCAACGCCTGGGATAGATTGGCGACGCGAAGCCAAAATTCAGACTATGCACACCATGACTGGTGTACTATCCTACTGAACCGCAATGTCTCGAGTTGGCTCCAGGGAAATATTAAGATAACTCCTGATGGGATCAAAGAAACTAAAATTACTGACACCACCTCCGTGCTCGGAAGGTATAACTACTGCCTCGATGCTCCTAACTATACCATTTTCTCCAACATCACATCACAAAAGAAGTCTTCGCTCAACCAAACCTCCCCGCATCTCACCTCACTTGAAAGCCCGCATAATGCGATGCATCTTGCCGTTGGGGGCTTTTATCAGCCAGGCGTATACAACGCTAATGAAATACCTGGCGCAAATGGGGATATGGGCGATAACGAGACCGCCAGCTTCGATCCAATCTTTTTCTTCCATCACTGCTTCGTGGATTACGTCTTCTGGTTATGGCAACGAAGGCACGGCTCCACTACCAATCTAGAGATAGACCCCAATGATCCTGGGGCAGTACTTAACGAAGGAGTGGGAGAAATGCCTCCAAAGACCAAGTTGAGCATGGATACTGATCTCCAGCCATTCAAAAAGCCTGACCAAGGATATTGGAAATCTAAGGACCTTGTAAATATTGAGAAAATTGAGGGAGATCACGGATACAACTACGGGCCTGGCTCTCTCGATCATCTAGCTTCTCCCCGTCAGCCTGTTACAAGCCCGATTAGGGGTCCGGAGGAGGGCGATGATAGGGTGAAGAAGGTGAAGAAGATTACCGTTAACCGTGCGGTACACCGTGGTTCCTTTGTGATCCGTATGTTCGCGAAACCTCCTGGCAAAATGGAGTTGATTGAGATCGGACGGGAGCCCATATTGAGTCGTTGGGACGTTGAGGAATGCGACAATTGCCGCGACAAGCTTGATGTGGACTTGTTAGTCCCGCTGACCGGAGGTATGCTGGACTATCTGGGCGCAGACGACAAAGGTGGGGAATATGGTGAGAACATCACATTCCTTGGAGCGGTTCAGGCATATGGACAGATGGACTTTACCGCTAATCTGCAGGACATGGTTCACGATGCCGCCGCCGAAGGTCTGCAGGATGTTTACCCCAGTGCTGTGAAACTTGTCCAGGATGTAGATTTACCTTTGCGTTAAGCAGGCCATGGGCAACCTTCCCTATCAGAAGGTTCATTTTCGCGCAATTTACCTTCTTGTTGGCCCCAGGCTGTGTATCTCGTGGTTAAGGTTTCGTTTTGCTATCACAGCCCACGGCATGTGTTGGACGGTATGCATAACACCAGCAATAGTCAATCGAATAGCCATCACTTTTTGAATAGAATTACCCGTCGGCTAAAGATGGCCATTTTGGAAATAAACCCTTAGGTTTACAGAAGTACTTTAATACAACCAGTATAGCTCTGCGACACAACAGCAGTCATTGAAATATAGCATCATGGGTCCGACCAGCCGATCGACAGTATCATAGGTTGCCAGCCCCTCTCATGAGCAAGGAAGAGGTCAGAGTGGTCCGTAGCCTTTAGCCATTTGGGCCGCCCATTCCTCATTCTTCTTCATTGGAGAGGACGGCAGGAAGCTGACAGGGGAACAAATGGTGGGTTACTATGGCTCGGTACATACAAGTCACTGTGAAAAGAAGAGGGCGAAAAGGGGGTTAAGGGCTTCTATGAAGATCGGCCCAACAACGACAGTCCGCTGAACGTTCTATGCGCTGTTCATTGGGTATTATCGCCCGTCGGTGTAGAGAATACAAATTCCGTCCACTTGAGATTGATTAACAGAGGGCTGATCTCCTATAAGAAAGTTATCTATATTTTACCTAGCCTACTAGGAATCCAGGACACTAATGTCAATAATAATATATATTGTTGTGGTGGCTCTATTGTGTGCGAAGCGTCGTCGCAACAAAGCTGAGTTTGACTGAACTTGAGTACGCGACCTGACAAGGTATAATATTGTTTCTTCCCTAACATAGCTCTGGTCTCTAAGCCTTTAGATAGAGCACTAATAGTCTAGGGTGACGTTAAAGCAAAAGGGATTTAATAACACCCTCATCCCAGCCCATAGTGCATCTAAAGATGCACTACCAAACAGCATTTAAGTGTCGATAAACTCGCTCATCTCCCTCATTCATCCGCACTCGGGTCTAGCAGGGGTTGGTCTGGTGGTGGTGCCACCGGCCGTTCCTGCACCATCGTCACGTCCCCAAAGGTCTTCCTGAATTCAGGTATTTCGCTAATGCCTTGTAGGTAGCGCATACAATGTGGTATCTGTTTACGCCATTCGGCATCAACTAGCATCGCCACCCCGAAATGCAGCCAAGACCCAACAAAGACATCCGCAATGGTGATCTTCTGTCCGACCAGGAATTTATTGCCCTTTTTTAGCTCTAGCTCCAACCGATCTAGGGCTTGAGCCACGGCCTTGCATTTCTTTTGGTATAACTTCTCATTAAACCGCTGAAGTGGGCGGGCGGTCATCGTGATGGGATCGCCCGATGGTATAGTGAGCTCGGTTTCGGCAAAGGATACCCACTCCATGATCTTGGCTGACGCCTCGTCAGTTGTGCCTAGGAGCTGAGAGGCCTTGCCCCCCTTACTGGCGAGGTAGGTGGCGAGGGCGAGGCCCTCCACGAGGGAGAACTTGACAACGTTGTTGCCGTCCTTGTCTTTGATGAGGTTTCCCTCAGCGTCTTTAGCAAACACTTCCAGTGTCGGGATCTTGCCCATGGGAAACTTCTGCTTAAATTCCTCTGTCCGGTTAGTGTGGAGAGGAATGAAGCCTGGGGTAAAGGGCACGTCTAGGCCTCCGAGGGCGGCGATTACTTGCGCCTGAGGAAACTAATGCTTAGCAGAGATGCTAGAAGCCAAGATATTGATGGAATAATTACTCACTCGTGCTCCCCGGGGGTTACCCGGGAAAGCATATATCTGGCCAAATTCAACCATTTTGAAAGATGGAAAGCGAGAATGCGATGCTGCAATGGGACCTGGATATAGAGATGTTCAGACACTAGTTGTTTAATTAGGGATGACCTCAGACAACCAGATAAGGGGAGTGCTCCTTGGCAATTTGCAGCTCAGATGAGTGGACACAATTCAAATTCAGTGGTCGAGGCCAGGAGCACTGAGAAGAACGGAATATCAGGATATCATGAATCGTCATCTTCGGATGTGGCTCTCTCCTAAGTATCTAAAAGCAATCTTTCGTACGCGAGTAGAATGTTACGATCTAATTCCAGGTAGTCTTAGGGTCTGTCAATACGAGCCCTAGGAGGCCTTGGGAGGCCTTGGGGGCCTTAGTGTTCTTCATCCCTTGGCGCTTCTGCTCCAGGACCAGAAATGTCGCAGAGTGAGAGCAATCATGATACTTGTTTTCATCATCTAACATTTTCCTCGATCAACGCCGTCGAGTGTTTATCATTGTTCTGAACATTCCCCATTTTCGGTCCACGCAAACTTTATCACAACGCGTGTCGCAACCAAGCCCCTTAGGGTTGCCTTAGCTGAGAACACCTAACGCATCACAAATAGAATCACTCAATGTCACCCAATAGTGTGATGCACACGAACACAGCCAAACCATAAAATATAACTTACATCTAGCGATTTGTCTTGTTAATGTGGATGTCAGCGAAATATAGGTGATTATATCAACAGCAGATGAAACTGTAATGCCATATTGGTATTACATTAGGAGACTAGATACGCGTAAAAGGCGGCTCTCCGTCCCTCACCTGGGTCCAGAATGTAGTCAGTCGTTCTCCTCTTTTCACAGATACTCGTATATGGCAAAACCTCCGTTTCGGCGCTTGACTTATGTCTGATGACGATGACGGTTAAGTTGGGTCCTGTACACCTCCATTCTCGTTGATCTCGGTGACAAGAGTGTTGGTCTATCTGATGACACCAGTGGTGATACTATCCTAGAAACTGCAAGTTTAATGCACAGCAGAGTACGATTCAATGCGGGTTCAACAATATAACGGAGCACATGATACTCTTAGTCTGAATAGATCAACTCTCTATCTTCCATATAGTAGAAGGCACTGAAATGCTTAGTTAATAGCTGGAGCTAATCCAATGTCTTCCCTCACGCCCACAGCTATTTGGAGTATCTAGAGGGAAATTGGGAAGAGAAAATATGAACAGGTAAACGGCCAGTTTCTATCTCTAGTGTTAGTTGAATAGGGAAGTAAGCATTGAGATAAACAGACTGCTCAGCCTCAAACGATCTCCACAGCTAACCATCTAAAAACAACAGTGTGTCCAACACCAACGTAACTGCCAACCTCGAAGCCGTCACGATCAACACAGGGTGGTCCATCATTGAAGAGGTACAACCAAAAGTTTTCAAAGTTTCCGGTGCCCCCGAATCGCTCGGGGGTAATCTGGACATGTGGAACGCGATCGAAGCGTTGTTGGAAGTTGATTCGAGTCGGACCTCCTCCTTTTCGTCGGGTTACAGCAGCTCTCCCGGCCTCGACGCGGCGCGCAACCCCATGCTCACTCACGTCGATGTTGGCTAGATGCATAGTCAGCTAATAGGTACCAGATTGGGAGGTTGATAGCCGTGTGAAGAAGAGAAGAGGCGCTGCCTACTCTGACTCATAGGATTAGCCGTCCCTCCTGACGGCTTACTAGTCGACTGCGCTATCACGTTTTCCAGCCGTGTACTCAGTTCCTCGACCCGACGCTCCAGGTCTTTCACTTCTCCAGAGCTATCATGCGTGCCGTTCATGCCCCCTAGCTTCGATTCTAACTCCTGGAGGCGCTGCTCGAGTGCATACAGTCTATGATTTGAGTCATCTCCATTACCTTCACCGGTGGGCATTCTGTGTTTTAAGTTAGTGTCTAATCATGGTTCGCGCGCTTATACTGCCCATCGTACCTTCCATAAACGTGATTCATGGCTGTATTTCTGGCACCTTAGAAGAGGGATTGAGCGAAACACACAATAAGTACGTAGTCTGATCAGGGTATTATTGCTCCGGAGGTTCCATGGCATCTACTTGTTACTATTTATTTTATCAGCAGATGCAGAGTCTGGCACGGATCATGTACAGCTGAGGTGCGGCTGAGGTGCCCGCGGCCCCACCCTTTGGAGTTTTCGTCCTATAATGGTGGGATGCGAAAGAGTCTTGCTGATCCCTGTGGGTTGGTTGGAATATCATTTCCTTTTTATGAATCTCATCAGCTGTATGCAAAGTATTTAATTCGTCGACTCGTGCTCAGCACAGCTGATCTCGCTAGCACCAACTGTAACTTCTCAGCCAGCCTCACTCGATTTTGTGATGTGTAGGCCTTATTGCCACGTCAGTTTTAAGTGTCTGGTGTTGTTAGGCATGCGTTCTTGCAGTTCTCTCCGCCGAATCAGTTTCTCGTAAAGTTTAAGTTCTATTACATTCTTCCACGACTCATTGCAAAGCCTCAGGTTTCTCGGTGTGTTCTAGTGGATGAGACACTAGAATGTGTATGACTTACGCGGTTGTGTTTAGAGCCCATAGGTAGGAAACCTACTTAGGTGTCTTCATGCTGATCTATCTTCCGACAGGGAGTAGCCGAGAAGAAGCGGGGTAGGTGAAGACTAAAAAGGCTTATTAATATGCAGAAAGAAGCCCTCCACAACGTGCCCTGGATACCCTGTTTTGACAAGAATTTGTATGGCATGCCGGAATATGTTTGCGAGATTCTCATGTTTCTGATGTATTATGAGAACTTGTATGGGAGCCCAAGCTGGCCACCGAAGATTGGCTAATGGAGATTGGTCTGTATTGAGTGGATATTCAATGACTCCCTGACTTTGGTGAATCCATTATCCTGCCAATGGCTCCAACGAGATACAATACATATCATTGTAGGAGCTACGGGGAGCAGCAGGCGAATATCTTGTCCTGCACTGCCCAACATTCCGTTTTGTCTAGACTATAACATGAGATAAAGCATGTTGTACTAGCAGTTGAAACCAATTAGACTTCTAGCATTAATCAACATGGCTTCTGCATAGACAAAGAGGAAAGGAACCACATAGCTATCCCCCTCAGCTCTGAAATGAAATCTGGCTAACAGAGTGTACTCGGCCTTGGTTGATTTGCTACTTAGCAGCGCAAAATTAGCATCCATTGTTACAAGGTGACTTGATTAGTTGTGTGCTTTATAAGGTTCTTCCCAAAAATATATTATTTGAAACTTGTCTAGTCTCCTCTCGTTATATAAATGACCACGAGGACCACCCGGATACCCATAATCTTTGGCAATAATACAAGGCTCTCAGCAAAAGATTTCTAATCAAGCATTTCTCTAATCACCAAATGCACGAGAAAAATTACTAGGCTGTTCATTCATCATGCAGGACTTGCGAGAAGCCGTTTCATTTCGAGAATTTAGCGAGTCAGCATATGATCGATGTCGAGTATTGAAAAGCTCAAATCGGTTGTATCAAAGGTTCGGAGACTTCCTTCGAGTCAGTGCCCATGAATGGCGACAGGACCCACGACATGACTCAGTATAGCACCAAGACTGCCGGGCAAGCGATGTATATTGTTGGGCATATCAGTGGTTGCCCTCAGTGAACGGAGTGTGGCACGGTACCACCACCGATCAAACACAATATTAATCATACTATGGTTGATGGTATGTCACATCCCCTCCCTCCAGGGGGGGCTTAACGTGGGATTGACCAATGTAGAGGAGAGCTGGGTCCATGACCCCCTGCAGTCTACCTCAATGGCCTTACAACCGTCGAGTGCCAAGATAGACTCGAGTATTCGGGCCACGCAGGCCACTAGGTAGGAATGATCAGACCTATATTCACCCTCAATTGTGCTCCTTGAATTTTAGACCTCGAACACTAGGTAATGCCAGATATCGCCAATGTGCTAATAGAATGTTCTTCCCATCTGTTCTGCAGTAGAAGCCAATCATAGAGGAAAATCCCGCATGTTTTTCCCAGGGACAGAGCGCTCGTGCCGCATTCCGCGCAGTGCTCTTAGAAACAATGCAGACTATTTCAAGATGGTCGGCTGTTGAGAGTCTGGACCTGGTTTAGAACCCTAATGGCAAATTGCACGATACTCGACATGTACTCCAGGCTGTGGTAGCAATCCCATTCCGCCCTCTCCAAGAAGGGGTGAAATCTATGATAAACGATCACTCCCGTTCGAAAACGGGAGCATGAAGCGCGGGCACCAACTGCACGATACATGAGACAGAGCGTACAGGATGTTTAGGGAAATAGCCTGTAGCGTGTCCAAAAGTAGTGACATTACAATTTATGCCCCCGAATGCAATAAGATTTGAAATGTATAGCCTCTTTCAGCTCTCTCTCTGTTTCATTCTTGTTTCCTATTTAAATTCAAATCAGATGACCACCATCATTACTTTGCGTACAAAAGAAAGTTTCAACAAGCTCAACGTTGGAAGAGATTAGCAAATTAATGTAAGGGAGAAAACTCAATTGACAATAAGCGATGGAGTTGAAAGGAGTCAAGGGGGTGACAGGGACGGAAGCGAAGAAGGTTTTTGGTGACATTGCAATAGCCTGCATTCTTTCAATAGTCTCGAACTCGGTCGCAGCCGTTCTCCCGTGCTATTGCTATTTTCCAGTTCGATGTGCAGGATTCCGAGAGTGCTGTTTGGCTTCATCTCGCGTTCAGGTTTCCCTATCGCTAATATTCAGCGCGGAATGCACTGGAATGAAGCGCTTTTGTGCGGTTTCCGTCTTCGAAGACCCCCTACATAGTCCCTATCAAATGCTGAGCTAGGGTCATAATGTGCTTCGTTGCAGAAAACAGGGCTCGTGGTGCCAACCCGGTTTCATTAATTCCAATCACATTGTCGAGCCCCGACGGACTCGCTAGTTTGCGGGCATAGTTGGGGATGGCAAGGGATAACCCTGTCCCAAAGTGCCGAAGACGTTGTCTTCCCCCACAGGGCTGGGGAAGTGGAGCACCAAACTGTTCGGAACCAAGTTGCTCAATGCACTTGTCATTTCCGATTCGATCCGTCTAACTACCGTTTCCACAGCATTCTAGTGACAGGATGTTGTCAATTGCTCCCCCTTTAGTGACAGGGGAGGCATACTGGCATTCAGGGGATGATCCAAGAATGCAGTTTTTGTGCATCCCTTGCCATCAGCAAAATTTGTATAGAAGCACGAATCTATAAAAGCCGGGATAATCTTCAGCTATCATGATCCATTCATCGACAACATCAAGTTACTTCGACAACAAGACACCAGCGACAACCTTGACCGTATTTCTCATCCACAGCCCATTCTATCTCGAGGCCATCTATTCCAAAGTGACAACACCGTCCCACACTTAGCGTACGTGCTTCCGCATCGTCAGGATCAGATTATCCTCCCCCGTCACTGCAGCTATTAACAGCTCGGTTCCTCACAGCGTCAAAATGCAATTCACCTCCTTCAAAGCTCTGGCTATCTTTGCCACTTCCCTCTTTGCATTCTCTGCAGCCGCTCGGCCCAGCTGTGAGACGGGAGCTACTTGGCCCGATCACTCTGATTGCCACAGCTTCTTCGAATGCTCTGCTGGCGGAATTCCTGCCCACAAGACTTGCGGCCCCGGAACAGCATATAACTCTAAGCTTGGGATCTGTGATTATCAGGAGAAGGTTCCGTCCTGCCGCGACCATGGTCCTGCGGGCCATGACGAGTCGCCGGAGGGCCATGCTCAGGAAGGGAAGGGTCACGGCCATGACGAGTCGTCGGAGGGCCATGGTCAGGAGGGGAAGGGTCACAGCAATGGCCAGTCCTGGGGGGGTCATGGTCAGGAAGGGAAGGGTCACGGCCATGACGAGTCGCCAGAGGGCCATGCTCAGGAAGGGAAGGGCCACGGCCATGACGAGTCGTCGGAGGGCCATGGTCAGGAGGGGAAGGGTCACGGCCATGACGAGTCGCCTGAGGGCCATGGCCAGGAGGCCAAGGGCCACGGCAATGGCCAGCAGGAGCACGGTGAAGGAAGTCATTAGTTCGTCCCTAGGGGCTGTTGACTTAGGCATAGCTTTCATGTTTTGGTATTATCTGTGTTTCACAACGGCGTTGCATCAGTTATCTATACTCGAATAAGTAATATAATACGATGGAATCTTTTTATCAAGTTTGATCCACAGATCTCACTAGGTCGTAGATTCTCAGACCAAGACCCAATTTGGGGGCCTGGTCATCACATGGTATCATCACATAAGAGCCCTAAACTAGCGACCTAGCCAGTATCTAACCTCTTAAAACTCTTGAGCGTACTTAGGAGCCGCCAAAATTCGAAACCTGCTCCGCCCTGCTGGTTTCCTTGGAGTTGGATTGGTATCCCCAGGCTCGTTTGAAGTTGGTACAACTGGGTTTATGTTTTCCCAAATCAGTAAATATGCTTGGAACCCTATTAGTGGATAAAGTCTACTGGAAACCTCATGCCAAGGAAGATAATAGCAATGTTACTCATCAACCCTGCATAACCCCACGCACAAAATAACGGCGTCGCATGTCTTGAGCTCGCGTCGCCGATCGCTGCCAAGACAATGAACATATTAAAAGCGACATTACTGAGGGTTCGGTGAAGATGAGCAAATGTATTCGGACACCCTTCGCTGTGCGAAAAAGGCTACCAAGGAAATTAGAAAGAAATATCTCTCCCATTCAGGATGGCATCTCTCTGCTAGGTACACCTTGTTACGTAGACCCCAACACATGCGACCGCGACTATCAATACTTAGCACAGGGCTTCCCGAAAATGCCTTACACCCTATAAGCGGTGAGGCCCTTGTCCAAATCCTGAAGAATCTCTCATGTACTGAGTATTGTAAAGATCCTACATGAAGCGAATGCAAGCTTGCACCAGTGTACTGTTTATAGAAGTGAACTAACTGTGTATAACTTAGGGTAGGATTTAGATCGTGACTCAATGTGGGGAAAGCTACTCACTCGTATTTTTAGCGCACCGCCACTGCCGTGAGTCACGTTCACTCATCCTGGGTCAATCTCTGGGTCTTCGACTGTTCGGTGGAGAACTCACTTCCAGACCAATTCTGCTCTTGAAAACAAAGCTTGAATGAGTTTAAATAATAACCTATTCATGAGAATATTCTCATGTCTTTATTTTTAAGAAAAACAAAGAACATCGAATTGTCCTACTGTACTTTTTGTTCAGCCGTTTGTTTTAGCCGTCTGGTTTAGCAGTTCTTTTTAGATTCGTCTTGGCATCTCTGAGCGTATTTTAGGATAATCTACGATACCCATGGCGTCTAACGAGGAAAGCCGACCTATAACCCTGACGTCATACGAAACAGCCTTATGTGTGGTTCCTCCGTCGCATTTAACCGGAGATATTGACCGTCTACGAGCTTTATATGACAAAGCACATGGAAGATGGCCACCACATGCCAATCTGATTTACCCATTCGTGGCTCCAGAGGCACTTCCCCAAGCTTCCAAATTGGTACAATCAGTTCTAAGCAACAGGAAAGAAGTTGACCCCATCCGTCTGCGGCTGGATACACCAGATTTCTTCGCCCACAAGCGCAGTAATACAGTTTATCTCACGGATAGTGGAAGCGATGGTTTGAAGGCCCTAACACAGCTGCAACGAGATATTATAGATGCTTTCGGTGATCAATCGCGGGCCTCTGGCCAGCTGCATCTCACAGTTGGTCAAAGCGAGGCAGATAATTTGGCCGAGAGGCAATTTCTGCTAGACAAAATCGGCTTGATTCCCGCCATTGAGTGGGAAGTGGAAGAACTGGTGATTTTGATCCGTGACCGATCGCAGGGGCTAGATACTGCTTCCAGCCCCATGGTAGTCTGGGGGGCTGTTTCACTGTCTGGTACACCTTCATCGAACTCTCAAGCTCTTGAATACTCCTCGCCATCCTCGTTGCCAGCTCACTCGGCGACTACGTTTCAGTTCTCGCCTGCTGAGGACGATAGCGAAGAAGGAAAATGGACTGCTATGCCAAAGTCACCTTCGCCAACAGAAGGAAAGCGGATGGAATCACCGGTAACTGTTGCGTCGTACAATGTTCTCATTGAATCCCCCCATCCGCCTCCGACGGAGAGGTATCCCCTACTCCTCCAGAACCTACTCTCCGACGCTGCAACCGCCGATGTTCTCATCCTCCAGGAGGTAGCTGACGATTTTTTGTCCTTCCTTCTCCGAGACAAGGAGATCCGCCTCCGTTACCCCTTCACAACCCATGGACCACCCGACCAGGCCGAAATCGGCCCGCTAAACAGCCTCCGAAACATTGTCGTGCTCAGCCGTTGGCAGTTCCGGTGGGAGTGGCTACCGTTCGACAAGCGGCATAAAGGCGCAGTCGTACTTCAGCTAGAGGACTTGGGAACCTTTCACGATTCGAAATTCTTCCCTCTCATTGTGACAGGTGTACACCTGAGCTGTGGTCTCATTGACAGTTCTATCATGGCGAAACGGTCCCAACTTCAAACGGTACTCAGATATCTGTCTGGGAATTACCCTAATAACCACTGGGTTGTTGCGGGAGATTTCAACATTGCGACTTCATCTTATACCATCGACACGGCATTGAAGCGGAGGTCGATCTCGGCACAAGGCGCGTCGGTGCTGGCATCTCTGGACATGATGTTGACTGAGGTCGGTCTCTCGGATTGTTACTACGCTAGTCGTGCTAGCAGTGTCGCCAATAGTGGCCTAGGGAACCCCCAGAGTAGGTTAGATCTTGGAACATTGTATGAAGGCGAGGAAGGCGCAACATATGACCCTACTGAAAATGAACACGCCGCACGAATCGCAGGACAAAGCTTTCACAATCGACCTCAAAGATATGATCGGATTCTTGTACGTGGCGAAGAATCCAAAGTTCTCTCATATAACCTGTTCGGATTTTCCAGTGGAGAGGAAAACCAGGTCGCAAGTGATCATTGGGGAGTGAGAGCGACATTGAGGTTGGATGGCCCGAGTTCTGAAGATCCGGGAAGCGAAAGGGCCTCCATCGCAATTGAAAAGGCGGCATCGAGTCTTGGAGGTGTCGATGGCTTGAAGAAATGTCTGAGAGAGCATCAGGCCTTTCCATCAGATGAGGAAATTGCACAGCGGAAGGAGGCTTTCGAGTCGATCAAACAGCTCGTCAACCAGCGTGATGCCAACCTGCCAGCTGATACTAAGGTAGATCTGTTATTCGCAGTTGTACCTGTTGGCTCATATGGCTTCGGTGTGTGGAACAGCTCGTCCGATATGGATATTCTAGTCATTGGACAAGTCAGCCCACGGACATTCTTCGCCCTGATGATTGCGAAGCTACGGCGAGCAACGGACAGCGACATTGCGCTTCTCCGAAAGGTGAAGGCAGCATCTGGAACAATGTTGGAGTTGGAGGTTCGTGGCGTACGTATTGATCTACAGTATTGCGCAGCAACCCGTGTCGTTGAAAGGTAACTCCTCCATTAGCACCTATATTCCCTCACATAGTATGATAGCTAACGCAGTAATAGCTGGCCACAAGCTTTAGAGCTCCCTGCAGGTGACTCTACCTTTGACCTCCCTATGCAATCATTGCTCAAGCTCAACTCCCTCCGCGACATGCACTATCTGCAACGAACAATCCCAGACCTAGCGTCGTTCCGTCTTGCCTATCGTTTTATCAAGCTGTGGGCCCAGCGACGCGGGATCTACTCCTCCAAGCTGGGTTATCTTGGGGGAATTCACATTACCTTGCTCCTAGGGCGTATCTGTACGCTCTCATTCCGCCAGGCCGGCAGCATCTCAACAGCAGATATCGTCACCACATTCTTCAAGCACTATGCACTATTCAACTGGGAGAAAAATGTTGTGTATGATCCCAGTTTCTATAAGTCAGCACCGCGATACTTCCGACCTCAACGGGAGCCGTTGGTGATCCTTAGCCAGCACCAACCGAAAGTCAACGTTGCCCGTGCAGCTTCGATCCCTTCAACGAGAACACTGGTACAAGAGTTCCAACGGGCTGATCAGCTCTTGTCCAGACAAGGTGTCACCTGGGAACAGTTGGCTGGGTCTGTTGAGAACTCCACCGGTGCAGACGAATTCTTTAAATCATATCGAAGCTATGCAAAGGTGAACGTTCAGTACTGGGGCGGTGCAGCGACAAAGGGCAGAATGCTGGTCGGGTGGTTGGAGTGGCGATGCGTATCGCTTCTCGTTGGTAGGTTACATCCATTGCATACGTTTTTCTCACTATGAGCTAAACATGAATAGATATTCATCGAAGATTCCCCGACATCCACGCCCGGATCTGGCCAGCTCGGTTCACAGATATGGAAGAAGTCGACGAGACTACCAAAGAATACCAAGGTTGCTATTTGATTGGCCTGGCTAGGGAAAGTACGCCAGGAGCAACCCCATTAAGCGATGCCGACCGACAATCGGCCCAGATCTCCCTCTTGGCTGTGCTGAATACCTTTGCCGAGCAAATCCGTGAAGACGAGAACTACTTCGACAGTTCTTCCAGCTGGGTTGACGTTAGCCTAGTTCAGCCATCTGCGCTCAGCGGTCTTCGGGTCGATAGTTCCAACTGGGGAAATGCGGCTTACGATGAAGACTCATTCGATGATGATGAAGATGAGATTGATCTAGAGGATGAAGAGAATGAAGAGCTAACACAGCCACGCCAACGGGCCATGCCTATCCGTGGCGCGAAGGCCGTCTGGATTCCTGAAGGGACAAAGCTACGGTCTGCTAGTGATGTTCTAAACCGACTTCGCTGGGATGCAGAATTTGATATTGAAGATTACATTGTCGGCTATGACGATCGCTTCCTTGGGGAGAGGGAAATGCCGGTGGGGCAATGGAAGGCAGATCTGACCGATGAGGCGTTTATCCCCATGCATCGGATTCTGTACTTCAAGAGGAAGAGTGATGGAGTGAAGGTTTGGGATCGAGAGACGAGGACCGATCTACTATTCGGTAGTGGTGTGTCGAGCCAGATGCAGGAATGAAAAGACGGTTCAATAGTATACTGCCGACCCGCCCTATTTTGGGGGCATTAGAAGGTATATCGTATAGTGATCTAGATGACAATGAATATCCTAAGTCAATCTCGCTTTTATATCAACATTAGCCTGAGAGGCTGGATAGTTGAAAGCATATGGTTATGTCATCGTATTTCAGAAACAACTCGAGAAGAAGATCAGTTTTCTACATCTAACATTTAAGCAGGTCCTCGAACACCCATTTGTAACTTTGAAGTCCCTTCAAAAGCTCAGCCCCATTGTATATCACGCCTGCATCCCAAGCCTCATACTCCAAAATCTCACCCTTTGTTCTAAAACTGCGGAACTCTCCTCCCAACTATTTCTATCAGGCACCAAAGCCATCTCCAACAGTCGACCTATCTACCAAACCCACAGGCCCCTACTTCTTCTACGGCACACTAACCGACCCGTGCATGGTTTCAGAGATCCTCAAATTGGACAAAGAGCCCGAGCTCCGACTGGCATTTATTCAAGGTTACGAATGTAAGATGTGGGGCCAATACCCGGCCTTAGTGGACGCCTTTAGTGATACCGTTGTTGAAGGTGCCGTATACTATGTCCAAACTGCGGAGGATGGAGAAAGGCTTGCTGCGTATGAAACCAATAGTTACCGCATAGAGTCCTGTGTGATCAGATACACGGATGGCAAGGAACCGGCAGAGGATCTAGGGTATACTTTCAGGTTTGTGGGGAACCCGAATGATTTGCATGGAAGATTTGAGTTGAGGGCTTGGTTGAAGTCGATGGGGAGGGAGGCGGCGGTGGAGAAGTTGGATGCTAAGATGTGTTCATAATCTATCTAGACGTCATTATTGAACGGTCAAACTGCACAAAATATAATAAGTGACTTTCCTCTATTTGAGAGAATGGTTTAACCATCTGTAATATTCATACCTTTCCAGGCAACACCGTTAATATTTATTTACAGTCATACGTATTTCAGACTGTGTGTAGCTAGAACAGGGGCCATAGAGTATCAATACCTAGCAAGACAATTTTGGCACTTAATATAGATTATCTATATTGCTTTCTGCACCATTGAAAATGCCATAGACTGTTAGACATCAACTTGTGTATCAGATTCACGATTATTTAGTAGGTTGCTGCAAATGTAGTTCATGTTGATACTGATTCCGTCCACATAGTTCAGCCTTGTATACCTCATTTTCGGCATTGACATCAGTCTATGGCTATGCTAATAGATGCCGATTATACTGAAAGTCTTCTGAGAGTCGGAGGACGAATTTCAAAGGGAGGGAGAGGTAAGTAACCCAAGACAGGTTCATACAGGAAGGTTGACACGGACACTGAAACCCCCGGTTGATAGCGGACCAAAGTAAGTAGGATTATTGCTTATCAATACCGCATCTCAAAGCCAAAATGTCTTCTGGAAGTTTTCTTATATCCTTGTGACTATCCAGTGCAAAGTTAATTTACACAACACGGTTTGAATACCCGACCTATCTGGAGGCTGCACAAGAGCTCCTACCAGTTAGAAGCCGTCTCTGCGGATCCTATCCAAAGAGCTGCGACGGTCTAGATCGTTTATTCAACCGGAAACGGAAGTGTGGCTCTGAACTTAATTTGGTGACCAAGTAGACAAGGTCTTGATCGAATTCAAGGATTTTGTTTGGGACGACATACTCACTGTGTCATTTGTGAAGCCCTAACCTCTAGGACCCAATGAACTGAATGCCTTACAGAATACCCCCTTTTAATGCCCACTAGATATATGCCTACCAGCAATCCATAAAATCCTCCGAAAAATTCCCGTAGAAGGCAAAAACCTTCCATAAGCTGTGACCAAAGAGACAGATCCATAGATCCTCCGGTGGATCCACAACCGCCAAGACCTGACGTCTTACCGTCCCACTGAAGATCCCCAGGCATTTGACCCGAACTTTCTACATGTCACCTCATCACCATGTCCTCCGACTCGCGTAGAAATGCAAGTAGACAGCGCGGTAAATACACCACTAGAGCATGTGAAGAATGTCGACGGCGCCGAGCGAAGGTTAGTCAAGTGGCTATATGATCAACAAGTGGGCGAGGGTTCAATCGACACGGGCGATTGTATTACTAACGAAAACTATCAGTGCGATGGAAACAAACCGTCCTGCTCCAGATGCTCGCAATGGCGCGCTCTCTGTCGGTATTCTGTCGCGGAGGATGGTCGGAGACCAGCATCCAAGACATACGTGCTTCTCCTGCGGCAGAGGATAGAATCGCTAGAAAGACTGCTGGAACGACATGGAATTGATGCGAGGGAATCCCAGGTACCCGAACAACTGCCATTAGATAAGAAGGCCGGCACGAACGGCACTATACGACATGACGACACTTCTTCGGATATGGATAGCCTGGCCGAAAATTTCAAGGGCAGGCTGGCTCTGGACGAATCGCTGAATTTCGACCAAGATGGCGAGATGAGGTATTTCGGGCCGACGAGTGGTCGACTTCAGTTTCAGGGTACTTCCAGTAATCGTGTCAGCATTGATGGCTCTGCTTTTTCGGTCTCTCCGCCGGATCAAGTGTCGGATAGCTACGGGTATATCGACCCTATTGACCCGATCACGGCAGGGATGGGAGTTCCGAAGGACGTTCAGGACCATCTGATTGATCTGTACTTCAAGTGGGAGCAGCCGTGGTATGCTGTGATCGATGAGGAGCTCTTTAGGGAAAGTATGAATAATGGTGGCCGATACTGGACTCCCCTACTACATAATTGCATCCTTGCTTTAGGGTCGCGGTATTCCGATCGTGTCGATGTACGATCGGATCCAGATGATCCAAATACAGCAGGGAAGGCATTCCTCGAAGAAGCGAAAACCCAGCTCCACAGGGAGACGGAAAGGCCCAGCCTAACCACTATCCAAGCACTAGGCCTGATTGGGATGGTGTATATTGTAAGATAACGTTGCCTGTGTTTGTCATCTATTAGTACATGCTAATGATAACAGGCGATGGGGGCTGACGCCGCTGGCTGGCTGCACCATGGGATGGCGAACCGACTGAGTCTCGACATGGGCTTGAATCTGGACCCGGCTGGATTTGAAGAGACGAATGCAATGACCCCACGGGAGATTCAACTCAGGAGACAGATTTACTGGACCTTGTACTGTCATGATAAGCTGTCCTCCAGTTATACGGGACGGATTTGCTCCATGCTTGTGAGTTCGACTGGTCTGTAGATGGCACAGTATTCTGACAGATGTAGGACTCTCAAGGAGCTGTCAAAGTACCGGATGACGATCCTCTATCCAATATGGAGATGAGTCCCGCTCAGAACGCATTCAGACCACTACAGCGAGCCATGATTAGCGTCTGCCGAATACAGGAGAGAATCACTTTATCACTGTAACAAAATACCCAACACTCACCTCTATGCGTCAGCTAACGGTTTCAGATGGGCACCCAAACCCCTCCTCAAGGAGCACCAACGACCGGCCTTCCTCAAGTCCTGTCTCCTAGACCTAAGGTCCTGGTTCTACGACCTCCCCACAGAGTTAAGAATCGACCGTGCCAACGACATCCCCCAAGCCTACACACTCCACATGGTGTACCACACGGCACGCATCCTCCTAGCAAAACCATTCATCATGAGAGAAACCCCACCCTCAAAGCCCAAAAACGAAACCACTGACCTGGCTCACTCAATCTGTCGCGAATCCGCCCGTTCCATCTGCCTCGTCGCTCAGAAATACCGACACACCTTCGGGGGATACCACCTGAGCCCAATCACAGCAACTCACTGCACATTATCCGCAGCGTTGGTCCTCCTCGATGAAACCGAGAATCTAAACGCCCCCTCACATAAGAACAAACTGGCCCTGTGTTTAACAGTGTTGGACGAGCTATCTAAATCGTGGTATCCGGCAAGCCATATCGGACATAATCTCAGGAAGCTTTGTCAGTCTGCCATCTCAGATGTCACATTTTCTTTAGAGAAGGGGCTATATCCTTTCGAAACAAACCCCAGCCCGCCACTCGACCTAGGCGTCGAGCTCCCGAATATCATCGACGAGATCGAATCAAACCCAAGTGTCAACCCGGGCAACGCACTCGCCAATCAATTAGAACTGTCAGTCCCGATGGAATCACTACCCGTCGATTACGGGTTCTTCGATATCCTCAATCAAATTAATTGGGAGAGGATGTGGTAGTGCTGTTACTGTACATCTGAACAATCTACCAACCATAAACCTAGAAGAAGGGGTCAATGATAACACCCAAGTATCAACCATAAAAAGTCCCACCTGAAACACACATAACAACATGAAACAACAACCCAACATTGATTTGTCAGTCCGTGTATCTCCATCTCTCGATAAAGTTATCTCCCCTCGGGCTATGACCTCATCAGCTTTTCGCGATCCGTCGCAGTATCTGCCCAGTCCACAGACACACTCAAGAGTCCGTGACTATGCTTCCAGATGTCATGAATGGCCGTGTTATCGCGCTTATCATTGTTGGCCTTACCAACTATATAAGAGATGGGAAATAAGTATGACGGCGAACCGAACGTATACCGAATGACTATATCACTTAAGTTGAACCCTGCTCCTTTTGGGTTTCGACGATGAAGTCTACTAAATCTTCCGCCTTGTCGCAAATTACCTCTGTCGTTAGTAATCGGGAGTGTCCTGGGTATTGGTCCCGATATTCGGATCTTGGAGAATGTTCTTTATGTATTTGTCCCATGTTGATAGACACACTGTAATAATTCTCAATGCTGGGAAGCTGTGTTAGCTTAAAGAAGGGGGCAAATATTTTATTAAAGGATACTACAGTACTATTAGACATTAAGAAGATAGTACTGAAACTCTTCTCTATAGTTGTATACCCTGTGTAGTCTATATCTGTGATTGTAGGTGGAAGTTTAATTGATTCTGCAACGATGTGCTTTAAGCTTGAGTTGTTAATACAAAGGCATAAGAAGCCTCCGACTTAAGTTCAAAGATGGCGACAAGTTGGATGTGAGTAGGGCAGGCAATGACCCTCCCGACAGTGCCTATGATTTCGAACACGGCGAGAAAGTCACCGAGATGAACGTCTGGGGCCACACCGACCCGGTCAGCGAGATTCCAAATGGCTTCGTTACCGGAATTGAGTTCAAAAACTACTCGGATCAACGTGCCACAAATGCTCGGAGTGCCAGCAGGGGAGCGCTATCGTTAAGGATTAGGAAATGGTCGCCTTGTTGGTTTCCAGGGACGTGCTGGCTATAGGGTTGATGCCATTGGTGCCATATACGACGATTAATAGGTGAGTCTTGAGGATGTCATCATATTTAATTCGCAATTGGTAACAGAAGGCTCAGGTTTCAAAGACGTTTGGTGTTTCGGTGTAAACGTACTTTCTACGTCTCGTTTTGATTACTTAGTGCTTTTTAAAGTGATCAAAATAACTGGGATCATTGCTCCTTTGTATTTGCCTGCTGTGGGCGCCTTGGTATGGCTTTTTCCCACTGATGGGTTTGCCCATATCTTGATGCGAATGCAAAGGCCGGTATACCTGATGCATTGGTTAATGTCCATTATATAGGATGGTATAAGATAATACAAGATATATGCTGTGAACCATGACTCGTCGATCTTGAACACTAGAGATTGTTATCTACCGACTTCTGCGTTTTCTTCGAGTACTGCAGATTTGCCGCCGCATCCCATCGCGTTATGATATTAGTTCTCTCAATCACAGACCAACCTCCCAGCCCTTATATGATGTGAAACTCCTCATGAGACTGATCCTTCACCATGGTGTAGAGAGGACTTTCGAGTGAGCTTGATGTCTCTGCAAGACCGTCAACGTACGTCTGACCAACTAGTTTGTACCACGCTTGCTTATGACCTGTGTCTAGTTGCCTTCTCAACACTAGCGGCTGCTCTGCCGTATTAGCAACCACCACGATATCCTCGTCTTCGATAGTCACAGGGCAAATGCCGAATCCCTGAGCCGCCTTAGTGACAAGGAGGAAGACGGATTGATTGCAATTTGCACTCAATACTTTTCGTAGCTTTGACTGGAATTTATCATTTCCAGCCGCATCAGTTTCATTCGATTGGCCCTGGACCTGAGTATTCTTGTACGTGTGAGCTAGGTTTTGTATTGCCTCCATCGCATCTTCGATTGTAAAGGTGTCGTCTTGGGGGAAATGGCACAGACATGCTTCAACAAATCTCGCACGTACTGTCAATGGATCCCAGATCGTGCGCCACGCTTCCAACATTTCGACGACTTGCATGATGTCTGCGACCACCTTTCGCAAATCTGAGCCAAAGCGGAAGATAGGTTTGCAGTGCCCTACAGTGCGTCCCCACAGATGAAGAGTTTTGTAATCCTCAGATACATGTGGAAAGTACTCCACAGCGGGAGTCCACAGAGACTCCTTTATATTTCGGGAGATGTAATGTGACGATAGCCCTTTCACCCGCGTGCATGGCGTTGTATAATCAGGGACCCATGAAGGAATCGTGTCATCGAGCAGATGATTGTCGCGGACGGCAAAGAGGTTGAAAATGCATGCTCTGGTTTCTTTTCGAATGATGAACTCTGTTGTCTCAACCAGGACCTGCTCCAAAGGCTTGTTGTAGTCTGGCGGATATGCCTCCTGAGCAGAGGGGACGAGGGCATACAGAGCGTACACTCTATCCCGCGGATTGCCACATTGGCGATGGTACGCTAGATATATGAGGGAAGCCAGGCCCTTATACGCAGGCGCGTCTCGATCCCGCACGATATCGAAGTAGGCGAAGCGCTCCATTATACGAGCAAATTCTCCATCATCTATAGCACTGAGCCGCTGTACTTCCAAACAGTGCTGTTTCGTCTTTTCATCTTGATCAGGGCTAGGCTTATTCTTTCTTTCTATCTCGACGGGGTCCTGTCCCAACCGATCCATAGCGGCAAAGGGCGTTAGGACAGCTCCATCCCATGTGGTACCCATAATGGCAGACGCCTTAAAAGTAAATGCACCGCACATGCAAATCGGCTCGCGCTCGGGCAACTGGTATTCCTGAAAGGTCCACATCCGAGTCCAGTATGGAAGGAGAATAAAATGTCGCAAGCCAATGAACGTTTTCAGAATGGCAATTTCTTTTTCCCGTCTAGCTTCAACAGACCATAATTCTTTCAGTTCGAGCTTCCGCCAAAATAGAGTTCGCTTAGTGGCCCGCTTATGGATGTATCGCTCACACCACGACACGGCCATCTCTATCTCGGGAGAGTATTCGCCCAGGATTGAGACCACCCGGATTGCAGTCATATATATAGAGCCCATCAGAGGAACCTGCTTGTTCTTCTCGGGGACGTCTTCCTGGTTGATGCAGATGTAGTCGATCCACATGACGCGTTCATCGGTGGGTTGGCGTAAATGGCGAAGGGCTGATCCTAAGTTGGGTGTGACCTCAAACGATTGTTTATCAAGACGGATCGTCTCGAAGGTGTCGATGCTTCCCCAAACATATGAAAGAGCCTCAAACTTCGGTCGCTGTCGAAGCGACACCACTTCAAGTGAACATTCTATAATTGCCTTCGAGTTTTTATTTGGGTAGATCGTGACCAGTCGAATTTCTTGGTCGTTAAGCGGGGTATAGTTGAAGGTCATTTTGATGATCCTTCTCTGGCTGGGGTGTTGGTTGATTGCCAGAGAACTTGATGGTGGGAATTCAAGTGTGAAATAGCTTCTGTGCCACGGGGCCTGTGAGTATCTAGGACGAATTTGACTTAGTCACTTGGCGCAGAACTGGAATACGAGCTGCCTCTGCCACTATTATATAGATCTTTGACTGCGCGTATATCAAACGCTTACGTAGGTAAGGTGAAATTCGACTATTGGCTTCCTGAGCGCTAAGTGTCACGATAGCCCGAACAGAACCAGTCTCGACTTTGTTTCCAACGCAGCGATGGGTAGGAACAACTGTAACATTCCTTTCCAACACTGTTTCCTTCACGCTTCACCCCCAAGTGCTCAACTAATATTTTCTTAACCGTACATTAGGCCTGGTAAAGACATAGACCGGCCCTAGGGCTGCAAGACCACCTCAGTCCCGACGCATCGATTGCAGACAAAACAAATTGGTAGGATCTACTCGTCGTTTGATCGAGAGTAATCGATCGCAGTTCTTTCCCCAGAAAAGACTGTGCCACTTAGGCTCATACCTGATCAACCTCCTGTAAGTCAAGTTTACCCTTTGGAAATTAGACGGAATTAAAACCCTCACGGGTTGGCCTCGTTCATATTCCTCCCTCCGTGCCGACCATATCTGTAACTACGGTGCTGACTAATTTCCACCATCTGCTGTCGCTTTTCATGCGGAAGATATATTCCGCACCGCAGAGCCTATATAAACCCGGTCCAGAACCACTTCAAACTTAATTCCAAACTCCCAGAGAATAAATACCGAACCAAAATGTCCCACCTAACTTACTACAACTACCCCGGCGTCGGCGAACGCAACCGCCAAAATTTCAAATACAGCCAAGCCGTCCGCATCAGCGACCGCATCGAATGCTCCGGTCAAGGTTCGCCCTCTCCCCCCTAGGTACATCCCAAATAGTCTAATCGCACTAACATGAGATGCAATAATGACAAGGTGGCTGGGACCCCAACACAGGTGAATTCTACAAAGAAATCAACGCGCAGATCGACCAGGCGTTCGCGAACGTGGATCTGGCGCTCAAGACGGCCGGCGGAAAGGGCTGGCCGCAGGTGTATCGGGTGAATTCGTATCATGTGCCAATCAATGATGAGGCGTTGGAGGCTATGGTGAGGAATTTTAGAAAGTGGATGCCGGATCATGAGCCGTTATGGACTTGTGTGGGGGTTACGAGGTTGGGGGAGGATGATATGAGGGTTGAGATTGAGGTTGTTGCGCATGACCCTAAGTAGAGTGGGTGGTTGGATTGATGAATTTATGATTTTTCTTTGGCTTTCTAGTCTTTCTTAATCTTTTGGGGAGGGATTTGGGCTGGCATATCCTCTGACTAACCTCCCAGATCTCCAGGGACCCTCGTCTATCTTTTATGAGTATATTGACACCAGTAGCTAGTATCTGGACAAAGGAAAGACAATACGGTGCATGTATTACCGCAGAGCACACCGTAGACACATAATGATGAAGAAATAAATTCGTCGTCGTTCAAGAACCAGTCTAATATTTCACCATCCCATCCCATCCCAAATCCGTCTAAAACCAACCCAAACCAACGCCTTCTCCGTACACCACCTCAACACGAAGTATATAGCCTCTATAGCCCCGTCCCAACACACCATACAAGAAAGTTCCCTATGACCGCTTCCGTTCCAGACCCAAAATATCCTCCACCCCCTGAATAACATCCCCAATACGTCTCCGGTGACCCTCCCTATCCTTCATGCGCTCGGTGGCATAATATGGCTCCATCCAGGACGGACTCTCCCGATACCGGGAGATGTTGTCCAGTTGGGCATAATCCCGTGTAGTCTGATATGAGGTATTCGAGGACTCGGTGTTAGGGGTCGACCCCGTAACTATTGTGGTAGCGGTTGTGGGGTTTGATTTAGTTCTGGTAGACGAACAGGCTATTAGTACCAGAGTAGAATACACAGGACAAATCTTGGAAGTAGGGTGAATGTTCACGCACGAAGAAGACGTCGTCTTTGACATTTCTCTCTCTCTTTCTCTCTCGCTTTGTCTCTCCCTATCTTCAATAGGAAACAAAATGGCCCAAATTGTAACACCAAACTCAAAATCCTAATCTGACGTCAATGTCCTACAACGGAAAACATCTGGGTCTAAAATAACCCATTTATATGCTACAACACTACATAGAACGACACAAAACATCTCAGCTCCGAAAAAAGCAAAATCTACAAAGGATTCGCTCTTCCAAATCACAAGGAATAGCCCGAGTAAGGATCGGTCACCACCCCCGATCACTATCACATCCAATCCAGACACTTCCGGGACACACCGTCAAGAGACAAAAAAAGTGCAAATCATACAATGTCACTAACTAACAAATCCCAGTCACAGTCAAGGTACCCGACACGACCAGGCCAAGTGTAAACACGAGAAACCATCGGCCGAAAGCTGTCCGACGATCTATTCGATTCCCCGTATCGGTGTCAGCAAGATGGATAGGTACATACACACCACGTAATGTACCATGTACCTAAAGTAAAGTAAGGCAGACACCTCAATGACTCAATGTCCTCTATAAAGGGAATGTGCGCGAATGTATGTAAGAACAGTCTGAATCACAATAGATCATGTCATATACCCACTCGACCCTGCATGGACTGGACGGAGCGCAAATGTGTCATTTCCGAGGCGCAACCGTGTCGTTGTGAGCCAGCGAAATAGAAAAATGTGATTATCAGACTTTTTTTTTTTTTTTCTTTTAATCTTAAAAATAATATGAGTTGTAAATGCCAATAAAAAGGCGGAAGGAATCAAACAAGGCGACGGACCCGCTTGTTCTAGACCGGATGAATGGAGTTCGTTTTAGCTTAGCGGGTGCCTTATGGATATTGTCGGAGATTTTCTTCTGACGTCGGTCTAGAACTTCTGCAAACTGGATGGATTGTCTTCCCTGGTGGTTGCCGGGTGGGTAGGGAGAGATGGGAGGGGAGGGGCTAGGTTTGGTTTGGGTAGGAGGTGGATGGTTGATCCGTCTATCCTGTTACCGGACTAAGTGGTCCCCTTGAGGGACCACTCGTTAACTCGGGAGGTGGTGATAACGGTGGGAATGGAGGGTTGAGGGAGTTTCGTTAGGGCACAGTGAGGCAGGGGGAATTTAGGGTTCGGTGTGATGTGCAGGGATGTGGCTGCATCATCGGAGATTTTTCGCTGATCGCCATTACAACTGGCTGGTGGGGTCATTTTCGTTGTTGGGGTGGCTGGACGGTCGAAGGAGGGGTAAAGTCTAGTGTGACCTCTGTATCTACTTGCTTGTCCTCTACCAGATGCGCTCTACTCAGTGGATCTCAAGTGTCGTCTCGAAAGTTGGGAGATTGTATTGTCTAACTGTTGACATAGGAGATAAGGAAATGAAAATAAATATAAAAATAAAAATAAAAGCAACTTTTGGGTATATCACGACCAGACACCGTTTCGCCAACCAACCCGATCAATCAACGAATGGAGAGTACTCGACTCATTAAGGTAATGTATTGTACAAGAACATGACAGTCATAACCAGGGCGAGACGCGAAACAATCAAGCATTAAGCGCGAAATGTCTCAGCCCCCTTGGTATGTCGCCACATCCCGCTGGGGACCATGTTTTGTTTGAACATGGCCAGCTCCTTCTGAAGAGCCTTGTTCTCTTCCTGCAGCTCTTGCATGTAGGCAATCGCATTGGTCAAGATCTCCGACTTCTTGAGCGACGCTGACCCGCCCTTGCTGGACTTCTGGACTCCGCCACACATGGCCTTCTCCAGGGCCACAAACTTGGCGTTCATGTTGGTGCGATACCGCTTCTCAATGATGTTATGTGCAGCACGCTTCGCGGCGTTGCGCCCACTGGTTGTTGTGGCCGTCGTGGTCTGGCCCGTGCTGGCATTGCTAGCATTGGAGTCAACCGACGTGGTGCGGGTCATCTTGCGGTTGACGGGAGGCGATGTGGGAGTTGCCTGAGGGGAAGTGCGGGTGGGGTATTCTTGGGGTGCGAGTTCAGGACTGGAAGACCATGTTGTCTCGCGTTTCACAACTGGGGTGGTCTTGCGGCGGGTGGATTGTCTCCCGGGGGCAGGCAGCATCTCTGCGGGAGCAGCATAGGTGGGAGACCAAGACTGATCATCACTTTCCAGATCCTACTGTATTGTCAGTCATGGTTCCAAGAGTATATCCGATGATTCATAACCTACCGAAGTGATGGAACCGGCATCTTCGCCCGAATGGTTGGAAATGGTGAATCCACTGATATCAGGAGGGGGCGCGAAGAAATCGGCAGGGAAATCCTTGGGATCCACTCCCATAGGCTCATTGGGCACATCGAGAGCGAAGTTCTCGGGCATCATGGTGTTTAGCGAGAAAAGATCAATGGCACTGTCGTAGTTCCAGTTGGCCGACAAGGGATCGGGACCCTTGGGGGCGGGGAAGGTATCGTAGGGGCGGTGCATGGGACTGTGATGGCTCATGTACATGCGTTCGTCGTCACTCAAGGTGAACGAAGGATCAGTTCTAGTGTATGCCATTGATGGTGGTGGTGGTTGATGTTGATGTTGTGGTAGTCGAAGGTCGACAAGATATAGTTGGGATGATAGATAGAGATGTAGATCGGAATCTGATATTGCCACAGGGGGGAGAGGAACGGATATAAATAAATATCACAAAAAAGGTTTTAATCTTAGAACCGTGGATCTGGTAGACAAAATAGAATAACGGCAGCGAGTGTGAAGCTTCTTTATAAAGGAAACGAAAGTTTTTTTTTCACACGGTGATGTAATTAAGGGCCGGTATAATAAAAAAAAAGCACTTAATTCCACCAAAATCATTATTAGAATGCAGCACAAGTGATTTGCCCGGTGAAGGACAACCGAGATCACCCCAGCCGGATCATCAGCATCCAGACTCGGTCGGCTCCGATGACAGTCGTCATTCCCATGTCCAGTCAGGAGCAAAACAGAGGAAAGGGACCATGTAGGTGGAGACACTTTGGATCGATGCACGACCGTTGAAGGGAAGAAACGGAAGGCTCAACGCCAAGAAGAGCCCGGCCGAGTCTCGGGGCCGATCATCCGGCCGTGTCATGGCCTTCAATCGGACTTTTTTTTATGGGACAAAATGCGGAATCCCACTTCCACTTCCGACGTGTGTAGTGAAACCATGGCGGAAGTGAATTTATCCCGATTTTGCCCGTCCATCAAAGGTAGCCTGAGGCGATGTTATTTCCTGTTTGAGCAAGACCTTGACTACAGGCTTGCGTTTAGGTTCCTGTACTCCGTTGCCCTTTAGACTCGGGGTACATCCAGATTAATTTTCTCCCTTAATCTTTTACACTTTAGTGATGACGCTGAACTCATTCAACTCAGATTCCTTATTCCTATTCCTATTCCCTGTTTTCTTTGGTTTTTTGTGTTTTCTTTTCTTGGTGTAATTAATTTATGATCACTCGTAAAGCTACGTTCCCTTCATCCGAGTTGGATCCTTGTTGTTCTACAGTTAACTGGCATCATCTTGATATATCAACCAGTTATTTCCGTACGGTATGTAAGATGATGACGGATCATCTTCAGACGAGTGATGTAACGTACTATGCAGCGTCCCTTGGTCCAATGAGAGGACTTCAACCACGCCTTCACAACCCCTGCAGCGTGATGTATTCTCCAATCAGAGCACGTTTATTAGCAATCCCCTTTGATGGATAGGCCCTGCGTAATTCTCTTCCCAACGACAGGCTGTCTTACTGTCCTAGTGGTCCTGTCAGAGACACAAGAGAACCCAGTCTCCTCCTATTTACACACGGACCAAGCCGTCCAGTCCCAGGGGATGGGATCGGGCATCCGCTGTGGATACCTTAAGGAGGGATTGCCTCCCCGACCAATCACTCCCTCTCTTTCACTCATCCGAGGAACGTGTTCATATCCCTTTTTTTTTTTTTTTTTTTTTTTTTTTTTTTTTTTTTTTTTTTTTTTTTTTTTTTTTTTTTTTTTTTTTTTCTCTCTTGACACTTGCATCCTCTATCGGAGAATTTTTCTCCTCCACGCTGCCACCATGACTCGTGACCCAACAGATGACTTCGGATCGTAGATGTACCGTCCATGGTCTGCACACGTGTTGCTTGTCAACTGTCCGCATCGCCCTTCCACAAGGGGAAGTATACCCCTCATGTGCGATGAAGCGAGGTCATTACGGAAAATTAGGTTCTCTTGCGACGTCGACGGTTTCTCTGTGTGTTTCGCAGCCTTTTCTACTCTAGGAAATGTCCTCCCCGTAGTCTTCAGGCTATTGGGTGCAGGGGTTTCTCTAAGAATAGCACATCTCGATACTATTTCGTTTTCCTCGCACACATATTCACGCACACACACAGTCCACAACTCAAAAAAATACCCCGAGTACAGCCTATTACTGCCACTTCCATATCTCAAGATCCAAATATTGGGTCCTCCACACTAACCCAATCCAGGCAAACGATGACAGGGTGGATCAAAAAAATGCTAATAATTAACCTCCCGTAGTAAAGTTAACCCGCAGACGGTAGTCTACTAAGTCTAGTACCCCCTCGGCTCCCCCGTTCGGAAGCCGGACTGAGAGGGTCTTTTTCTTTTTGGAATTTTCTTTTTTTTTTTTTTTTTTTTTGCTTTTTTTTTTTTTTTTTTTTTTTTTTTTTTTTTTTTTTTTTTTGCCTGTCCTTCTTCCTTTTCCTGTCGATTCCCAGTGGTGTGATCCGGCATCTCAGTGCTGAACTCCCGCCAAGTTGCGTCATTCGTCACTTTTGCAATCCATCACCAACCATTCTGATACTGGTCATTTCGATCATGTCTCGAAAACTCCCGATGATATCGCCCGAGAAGATGCATCAATTCGGGTGAGAATGAATCGAGGTTGTCACCTGCCAGTGAAAACTTTTCCATTCGGACGAGATCTGTCTCCGGCGTAGGTGAGGCGGAATTGAGGGCTCCGAGTCAACGTGTTGGTATCTGAGGTACAGTATGTTTACTGATGGAGGGGCTCAGCCCTATCCTGTCTTGTTACCCCTCTTTTGATTATTTTTGATTATTATTTTTTTTTTCTTGGTGCGATAGCGCTGACTTTCAAATTAGGGTTTGGCTGCAATCAGCATGTTATGGCTGAAGAGGCCTATCTGCCGTGATGGGTTACAGACCTTATCCGCCATGCCACCATGATACTCTTATGCTGTAATAGAGAATGACATGCATAGATTGAGTGTGGTGTGGTGACCCAAAACACTGGGGAGAGCCGGGGTGGATCTCTATGGCCAATCTGCAGCCCTAATCCTACGAGCCGCGGGGTAATCTTCACCCTCCTGTCCCAGATCCAAATCCCGGATGCAGAGGCTGAAGAACCCGCAAAACCATGCGAGATCTGGCAAACGGCGGTCAGGATGACGTTCAGCAAGGTCTGTACGACGGTCGAATGGTGGTTACGGTCGTGGTGCAGGTTCTGGAAGATCCAGGTCCGAGAGGGGCATTTTTTTTGTGAGCTCAGATTGAGTTCCAGAAGCTCTGACCACCAGCGGGGGGAACTGCACCTTGCCCCGGATCCAAAGTTGAGGTCAGCCGTTGGCTAGGCTAGCTCGGGTGCGCTACTGCTAGATGCCGTGGTTCAGATGCGGCGGTCCCTGGCGGCCGGGTGAGATCTGTGCCGACGATCCAGCGGTGTATCTACAACGCGACCAAGACCCCTCGAACATCGCCAGAAAAACTGCTACGGACGATGTGACGAGTGTCCTCCATCGCCGACTATCTTTTTTTGGTGTGTAGGATGCGTGGTGGTGGTGTTTGCGCTCATGGCGATCCGTAACATTGATCGGGGGGTTCCAGGTGAGGGCAACCCCGCGATGGAATCACATGACCTGGTGCTATATATAACCCCCTCTCACCCAACCCTCCTTAGTCAGAACACCGGAGGCTCCTCCCAAATCAGCCCTAATTAACTTGCTTCCTGCGTCCTCACCTCCCGGGCTAATCTCCGAATCGTCGTCTCGTAGTCCTCTGGCTCGCGGCCCAAGATCTCCCTCAACAGCGGCGTCACCACCGCGGTCTCCCCGCGCCGGATCGCATCCCACGCCGTCGCCCACTCTCTCGCCAGGTTAATGCCATGATAGGTATGCTTCGTGCCATGCGTCGACAATGCCGCATAGTCATCCGGCGAGATTTCGCGAATCCGAACCGTCCGTCCAACGGCACGACCCAGGATCTCCACTGTCTCCCGCAGCGAATATTCGCGCGGTCCCGAGAGCAACAGCAGCCGATTCACGTATGGGAAGGACCGCGGGTCCTGCACGTACGAGGCGAGTAAGTTGGCGGTAGCTTCGCCGAGTTCGTCGCGTTTGGCCCACGTGACCCCCGGCGGGGCACCAGCGTGCGGGATCGTAATTTCATCCACGGGATGCGCCAGATCAAACCAGGCCGTGTAGATCGGGAACGACTCCGAGTAAAGACCTTCTCGAATCACTGTGTAGGTCATGTTGCTCTGCGCTTGTAGATCGGCCAGATATTGCTCGGTTCGTAGATGGGCGCCCATAACGTGCGCCACGCTCGAGTCCGTCAGATCGCCCGCAAACGCGAGCGACGAGTAGAAGATATGCTTTACGCCGCTGCGACGCGCAGAGTCGATGGCATTCCGATGGGCCTGTGCGACCGTCAGTTCTGGCCCAGATTATCTATCGTGAATAGGGAAAGAGAGAGAGCGGAATCACCTCCACGCGATACTGAATCTCAAACGACGCATACGAAACCAACATCAACACGTCCACCCCATCAAATATGCGCTCCAGCGATGAGGGATCTTCATAGTCGGCGCGTCGCACTGTCGCGCCCAGACGGCTCCATTCAGCCAGGGAGTCGGGTTTGCGAGCGATGAGGATGAGTTGTTCGGCGGGAACGAGTTTCACGAGGTGGTTGATGATGCTCGTTCCCAGGCCGCCTGCGGCGGGGAAGATGCCGACCTTGGTCATTGTTGTTTTTTTGTTTATTTTATCTCGGTCGCGTTCTTGTTCCTCGCTTCTGCTTGTTCTGTGGTCTTGGTGGATGTACGACGGTCCATTCAATTCTTACCATTCAGTGTGAATTAATTATGATTCTCTTCGACTTTCCTCCTGATTTTATATTTCGAGAATAACATGTCCCTGTTGATGCCATCATGACTTGCTCATGCGGTCTTGGCGGTCGAGTGGTGCTTACAAATGGGTTTATATCCGATAGTTAGTTATGTCCGTTGGATTATAAACCATGTCGGATTCAGTGACGTTTAACTATTCAGAGGGATTCGAGGTGATTCTATCTGATAAGGAAAATGGGATCGAATACCGGCCATTGCATTTGTTAGGGCTTTCCGTGTCGGTGTTGATTTGTTGTTCTCCAATGGTGGTTCAATGGTTGACTTGTCAGTGAGAGAGAGAAGAGAAGCACGGTCAACGGCGCAATGAATGATATGGATTAGAATGGTTTCTCTCGGTGAAAATGTACAATGTCTGTGCATAGTTAGACCGTGGAATGAGCTACGTGTGTAATAAGTCAAGTTCTTGTTTGGAGTCTAGATTCTCCTCATGGTAATCGTTGTGCCGGATATATATTTTGCAGCATCGGAGTATACACCAGGAGCTCTACCAACACAGTAAACCCCAAATCAAATACTTCATCCTGCCATTGACGATGCCATCAAGAAATACCCACTGCACAATTCCAATAAAATACACCCACAAAACACCACCTCCCTCAACATGGAGGTAGTGTAGTGTATGGACCTCGGCATATCCCCCTTATAAACCACCCTACACAGACCAAGATAGCTCCAGATATATTTTTTCAATGATAAACCGTCACGGATAGTTAGTTCCCCCGCCAACAAAAACACCCTACACACTATCACCTCCACGGAGGAGCCGATATAAAAAACCAACCCAGTGTCTAGAACTCTCGAACGACGTGTTCACCGGCCGAGTGCCAGCCATGCTCGGTAAATCTGGGATTTTAATTAGGGGAACATTGGAGTGGGGACAATCTATGACGTCGCAGAATTTGCAGAATTATTGATTGCTCACGCATAGTACCGCTGAACGGTGGGGGTTTGAGTCCTTTTATTATTGCGGGTTTCTGGAATTTTAATATCAGCGAGTGGGTGATCGGCGGGTGGATTTACTGTTCTGGTGTGGCATCGTTGAGGGAAACAGTTGAAAAGGGGAAAAATACATAGAAAAGCAAAAATAAAAAAAAAAATAAAAATAAAAATAAATAAATAAATTAAAATGCGACAAAATAATAAAACAAAAGAATACGAAAGAAAAGCAAACATGCATTCGGTGTGAGACTTGGACAGAGAACTCCGAACGCCTACAAACTGCACTGCCTAGGTAGTTACTCGCTTTGCGATTCAATTACCAAATCCAACCCCCCTAACTAACGAACTATCTCTTAACTATCTAATCCCCCCCCTATCCCGACCCCTTCCAGCGGAGCCCCAACTCACCAAATCGACTGGACCGCATTCACATAACCCAGCAACTGCAACCGCCTCGCATACGTATTTTTCAGATCCACCCGTTGCCGATCGTCGGCCGAATTGTGCCCCGTCACCAACACAATCATGAAAAACGACTCGATCAAGCTGGGCGGTACATTACACAACAACTGACCCGTCATGGTCCATCGCAGGGCACTAGCGCCCGCAACCAACCCTAAGATCGTCACCACCCCCAACACGACCGTGATTTCATGCGCGCACACGCGCCCCATCGTCTCCGACACGCGCTGCGTCAGCGAGTCACCACCGACGACGTCCTCGTCGCAGGGCGTGGGAATTCCAGCGGTCGTGAAAAGGCTTGCGTCTTGCGCGGTGATGCCGCGGGCGAATTGGTCGTCAACGTAGCAGCGCAGACGGGCTTGCATGTTGCGGAGCACGAAGCCGTCGTTCATTCCGATGAGGCCGGCATAGGTGCCGATGAGGAGCCACCAGTTGGAATCGAAGTGCAGGAGGGGGCCGATGGCGAGCCAGATGATGATGACTGCCACCAGGATACCGATGCCGACGAGGGTGCCGACGAAGTCCGCGTAGTAGAAGATGGCGCGTTGGATTTTGCTGACCCGTGGTGCGGGGATGATGACGAGGTCGTTGGGGAGGGAGTCGTCGGTTAGTTGGCGGAGCTGGGCTTCGAGGGAGGAATCGACCTGGAAGATTGCGTCGACGCAGCGGCGGGTGTAGGCTGCGTGGCGTTCGCGGATGTTGGCGAGGAAGGCGAAGAGGAAGACCATGAGCGCGGACGAGGCCGAGTTCATGTAGAGTTGCCATTGGTCGCTGTAGTGGGAGCGATGGCCGAGGCCGATCCAGGTGAAGACACCCCCCCAGAAGAGCGTGATGGTGCCCAGGTGGCCGATGACATGCGAGAACCAGGTGATGGTCCGTCCGAACCGGGTCTCCAGGGGGAGTTCTGTGCCAACCTCGAGGGCGTTCTGGCGCTCCTTGACTAGATGGACCAGGTGGGTGGTTTTCTCTTCGTCTTCTGCATTGAGCTTTTGATGCAGCTTCTCGAGCATCCGTTTGTGGCTGAGGATCCGGGACTCCAGCTCAGCGGCTACTGTCATCTCCTCTTCGTATGCGTTCAGCTGCTGTCTCACGAGGAAGGAGTCGAATATGTAGCTGACGATGGCCTGGATGTCGGAGATCAGGACCTGCCAGCTATCGGTCGAGCCGTACTTGATCCCGAGGAGAGCCCAGGTGAGGAGGCCCGCGAGGATCAGGAAGAAGACGGGCTCGGAGCCAGAGACTCGGACGATAAAGTCAAGCCAGCGGTCGAGCAACCTGGGCTTGCTTTTGGGTATATAGCCCTGAACATCTGAGTGGTTAAGGGCCTCTTTCCCAATCACATGTTGCGTCGGGGCGACGCCCTGGATCTCAGGCTTCGCGCCTGGTTTGCGCAGGAGTTCCATGAAGCGATCCATCTGGACTGTGGTGGTTTTCGGAGTTTTCTTTTCTTTCTATCTTTTTCTCTTTCTTGTTTTCCCGGTCTTTTGCTTTCAATGCGACGAAGAGAACACCGAGGAAGCAACGAACAAAGCGACAGACGATGAATCTATCCAACTGAACAGATCAGCACTGGTAAGTATCCCAAGACCAACCATCAACCTACAACGAACAATATGTTCCATTACCCCATCACAGAGTATTCTCAAGGCAGGTATAGCCCGAAGCTAGACTTATGGAGGACGAGGCTCTTCCAAAAGTCCTAGCAAGCAACCATCCGGTCTGCGGTTACGGCATACCAGCGCGGAGATAATCGGACATAGGACTGCCACGGGGCTATTCATCGATGTAGAGCTGGAAACTGGATGATGGAGATCAATGCTAGAGCAGGAAGTTCTGTTGCTCAGGGTTAGTATGGAGGAGGTAAGCAAAGGAGGAGGGTGAACGATTTTATGTTACTCATGCGGCATATATAGAGAGGCCTTTTTTCCAGTCGAGAGCCACACGTGGCTGACATGCGCGATTTAAAATTTCCAATTAAGGTTAACTAGAAAGCTTGTCTGGAATAAAAATAAAATTATTGAATTGTATTATGTTTTTGGGTCTTATCTTTGTATGGCTACATGGTTTTACTGGATGCGGTCTTTGTTCCTGTTTTCATTCCCACTCTGAATAGGAGAAGAGTCACAATGGTTACTCTATATCATGTCCTATATCACAAGTAAGACTGCCAATTATACACAAGAGAAACCTACGGAGAGCACACAGTATCCCCAAACCCACGACAACCCCCCCTCCTGGAAAACCCTGACTCTCCACCGCGGAAAAAGTAAGTCGGAAAGAAAATCTCAAGTCTGGTACGGAAGAACCACACATCAGCTCTACCAAATCGGGTGACACGACAGCCCGTCCGTGCCCATTGATAAGCTTTTCTGAAATGCGGATGCCTAAAGTGGATAGATGAGGTTAGTCTACATGCAGTTGTGATATGCAGAGTTTACTTCCATGGGCGTTTTCTGGAACGTGCCTCGATCATGGCTTGGGTGTATACGAGCAAGCGGTGCAGGGTTGAGTCTCACCGTAGGAAGGTCGTTTTGGGAAGCTTGGATCAGTGTTCAAAAGTTACACCTCAGTAGAGATCTATCGAATTAGGGTTTGCTGAGGTTATTGGCGATATGCTTGACGGAGTGTCGTTTTGGGATCATGTGAATATGCTTGTCTTTTTTGGGGTTGGGTACTGAATCGTCCATAGCAATCTGGGATTTCTATTATTGGGGGGATCGAGAGGAACAGTGCACGTTGAGGGATTTAGGGTTACTATCCTCGTGATGATGGATAAAGGGTTGCCACATATGGAGGGAACTCGCTTGATGCTCTAGCCAATCGATGATAATTCATGTCATTCCCCGCTAGAGTTAAATTGAAGATACACGCTGTTGATCATATTTCTCTCGTTCATTAATACTATTTCTCGTAGATAGCAAACTGTGACTGTCCTACACAACATGCCCTAAGGGCACATCTGGGATTATGCCGTATTTCCGACGAAGCGAACAGGAGCCACAAAACCCTTATCAAAAAATATCAAAAATAGCATCCGCCTCAAGCCAACTGTAGGGAAATTGACTATTGACCAACTGCCACATGAGATCGTCTGCCATTGGGTAGGATGCGTCTCCCAATCCATGGTCCGAGATATCTGCGCTCATATACGTGGCGTACGCGGCCGAAGATAACTCTGGTGCTAAACCTTCCGCAAGCTCAGTTTCAAAGACGGGGGCATTTGCTGTGTGGTTCGGTACATGGTTGTGCGCTGCATGTGTAGATGAGTGATCTTCTCTCGCGATATGCGATTGCCGGCTGGGGGAATTCATGTTTTGAACCAAGGGATCACAAAGACGTAAGAGAGATGTCAACAGACTTAACAGTCGCGCTAAGTACGGAGTAGCTTTAAATTGGGACAGCCCCTTGATTATTTGTTGTACTAATCGATAGTCGGTCACATCCGAAGTGGCGATAATGTTACAAAAGACAACGAAGAAGGGGGCTACCGGGTATAAGGCGATAGTCCTATATGCCCATGTTAGCTTCTACTATGTACATTAATATCGAGGAAGGCGGCTGACCATGTCAGAAAAGAGGGCTCGGGGTCATTAAATCCTGGCATATTATCGGCATGTTCTTGGAGGTATTGAAATGCTCTGAGCGCTCTTCTCGAGTACACTAAGCAGTCGGAGTGAGTTGCTGGACTGCTGTCGTAGCCGAGCCGTGTTCGAAGCATATCAACATAAATTGCGTAATAGCTAAAGTCAGCCGCTACCCAGTCATATAATGCTGGACCTGAGATAGCGTTTCGACTCTGAGGTAATATTAGCTGGCTAGCTGTTATAAGACGCTGAAACCCAAAGCTTACTTCTTGTAAACTTGAATAAACTCTATCCATGCGCTCTTGAACGCCTTGAAAGATCTCGAAGATCCGAGACCTGGATTTGTCGCCCTCGTTCAGTGTTACGTCCAACAATGTATCTTGAACTTTTGCTAGATCTAGAAGTACGAATAATAGCCGATTATAGGGTGATGACATATTAGTGGCAATGAAGTCTGTAGGAGGCGCATGCACTTCTGGTAACGAGGGATGTCGTATTAGAAGGGCACTCGTGGTTCGGTCGAGATAAAAGCACCAGTATACGGCACTTTGAATCTCATCGTTACAGCCTGATAGAGAGGGCGGATAACAGGGCTTATGATAGTTCAGAGAGATGATCTGGCGAGCCGCATACGAGTTTAGTAGCCAGCATTGGCTTATGTTGGTGGTGTGTTGCATTAGCAAAGCCTAGAATTCCCGTTAGTGAGTTGAATTGTTTCGGTCAGCAACATTACTTACAGCTGATATGAGAGCCTGGATTAGCGACAAGCTGGGCGCCGACATAAGATTGAGATGCTTGAGTGCTTGAAGCGCAGCAGCCTCGTACGTTCGTTTCGACTTCTGAAGCTGCTTCTTTACCGATGGGTTCGTCGATCGCCTCGCCAATTGATATAGGTGAAACATCGCTTTCACATAGACACAGATACTATATTGATAGAAAAGCTGTCCCCTGCAGTCGCCATCGAGAAGACTCGTCATCATTCTTTCAAAAGCCCTGTCGGATATATGGTCGGGCCATCTAATATGATGAAGTCCATCGCCCATAACAGGCTCTAGATACTATTAGCACGCACTAAAGACGGTAAGAGCCTGTATGCTTACCTGGAAGAAGCATATACAGTATTTCCGCCGGAGGTGTCTGTGGAACTTCAATATCGAACAGTTCACGAGCAGATTCGCCTGGGGCGATGGTTTCCTGCAAATCCAGGGACTCTCCCCTTGACATTCTGTCAACTAACTTCACAGCCGACTCGAAAACTCTTCGCCGCTCACTGCTCAGATGCCTTCTACCCAGCGGTCTACCATCAACCTCGATCTGTATTACAAGTTTGGCCTGCTGCGCATGGTGGGTTGAATTGTCCGGGGTAGCAGCCGGGTTACATTCATTACGAGTATCTGCGTTGCCATGACTGTCTAGCTTTCTTCGCTTCGCAGTAGCATTTTCTTCTTGTTCAGGGATGCTGGCCGAAACATTCGGGCTCTCGCTAGAACAGGTAAGTAACGGAATGGCTAATATCCTGGCAATGGGCGACATTTCACACCTCTGTAAACTTGATGTCGCTCCCTCTAATCGAAATACACCCTCTTCCGGTAATCTAGACACTTATTAGTCACTGGATTATCCCTTAGAAGGAGCGGACAAGGAAAGGTAAGAAAGAAGAAAACCAAGTGTAACAGGTAAAGTGCCCATACCTTGGTGAGAATTTCTGCTTCGATGCCCGGCCGGGGCGAAGGCGTTGACATGCAACCCCAGCATCGACACAATTGGCGCAATTGCGCTGTCTATTGCATTTCACCTTTCTTGAATAACAGAGATCACACTATATCAAATTAGCCTTGGCACCTTGAGCGATGGGAGCGAACACCAAGTAAGCTAAAGCAGAGATGGGCTAATCTCACTGCAGGCAGAACATCCTCCGGCATGATGTCACTTTGCCCGATACAAGTTCTTTCCGTTTTGCTGGGAATTGCTAGCTTCGGATATGAAGGCTCCGATTGACATGTACTCTTCGATTCTCAAACCCGAGTTGGTAATTAATGAAATAACATTGGTTTATCGGATAAAGCAAGTCCATGTTCTGGTTGTACCCGCTTTGGAAGCCCACGCAGTGGTCGTGTCACCTGACTTTGCCTCTCATAATTCTTTTTCCCCCTTTTTGGTTGATCCAATGCGTCTTTGCTTTTTACCTTCTTTATACGGCATTTATATGCATATCTTTCATTAGTACGTCTGTCTATCATGCAACATTTGAGCAATCGTTCCCATATGAGAACCAGGAAAGCCTCAGAAGGAGGCATCCTGTCACCATCAGGTTCATCTCCTATCTAAGCTTAGGTCTATATTTTCTATTATATCCCCCTTGGGCGTTGGCCTGAGAGATTGCCAATCTACACCTTATGAGCACTTAGTATATATTCTTCGACCATATTCTCAAGTATTATTAATAATGGACGTAAATTTCTTCATACTCCGACCATCCCGGAGACGCTAAACCGTTTTCGCTCGGAAATCCGACAGTTGGGTAACCGAGCAGCAAACCCTGACTTCCCAACTACCTTAAGTTCTTGAAGACAAGTAATTAATTGGCCATAACTTGTTAATTTGCCACTAGGGGATAATAGTATCTCCTCCTCAGGAATTATAACCGCCGTTCTAATATCATAGTCGGGATCCACCCCGGCACATATGGGGAGGCTGGAGAAGTAATCGAGAATCGGCCCATGACTAATTTCTAGCATTAGTGTCGTGTATATAAACTAGCCCGAATACTAAAATAACTAAACCATATCCATCTATCTCGCAAACTTATTTCCACCCAATATCAACATGGCGACCTACATTGTGACCGGAAGCTCCCGCGGGATGGGACTGGCAATGATCAAAGAACTGGCATCTCGGGACCCCGCAGAGGTCAGTCTCGTGATCGCTGCTACTCGGAGATCCAGCACCGCGTTAGATGAGATTGTCGCACGGGAATCTGGTCGTGTCGTTTTCATCCCGCTGGATGTGTCCAATGCGGCCAGTATCTCAAGTTCCGTTGAAATGGCGGGATCGGTCGTGGGCCAGAAGGGAGTTGATGTTCTAATTAACTGTGCTGGAGTTCATTCGTGGTTGGAGGGGAAGACTGAGAACATGTGAGGAAATTATTCAACAAAAATATAATTTATCTAAGGGAAGGCTAATTCACCTTGAAGGGCCGATCTCGACTACCAACTTACTGTGAATGTGGTTGGAACGCATAATGTGACACGCGCTTTTCTACCTCTGTTGAGAATGGGAAAGTTGAAGAAAGTTGCTAATATGTGCGTTGCCTTCATCTATAATGGCTTCTGTTTGACTGACAGGCGTCTACTAAACTAGCTCGACGGTTTATGCTTCAATGACGCATGCAGAGACGTCTAGCTTTGCCAACTGCCCGGCTTACAAGATTAGCAAGGCTGCTCTCAACGCACTTACTGTGCAATATGCCATGTCCTATAAGGATGAAGGATTTACCTTCCTGGCGGTTAATCCCGGTGTAAGTTGTGTAAATGAACCTACTGGCTTGTATTTGTGCTTGCTAACCGGTGCAGTGGCTGAAAACCGATATGGGCGGTGATGATGCTCACCTCACGGCGGATGAGGGAGCACAGGCGGTTCTGAATGTCATCGACAAAGCAGAGAAAGACTCCAACGGGTGTTTCAAGAACATTTATGCTCCTGGATGGGACATGTATGATGGAAAGGATATTCCCTGGTAGAGGAATATTTAGCAGAGATGAGATCCACAGAGTTGGATAGGTAAAGAGATATAGAGTTGAGGGATACAGCCGGTATTAAATATGGCATATTGTCAATAAATGACCTATAGGATACGAAAGACTTAATTGACGGAACCAAGAGCCGAGCCTCGATATGTTAACCCTTAAGTGCTATGGTACGTTCAATAAACCCATTGGGTCTATTGTGGCCCAGAATAAGTGAACTTAGAAATACAATTTCCAGTGTTTGTTGTGATCGCGTCACATTGCATTTCTATTTGCATTGCTGGATACTAGAAGCCACATTGGCTATTGGTACAATTGAGTATTTGTAGCTCACGGAGTATCTGCGATATTATGCACAAGCTTCTCCCCACTAACCTTTCCTTCCCTCATGGAAATTAAACCTTCCAAGGTACCATTAAGGCCAGCAGGACACATCTTGGGAGGGTGTACACTGAGCCTTTTTTCTGCTAACAACCTCTCCACCACTGTACAGAAATTCTCCGCAAACGTGTAGTCTTCTGCCTTCGGGGGAATAGCTCTTGGGCCGAATTGGAAACCCTCACCAAAAGCAGTATACGCCATCGTCGCCCCATGATTGACGTTCTTCGGCCGCTCAATCGCTAACGGCAGAAGGGCGCTATAGTCACCTCCTCCAGAGGATATCGCCCGATCACAGTATCTGGCACTATCTTCCGATGAGATTGTATCGAATACAAGCTTCAAGTTGTCATTCGTAAGCTCCTTGATTCTGTCGGCAGAACCCGGATCACGATAATCAAAGACAGCGTCGGCCCCAAGCCGCTTGACTTGATCAAAATTGCGCGGCGAACATGTCGTGAGTACTTTGTAGCCAGAAATCTTGGCAAACTGGATTGCCAGAGTGCCAGTGGCTGTTGACCCTCCGTAGATCAAAATAGGCTGGGCTTCTTTGATTGGGTTGGTAGGTAGCGCCAGCTTGAGGCCTTGATAAAGCCCTTGCCCTGCGGTCGTAACACCTAGCCCTAAGGTTGTAGCCTCCTGGAAAGTAAGGTAATCCGGGATTTTCATCTGAAGATCTCCCTTGGCCACAATATACTCTGCAAAGGCACCATCTTCGGGCTGGACAGTGTTGGAGCCGTGGACGAAACCGCATACACGGTCTCCCTTTTTAAATGGCTTTTTGACATTCTTGCCAACTTCCTGCACGATGCCTGCGTAGTCACATCCCACGAGGACTCCTGGGGGAGCTAAATAATCGATATGTTTCCAGTCCGTAGGGTTTATGGCTACGCAGATGGTTTTCACAAGGATGTAATCGTCGCGTAAAGCAGGGACGGGTTTGTCAGCGACCACCTCGGCCTGTTTGGGAGCGGTAATCACGACAGCTTTTTGGGTCACCATCATGGCGAATTGTTGCGATACAGTGGAAGTACCCCGCCCGGGACAGTTTGCTATAAGAGCAATTTCATGTTTCCTTACAGCGCCCCGAGAAGGCCCTCAGGGTACCGGATTACAAATCATGAACCAATGGCAATGAGACTGTGCAATCGATCTAACTAGAGACGATGCGGAGCGTGGGCCGAAATCGAGCAGGAATTTAACGTTAAAAGTTTTATGATGAAGTCTATCGTGGCCGGCTTTATTCTTATCTCCGGGATAACACGCTTTTAAACTTGTAAACTCCGCTCTCGGACGGAGTATGAGTAAACCCTAACTTAAGCACCGAGGATCCATGAGAGGCTAATTATCACCAAAGCTTATTCTAAGTCTTTCGCTACTATACATGCGTTGCCCATATCATGGCATAATGTCTACCTGAGCCCAGATATCCCACGGTAACAGACCTGCCCCAATAGAACCATCCTTGAGAATGGTAACCCTCAACTAGGAACCGATATGGATACATAGTGGAGGAAATAGAGTAACTCCGGGGTTTATGTAAACCTGATTCCTCCCTTAAGTCCGTCCATACGGAGAAACTGCCACCGCGTGAACATAACCCCCCAGCTATAGCCTATATATCTCATTACCCTCAATCTCACACCTACCTCTCCACCAGATACTGCACTCTCCATCCCACAAACCTCCCTCTCCATCACCGTAAAATGAGTTTCTTCAGCTATGATTTCCTCTACTCCCAACTCTTTATCACACCCCCCTACCCGACAGCATCATTCACCAACCAAACGATCATAATCACCGGCTCAAACGTCGGTCTTGGCCTCGAAGCAGCCCGACACTTCACACGCCTCGGCGCCGCAAAGGTCATCCTCGCCGTCCGCAACCGCGCCGCCGGCGAAGAGGCCCAACAATCCATCCAGACATCCACCGGCACCACCGGCATCTGCGAAGTATGGGAGCTAGACTTGGCGTCGCACGAATCCGTCCTCGCGTTCGCGAAGAAAGTAGCCCTGCTCCCACGACTGGATATGTTTATCGCCAACGCTTCGATCGCAACCGGTACTTTTCAACTTGCTGAGGGCCATGAGCGGACTATAACAGTGAATGTGATCAATACTATTCTATTGGCATTGCTGGTGTTGCCAACGCTGCGGAAGAGTGCGAGGTTGCACCCCGGTACGAAGCCACGGTTGACGACTGTGGTTAGTGAAGTGCATGGGTGGACGAAGTTTGCGGAGCGGAGTGCCGAGAATGTGTTTGAGGCTTTGGATGATAAAGACCGAGCGAACATGCCGGAGAGGTACGAAACGTCGAAACTGTTGCAGGTGCTTTTGCTGCGCGAGATGGTGGCGCAGGGGGCTGGGGACTCGGTGGTCATTAATATGGTGAATCCGGGGTTTTGTCATTCGCGACTGGGACGGGAGATGGGACTGGTGTTTGCTTTCTTACAGTTGGTGTTTGCCAGGTCGACCGAGGTGGGGAGTAGGACGCTCGTGGCCGGGGCTGCGAGTGGGGAGGAGAGCCATGGGGCGTATATGACGAATGGGAAGGTGGATAATGACGCCTTGTCTCCGTTTGTTCGTAGCGCGGAAGGGAAGAAAGCACAGATGAAGGTCTGGGGAGAGCTTGTGGAAATCTTAGAAGCTATTGCGCCAGGTTGTACGCGGGTTGTGTAGTTTTAGTTGATATATACCAGCGTGCAGACTATGTGTCTAATATACTTGTACATTTTGCAATGGCTTAAAAGAATGCTGTTCTTGATTTTATCAACTCTATCTTCTTAGTAAACTACGTATACAGCTGAATATTCAATAATTGGTTCCTAAGAGGCTTATAGAATCTTGATTGATTGACTGGTTAATTAAAGGTACAATAGAAACGCCAGATCTGTTGCTACTAGTCAGTGTTATGGTGATAGCAACGTAGAAGCAGCCTCAGCCTATATACTATCAAAGATGCAGACAAAGACCAGCTGCACCATTCTAACGAGGACCAGTAAATGTGACTGCGGTATCAAATTAGTTAACGTCCACAGGACACAACGACCAGATAAGGAAAGCAGCGATTCTCACATGGTGGTAAAACCCTAACTTCTGCCCCCGGTCATCCTCTCTAGCATCGCCACATCCATCATGTACAGATCCGAGCCGTCATCATCCAGAAACATCGAAGGCCCCCTGCTGACCATCAAGAGTTCCGTGTCATTTTCGAACACCAGAGGGTCGTGGGTTGCTCCTTTGCTTTCAGAAACGTAGTCTCCCTCGGCAAAGCTACCCGTCTGAGGATGCGCACCGTCACCCTTCATAACGTATATCTCGGCACTGTCAAGGTGTCGATGTCGAGGGAGAACCCCGCCCTTTTCAGCCCGAACCATGATTGAATATTCGCCTGTTTCGGGAACAGTCTTGATTATTTTGATGAAGACTTTGGGGGCGAGTGGTAGCCATTCGAGATCTTTGCAGTGGACGGTGAATCCCCCATCTTCGGAAGGCTTGTTGATTTCTGATGGGTGTTGGATATGTGCGGATGCGTCTTCGATCATGATTGTGATGGCGCCTGAGCGTAGGACTCCGAGGGATGTATCTGGCGTGTAAGCTTTAGGATTGGACTTTGGAATAGTTATTTTCGATTCGATATCGCTTTACTAACCTGAGCTGTTCTGTGGCATGCGAATAAGAGTCGCAGTTTGAGCTTATTCTTCCGGTTTTGGAGAGGTTTTGGAACCGACAGGAAGTGGTGGACTATATAACACAACTGCATTAGAGGAAACTTGTCCTGAAAAATGTGTCCTTTAAAGAATTTCCTATCGAAGCTTCCCAGCATAGCTCACCATGCAGAAATGCCGCTATTTTCGATCGCGGAGTCCCCTTCCAGTTCCATCGGAAATCCGATCGAAAAGGGTTAGCTTTCGGTACGATGCACACAAGCCTCTGATTGGCTAGTGGTGACACGGAACATTTTCCCGTGATATGGATATATGCCCTGAAGTATTGCTGCCATCAGTACAGGGTAGATCGAAATTAACGTCGCTGTCGCTGCTTCTTCTCCTCATTGGCAGCGATGCTGTTGTGACAGAGAAAATTCGATGTATATCGGGGTGTAAACTCGTTAGAGACATTCGACAAATTTGACCAAGAACCAATGAATTTCCGTCTATATACACATTAAACGTCTGATACACTGTACGAAGGAGACATTTCCCAGCAAAACATATGTCACATCAAGCCAATTCCGCCTCGATCAAGCTCTCCGCAACTCCAGGATAGTTGTAGATATTGACCACCTTCAATCCAGCTTTGGCCAGAATATTTCTCCAGTCTGCCTCCGTTCTTTCTCTGACTGCGAAATGTGCCAACATCATCATATCCATGTTCGTCGCCGCTAGCGTGGGTTTGTCCTCGTTTACGACAATCTCGTTCAACAAAACACGAGAATATCCCTTCTCCAGTGCTGGGACCAGGTTCTCTAGGATCTTGACGCCGTCGTCATCACCCCAATCGTGGAGAATGGAGTGAAGGAAGTAGGTTCGTGCGCCTTTGATAGGTTGTGGCGTGAAGAAGTTGTGGGTTTGCGCCTCGAAAGGTAGCTCTGCGCCATTAGCTACTACGCCCGCGATAACTGGCTCGCGATCCTGAAGAATGATTCTGCCCGGACGAGAAGTATAGTGCGAGGCAAAGGTAGCGACATCGTGGCCTCTTCCGCCGCCGACGTCGACGAGGAGAACATCGCTCATGGAGGAATCAAAGCCCGCTATCATTCGCTCTGCCACCGGGTAGAATTCGTGCCAATCGGCCTTGCCGGCTCGATACGCGCTCATGAAGGAGTCGAAATGCTGAAGGTGCGGTGGAGTTGCGACAAGCCACTCGAAGAACGGGAGTTGGGTCTTGTGGGCTTCCTGGAAGGGACCGTCGGTTCCACCCAGGGTTGGGGATTTATATTCGGTTTTCTCGAAATACTTCGGGAATGCGTTGAACGAAGGGCGGGACGCGTCATAGCAGAAGGAGATGCTGTGTTGGAAGTTCTCTGCTGCGAGATCGTTGCTCAGCCTCGTGCCGTGGAAGGCTCCGTCATGGAAGGCGAGCAGATTCATCGCAACTAGATGTCTTGCAAGGCGTGACAAAAGGACGGCATCGACCCCTGTCTTCAGGGCTAGAGCGTCCGGTGTCAGGCCTGCATCGCCCGCTTCCTGCAGGTGTTGGAAAAGTTTAACGTCGACGGCGAGACGGATGATGGCTGATTGAGCTGGCTATCGTCCAGCGCAAGTTAATATTGCGATTCAGGGTATGCGTCAGGATCATGACGGCAAGGCATCATAGGACTTCATGAAGGTGCAATGACTACTCACTTCTGCCCAGAAGGTACGCTGTATAAATTCACTCGGAATCTCTAAGGCCGCAATCAACGCACGGCTGTGTTCAATCAGGGCTTCCCTTGAACCGGCCTCATTTTTGTTAAACGCTGCGCTGGAAGACGCAATTCTGTCTAGGATTGCAGACGTGGATGAAGTGGCCATGGTAGTATGGATGGGTTCAACGTCAGGGAGGAGATTGGGGGAATATCCGGCGAGGAATCACTACAATGGGAATTGGTGACCTTTAAGACTTATCTCGCCATCTACTGCCCCACAAATTGTCATAATCTTGCGAGGGGCTCCAGCTTTCCACCTTCCAAGTTCTAGCGAGTTAACAACCCTTTCCAACTGGCCCGCCACCTTCCTCGCGTGCGTGCTGCTCTCCTTTTCGCCTGGGTTAATCGGAAATTAGATATGCTGGATTGGCAGATGACCGAGGCACCGGTGCGGCGCTACCAAGCAAATTTAGACTTAGTTCACCCATTGCCATGGGATTAGACCGTTAATGAACTTACATACTGGCAAGGTGTGGGGGGATTGACTCGTGCCGGGGTGAGCATGGGGGGTTTATTAGTTCAAAATCTAATTAGAGCTTGTAGCTTTGTAGGCTGTGCGGTGCTGTGCACATACCATTGGTCCAGATGATAGCATTTGACTAGTAAAACCACTACTCATGCCCGTTCGCACTAGAACGAATCCTCCGGTTCCCGTCCGGCATTTTCCTAAGTTGAGGTTCTTCCAATGGCTGAGCAGGGTCGAATATTGAGCGGATCTTTAGCGTACTTCCATATCCCCTGAGTGGCAAACAGTGATTTTCCATGGACTTATCATACCGTCAATTAGAATCACGTACATACTCCGGAGTACACTGGGGGTATTAGGGCATTATCTGACGGAGTACTGGGAGTTGTTCGTCCCGTTCCCCGGCCCCGCTTTGGCTTCCCCGAAAGCCTAATCATCCCGCGCGATAACCTCGCTTAGAGGAGATGATTTCCGGGCGGTTGGTAACTTGGGAGATTCCGTGCTGCCTTCCCATTACCTCGGCCCCATAGTATTTAGATTTGCAGTTCTCCTTGTTTTCTTTATGCGCCGGGACCTTGACAATCTTGTTAGCGTGTCTTGTTAGTGTGTGTATGCCTCGCAAGATCAGGGACAATATGTGAAATTTTCTATATCCTCAGGAGTAGAGCCGAAAATCACCTCAGAGATGTTTAGGTTTGGCGGGACATCTTGTTGACAGATCATATCCTAATCGATTTTAGGTTTAGCAATAGGTGACACTGCAGAAATCTTCGCGCCCTTTAAATAATACTCATTGCCCAGGAGCTCCACTGTTCGAGGCTGCATTTCCACCCATGCCACAACTGGCATTCCCAGGTCCGTGGTCCCGGTGGCTTCTTGATCATGGCCACCTTCGACACAAATGTGGACTTTAGTGAAAGCCGCGCCGTAGAACTCAATGTCGTCGGGTGGGTTTTTACAGGCGTTGCAATCGCGGCGGTATTCCTGAAGGTCTTCAGTCGCATGGAGAGTAAGCGGGCTGGGTGGGATGACGTTCTCATTTTCTTTTCCCTGGTTAGAAACCCATATCCTAACAAAAGCCTCCTGGGCAAAGCTAACCTCATGCCCAGGGCCTGAGCATTATTGCCACGGCTTTTGTCTCATATTCAGTCACTCTTGGCCTGGGGCGGCATACGGCTGCGGTCATTGCTGAGCATGGCATGGAACGGTACGTAAAAACAGCTTACTGGCAGATCCTGGGATTTCCTTTCAATATTGGTATGTGATATAAGCCTTCCTGGAGAGTTATCCGGGACTAACATGAAAGTAATGGTGCAGGGGCTTTCAGTTTCCCAAACATCTCGATTGCCATCCTGATCGTTCATCTCCTCGACCCTAACCCCCTTCGCGCCCGCCTCCTCTACGCCATGGTCATTTTCCAAGTGATCCTCGCCATGATATCTGTTTTCATCGTCTTCTTCCAGTGCAATCCGACAGAAATGCTGTGGGACCACTCCGTCAAGGGCTCATGTTGGAGCCCGGATGTGTTCGATGACTTCTCGTACTTGGTTAGCGCATATACAACAGTGACGGACTTTGTGTTAGCCATTGTACCAATTAGAGCGCTTTGGAAGCTGCAAATGCAGACTTCGACCAAAGTGGGTGTTTGTATCATGATGGGGTTGACATTGCTTTCAGCGATTGTCACTATCGTCAAGGCAACATATCTGCACTTGTTCACGGACCGCACCGATCCTCGTGAGGGCATCTACGCCGTTCCTGTTTTTTCTTTTGGGTAGATTGGCTAACCTTCTGTTAGTTTTCAACGTGGTGCCATTGGTTGTCTGGGGCCTGTTGGTCTTCCCTTCCCTTTCGTCGGTTTGCGGTCTCTAACCTCTCTTGCACAGTATCGAACAGAACGTTGTCATTGTCGCCGCCTGTATCCCAACACTTCGTCCGTTCTTTCGCAAAACGTTCAAACCCTCCAAGGGCTCTTCGGGCGGGGCCGACTCGCGTAGTCGCTCAGGTAGCGCCTTCAAGCTCGGTTTTATCCCGTCAAGCTCACGTTCACGGACTCCCTTTACATCATCGGATCTACCTCTGACTAATTCCAAGGGTGAGGCAGATGGTGACGTGGAGAGTAATAGCAGCCGGCAAGGCATATGGCGGACAACAGAAGTTAGGGTAGAGTCATGAGGGAGGAACTGAATGTGATCTAAAATAGCTAACTTGATTGTGATCTTCAAAGGTGAGCGTTTCTCGATGCATGCATCACTGTTACTGGAGGAGTATCCTATATGAATACTGCAGTATACCCTTTCTATAGGCCCTTGGAAGCATGTTTGGTGGGGACCATGTTTCTACACTACTACCTTTGACTGAACATGTGCCAGTAGTTATTAACCTACTGCTGACCTATATTATATCAGTCTTGGATCTACCAACATCAAGTAGTCAAAGGAGAGGAAGTAATACTATATACTGAGCGCCCATTAAATAGTGTGTCACTCTTGTTAACAAACAGCTTCACTTCCACCTACTGGCTTGTCCCTGTCAAGACTTATACCAGTCACTGGTTAAAAGTCAGCACATTTCTGGCTTGATAAACACTAGGCGTAGAGTTCAGGCTCCCTTTCCTCACCACCAACTAAATATTCCTCATGTCTCAGTCACAAAGCGTGGTTTAAACCAGGAAAACTGCAAACATCATACGCGCATTACCAGCAGAGCCGAGTTCCGGGGTGACACCGGAACCCATACGTGACCCCTCGCCAGGCGGTGTTCCATTGACCGTTCCTTTGAGGAACATCACCTGCTACCGGTGCAGTAGATATGTCACTGATTAAGTAGCTCTCTAGGGATTGTGGGATGCCGCTACCTATCTCACGGTGCCGCGTGTTAAACTATATCGTCGATCATCTTGGCAATTAGTTCATAGCGTCCAATGTCGTGTTTGAAACAATACATAAACTTCCAATCCTGAACTCGATAAATGCAGAAATATGGGCACACCCCCGCTTCCTTTTACTTGGTAGGAAAGTCCTGAAACGACAAAGAACTGATAAGAAGCGATATCCCCCAGACTGCAGAGTGGTTCCATAGACGGTCCCACGCCCAGTGTAGATCACCAATTGAAATCTTCCGGATAAAGTCCCACAGGGAACTAGCGAAACCAATGATTTGATGGAGTCATGCAAAGAACTGATCAAAACGATAGATTGAATCAATCTGGCTACCTATCTGCTTATCCTAGGATGTGTGGGGAAAATGTGGGCTCGTTGACGCCCGACGAACCATACTACAGTATTCCAGTCAAGTTCCAAGCTGATCCATATTAAATAAGTTTTCTCTATCATCCTCACTTTCATTGCTTGGCACGGGAGTCCTTGAAGAAACTGGCCCAGTTTGTGAGATAGTTCGGCGCTTTTACAAACCACGCATCCGTTTGTTAATCTGGGCAATACTAAATGCCTCACTATTGCAGGCCGTAACGTCGGGTTGCCGTTTTGAACTGTGATGGGCGTGGTGGAGTGTGAGTGAGTGAGTGTGAAATAAGGGAGAGGATCGTCGTCCATGACGATCATACTAGTAACTGGTGGTCGATGGTATTCTGCTCTTGTGACCGGCTTTCGACTAGGTCGAGACATCTCGATATCTGGCTCGGTCTCGCCGCGTACAAGTCGTTCTAGGATAGCTATCTGTGTTATACACAGGATTAACTTATTAACCAGTATTAAATTGTTCTTATTTCGCAGGTATCTTTTAAATAATTATAAGTTTCGAGTTCCTTCTGTAGTATCTACCGTCTTTTTTTCTAGCTCTCTGAGTTGTCCATTCGATAAATAGCTGTAAAACGGTGTAGAGTAAAGAGAATATTAACCTTTAATTTCTTTTATTCTAAAGTCGTACAGGACCCAGCTTCTGCTGATTCCGTTTGGTGAAGATCAAAGAAGGGCGTAAGAGAGAGACTGAGAAATAGAGGAACGCCGCAGTGGCACCAGCTTCTGCTGTTTCCCTTTTGACGAACGTGCACCAAGCATCGTCAACGCAAGTGTCATAGCGAGAAGCTAACGAAGATACATTCAGCCTTCCTTATGAGGCTGCTAAGTTATATATTGTTTCGATGGTTCAATATTGATCCTCATCCTATATAAGAGGAGCATTATGGAGATTTTCCACCCTTCCGTCGGTTGGTTCACCGTTCTCGCAGGACGTCATGAGAGGCCAACGCAAGCACCTCGCCCGCACCCACGTTTGCTATATTCGTGCTTAACCTGAGCACCAATTTCGTTGTCGCGCGTCCAACACGCGTTTCTAGGTTGGGTGCCACTGGGAAGGCTGAGGAGGTGGTTGCCCTTCAAAATAGTACGGTTTTGAGTATGGTCATCTGGGATATCTCGTCGAGGAAAAGGAAAAAGCGACCCTCGGCATTTCGTCATAGCATTTAAGGGCGTACATCTCGATGGCAGTTGGCGCATTTGTTCTAGTAGTTCGTGTGTGAGAACACATGCTGGAAGCAGCGTCTACTTACGACATGTCGTCGCCTTCTAGGCCGTGAAGTTGAAAAGGCGTTGTTTGGTGACATCGCATGCACAAGATGTACGGCAACTTTAAGGACACGTACGTCCACCTTGAAGGCTTCCAGTCTTTTCTGGATAACCCTCATCCATAACACCTGGATGGCGCTGCTCCCACGCTAGGATCTTTAGATGGACTGTCCTCTGGTTCTATCGCCGGTACAGTCACTAACCTCATCGCCCCACGCCCAATATAGCCCAAGAAAGATAATCCTAGTGACTAACAAGCAAAGGTTGCTCTCGAGGAGGGGCACGGACACCAGAAGCAGCCACGTCTTATTTAAACCTATTCGCATATCGCGCCCATGACTTGTCCGACGTTTTGCTACATGCGCCCCCGCACGCCCGACTCATCACCCACTTTGTGGCACAATCGCATTTGTGGGCTTCCATATCCCAAGCTTTATAAATCCTTGTTATTTGTGAAGGCACATTAGTGTTCGCAGGAGCAGGGCTGTTTGACCAGATGCACTTGCTGCATGTGCTTGTGCAAAAGCTTGTTCGATGCTGTTGCTTCTCAACTCTAGTAGTTTCACCCAAGTGGCGATGGTCCCTCCTTTTCGACCAGCCCTTTGCCATCGTGACGCCACTCTTGGTCACGATAAAGCCATGTGAAAAAAAAATGATTTTGAGGGGCTCAAAATTGTACGCAAAGAACGGCCAATGGCTCAGTTTGCGTATGGACACTGGCAGAAAGTCTGCAGAAAGTCTTAACAGGCGCATCCTCTGTGTCTTTTGTGTGTCTTTGGCTTCCTCTATTCTCAGCCTAGTTTCATGGACATGGCCCTGGTTTATTCCTTCTTCTCTTTCTCCATAGGCAAGTTGACGCAACTTGTGAAATATCTTCTTCGAAGAGCACCACATGCCTAGAACTTTGTAGATTAAGATTAACAGAAGATGGCGATATCCCGAGCTGCTATCGGTCCTCTACATAGTCCTAATATCGGCGGATTCGATACACCGATCTTAGTATCCAGGGTCATCTTATATGGCCTGGCGGATTGCTTACCTGTTGTCCCAATCTGCCAGGAAGGCCCGAACCATAAGCATATAAGGTTGTAGCATATTTTCTTCTAACAGAGTACTACAACCTTACATAATTGTCTTGCATGTCCATCGATATGTTCCTATATGCAGTCCTGAGCGTTGTTTAGACTGAGGGCCATAGGTAGCGATGAATCTGAATGTGCGTTCAAGGCTCTTCTCGACCGTATGGCGTGAGACAAACTATGCCCCTTAACCCACGGAGCTTTCAGCTCTCCGACGAATCGCAAGCCACCAGTGACCGACAAATCAACTCTGCATCACCCGGGCTAAGGGACGAATATACAACCTTGGTGTAGCCTTGAAATCTGATGGGTTTATCGTCAGAGAGGCCTACATAATACTCTGGCTCGTTATACGACTTGCTCCCGCAATCTCCGGATTTCGTCATAATCAGACGTGGTGGCGCGCAAGTCTCCTATTTGGGGATCAATATCGGCATGTTGGCTCTGTGTCAATAAATTGACGGTTTTCATACGCACAGAACGTATGCGGCAGTGGGGGTAGCAGTGTGTCAAGTTTGTGTCCTGACCAATGATTCGTTTTGGGAAGTAGGAGTGCAGGCTTCTTCATGCCTTGTAACATAATTTCTGTAACTTGGAGCTTTTCAGGACTCAGACAGATATGCCAGGTTGAGAATGAGACTTATAGTTTAGATGGAGGACATCTTGACCGATAGACAAGTAGCAGATTGGGTGACAAGCCAATGTTTAGTTAAACAAGATAGACAGAGCTCTTAGATATCAGGATAAGGGCAGAGGGCAGATGTCTCCTCCTCTATTGCGGAATAGTAAACCCAAGAAGATGATGTGCTGAGGATGGATCATGATGAGGAACAAGGGGCTGTGGAGTACGAGTTATAAGCACCTCTACAGGAAGATAATACAAAAACATGCGTCGAGTCTGTGAATGCTCCATAAGGATTTATTCTCTGAAACTATGAGTCATATATTGATTGAATAAGTGGTGGAATACGAGCCAGCCAAGGGAATAGCTGCCGCTTAGTGCACCGAAAAGTTAAGGAACACTCCTGCTTGCATTGAATAATGATACGTAGAGGCTGGTGATTTCTGAAGCACATATCGAAGTTTTATCAATCGGAAAATACGGGTGTTCGTATCAAGGGCAAGATCTCCTGGGCTTTCCCCTTTGGGTAACCACACGATAGCTTCTAGATTCTCTCGAATTCGTAATGTATGATCTGGATAGCCGACCCCAGAGGCGTGAGGGTAGGCCAATTAATAAAAATCTTCCTTGCGCCCTGCCGAATCATCCAGTCAGGATGGATGATTCTACATTCCAGTGGATCTCGAGGACCCACTCCTTCAAACTTCCTGAAATGGGACTCCCGTTTGGCGTTGTGCAGTGCAACGGTATTAATAACGTTGAATCCCTTTGAATAAATTCTCAGTTAGCAATCTGGGGTAGAATGGACTCTGTAACACTCTGCAGGACTAAAGAGGAGGCGGATTTGTTAACAATCTAGACATCCCCCGCCAAACCAACTGCTCACCCAACGAGTTATTGACTACTACACTCAAACCCTCGGCACCAAGACGATCCTAAGAAAATGCTCCGAGATATCCTGCAAGGTCTTCGGGACACATTGAAGACCTCCACAGTGACCTATGGAGTCATAAATGTCGTGCTCCTACTAGGCCTAATCTTCATCCTCGTCATCCAAAATGGCAACATATCTACAATGCGCAAGAAGCTCAGACATTTGCAGAGAATCGGTCTATCGACCAGCAATATGGCAGATCAGTATGATTCGAAATACGATGTACCAGAAGGAACCACGGCCGAGGGACCGGTGCGCATCAAGACGATCTGCATTCACCCCATCAAGTCATGCGGCCGTATCGAGCTGAATCGGGCCTTGCTCACCAAGACCGGATTCATGTACGATAGATGCTTCGCTTTCGCTACGGAACTGGGCAAGAACAATCCCGCCATCGAATCTAAATGGCGATTTATCAGCCAACGTACCAAGCCAACCATGTCTCAGATCAAGACAGAACTATGGCTTCCGCACAACAAGAGCAGTCAGCATGATCCGCTTGTCCAAGCTGGTGGATGTGTCGTGGTGACATTCCCTGACCCCGATGGCCCTAGCTGGTTTGATTATCTGGAAAGGTTATTTCATACGGAAAACCCCTTCGCAAAGACAGAAGTGCGGTTCATCGTACCTCTCCAGCCCACGCCCGCCATGATAAACGAATACAAAATCCAGTTCAAAACATTCGGCATCCACGACCGTGATGCAAAGGGTCTGGACATGGGAACCATCCCCTCCGTCGCTGAAGGATTACCGAAATTGAAGAAATACTTGCGAATCGCGAACGATCAGAACCTCACCCTGCTTAGATGTACCTCCGATACCCTCGTGCGCACGGATGGGAATCTCGCACCACTCGAACACATCGGCACGCCCTCCGTGCACGGCTATACAGATCAGCAACCCATCAATATCAACAGCCTTTCTTCCGTCCATGCCGTGTCGGTACTCCTACCAAAGGAAAACCAACCCCTCAATGCATTTCGTTTCCGCGCCAATCTCTGGATCACGGGTGCGCCCGCCTTCGATGAGGAGAGCTGGAAAAGATTCCGTATTTTGCCTAAGGGCAGTGACGCAGAGCCACGAGCGGATGTAGCCCCGGCGGTGTCGGTTGTTTGTCGGACGTCGAGGTGTACGATGCCTAATGTTAATCCAGAGACTGGAGTGCCCAGCGCGGATAACCCGCCTCCGGAGAAGAAAAGGGGTAAACCGCAGCCGAGTGCGACGTTGGTGAAGTATCGTACGGTCGAGGATGGGAATAAGTCAGCTCTTGGATACATAGGCATGCATTGTGTGCCTGAGGATCGGGCGTTACAGGTGGCAGCGGAGCAAGAGAAGGGGTTATACGTCGCCGTTGGCGATGAGATTGAGGTTCTTGAACGTGGGGAGCATCTTTATGGCTCGACGGATAATGATCACTAGAACTATGATGTTACGTGGATAGACGATTAGATATAGATTTCATGACTATGTTTTTGGGGATTTGCGTTCAGTTCCGGCTCTAAAGGAGTGGTCCTATGCTAGTGAATTAGGATAGAAACCTTTATATTGCCTTTGGACCGACGCCCAACGAGGATTTTACACACGATGCCACGGAAACTCTCAGTGCAATATATTATAAATTAGGTGCCCATATTTTATTGTGATTTGAATATATGTCAGCACCGCAGACAAGTCACCATGACCATCTCCTTATCGCATATACTCTCCATGACTGAGGGAAAATGACAAAACTAATTTTCTAAATGAAGTGTACAAAGACAATGCCTCGCTGTAAGGACTCTAACTATAAGGTATACAAGAATTAAATAGTAAAACCAACTCTAAGCTGTCTTTTCCTCCTGTCTGGCTTCATCCCCCGACACGGAATCCGTCGCACTCTGTGGCGCATCGATGGTCATCTTCGGGCCGGTGTACCATTTCCTCGCGAAAAGAAAATAGTATATCATCGATGCAATCCAAACAAAGCCGTTGATGACGATGGTGTAGTTCATATCCTGGGCTAAATATCCCGTCAGCATCCGCTAGACATACATAACAATGGAGAAGGCGAAAAGAGGGAAACTTACCACTGGGATTCGGCCCCGTGCTAGGGAACATGGACAGGATCAAGCCGAATACCAACCAAACGACGGCGATCGTTGCGAGCGGACGACTGAAAACTCCAGTGTAAAATTCCCCCGGTCGGAAGCGCGTCTTGCCCCAGATCAAGCGGCAAAGGATAGGCGTACCCCATGCGACGTAGTTAGAGGCGACAAACAAGGAAAACAGCGCATTCGCAGCGACGGAGTTGATCAGGCACAGCAGGCCGAAGATGATGCAGACGATGACCAGGCCGATGATGGCACGGACGGGCTGGTAGCGGACACGCTTGCTGACATGGCGGAAATAACCAGAGAAGGGGAGGGCTCCGTCGCGGGAGAAGGCCCAGACTTGGCGGGAGGCGGCGACAATCTGTGATATACCTATGAGCTTCTTGGTTGAGGTAGGTGTCTAGTTTGGAGTGAGCGTACCAGACTGAGACCGATCAGGAATTGGATGACGATCAGCACTCCCATGAAGCCGAGGGCTCCTCGCTTGCCCAGGGCGTCGAAGTAGATCTGTTGGTCGCATTAGCCACAATGTTACCGGATCAGATTGGAACCATTGGAAAGAGTCCTACCTGTGCCATAGGTTGGCCGTACACGGAGCTCATTGTCGCGCTCACATCTGGGTTCATGCAGGCTGCGATGATCGACAGGACGAGGAAACCCAACACGCATGCACAACCAGCCGACCAAATAATTCCCAGCGGCACGGCCTTCGCAGCATGGAGCGCCTCCTCGCTCATGTGGACGCAAGAATCAAAGAAGCCAATCGACCAGATAGGGGCCAAAAAGGAGAGGACAAAGGCCCATCCGGTTGGCCAGGTAGTAAGATTATCGACGTGTCCATAGACAAATGATCCCGGATTGAGCTTTTCGCCACGAGTGACCTTTCCAACAGGGAGAGCGATCACGGTCGCGACGATGATGGCGACGTTGATAAAGATACAGAAGGTTTGGATCTTGGGCATGATCTTTCCGGTATAGATACCGCAGAGGGCATGAATAAGAATGAGTCCAACGTAGACGCCGTAGATTGTGCCGTTCGAGGCCGACCAATTCCCGTCACGAGTGATAGAGACACAGGCCAGTAGCATCAGGGAAAGCGTGTCTGTCCATTAGCATACGCCTTATACGACCGAGAGAAATGGTCCCCTTACAATCCACCGAGCACATTCCTCCAATCAACCCCATTGTATTGCTGTATCCGACGAGGAAGCTCAGCACCTTCTTGTACTTATCCCCAGCGAAGTAATGCGTCCACCAATAGAGGCCTCCGGCAGTGGGCATCGCGGACGACATATCGGCCTGCGACCGTTAGTTTCTGTCGCGATCGACGGGTCGCATTCAGGGTAGCGATTACCATAGCAAGACCGACGGCGAAAATGAAAATACTCGCGGTAAACCAGCCCTACATCATTAGTATCTGACCCATATGCGACAAGAGGGTTACTCAAAGAGATACACACCCAAACCATTCCCGCCGGCCCGGCAGGCAACGAAAACGCGATCGTCGAGGCGATGGACGGCACCAAACCCATAATACTAAACGCGACGGCGAAAATCTGTACGGTCGAATATTGTCGGCGCAGTTCCTGCTTGTAACCCATTTTTGCTGCGCAGGTTAGCGATACTCGAGCATTTTTGTCGCCTGTCGCCCCTCAGGTGGCAGCTGAGACGGACGAACCTACCCAGTAACTGCATATCACCAGGATCCGCCAGGCCGGCCTCATCGGCGCTGGGATGAGCCTGGACGGCCGCTTGCGATTCCATCTTGGCCATGGCTCCCTTCACTGTGCAAGTGGTGTCCCAAAGGGAGGCCTTTGGATACTGATATCACCGTTTGCTGGTTGAATGAGTCGAACACCCACCTGCGGAAGGCGTGGGGTCTTAAGGAAGGTGCATGAGTGAACCAAGGAAATGGATCGTACACTATCGGAGTGGATTTGTGGATAGCCCAAAGTTAAAGATGCACCAGTTCTGGGAACTATTCCCCTCTCGGTGTCGCGAATGTTGCAACACAGTGGAGAATGAGACGGGTATCCCCAATGGGGTAGGGATGAACGCCTCTGGGACGTTTGTCGGCCTGGGAACCTCGCCCCTGATTCAACGCTGTGATAGCCATGGAACTCAAATTCTCTCGAAATTTTTCCATGCCAGACAGGCAGCCAAAGCCTTGCCGGAAATGAAGAGATGGCGCTGCGACGGGTGGCCAATGAGTGTGGTGATGCTCCACATGGCACTCAGACGTGGGGTCTGTCGATCTCATGAGTCTCGATTCAAGTGCAGTCCGCCTGAGGAATATTCAACGTGAATACATTCATTCCTCGAGTGCCATCATTGGTCGATTATAGCTATCTTTATCTTGGGACAATCATGTACTGATCGGCCACACGTCCCTGAAGAAAACTCATGTTGCGATCCTCCGTCATCGCAAGAGGGAATTAGGGCTCCATTTTTTCCCCCTTTAGTTCCCAGCTGAGTTCAGCCACTACTGCACGAATAATTAACCTAAGACTATCGATTGTTCTGATCGCAATTTCGCACTGATCCTACCCACAATGCCCTTGTACGATTAGACACTCCTTACGTCGACAGTTCAACGAACAATGATGCCTGCATACTTAGCGTTGGTCCACATGGAACATGGGTTACGCAAATAAGAGGACAAGTACACAGATACCATGGGCTTCATGTCATGCAACGTTGAGAAAAGGCAAAAAAACAAAAAAAGAAGAAAGAAAGAAAGAAAAATCTCTCATGGAGTGAATTATTTCAAGAAAGTTGTCGCTATGGAGGTCCTTTGGCCGGCAGAGAAATTCGACGCTGGAAACAAATTCCTTTTGATGATGCCGGAAGAACGGAGTCGATCAATTTGGGACTAATGGAACAGACTATCGACTAAAAGGGTTAGGAGACCCAACGTGACGTGCGCATGGGACTCTTCAAGCCCGTCCCAACCACCATTAGCTAATATGTAACCCTCCCACCCAAGACTCTCCCCCAACAGTCATTAATCCTTGCTTGCGATGTAACGATACATATTCACAATAACAATAAACTACAGGATCCCATGTCGCCCTGGCTATCCCGCAGAGAGGAGCCACCCAGGCAGATAAACAAAAACATCAGCATCAAAAGCGTCGTCGAGTCCAATGGCAAGATGTATGGCTCATCTAGTTCCAGCTCGGCTGGCCGCCAGCGGTTAAACCTGCTCTGCACCGTTGACGTGTTGCGGTTGCACAGCATGACCATTAGGCGAATGCGCCCGGTTTAATGTGGACGAGTCGGATAATTGGACCGATGGCCGGTTCATCGTGGCATCCCAGGATCCGGGGCCGTTCTTGGCTTCCCACTCGTTATAATCCTGTCCCGGATTGGCGGTCTGGTATTCCATCATCCTCAGGAGACCAAAGAAACCGCACGCCAGCAAGGAACCAAGCAATGGACCGACCCAGTAAATCCAGTGGTAGCCCGGGAAGCTGCGGTTGATGACGTCCGGGCCGAGAGAGCGAGCAGGATTGAGGGAGCCGCCGGTATAGTAGTCACCTATGTTGATGTGTGTCAGATAAACAAAGGCGGTGACAGCAACGGAAGACCGACTCACCAATCATCTCAGTGACAAAGAAGACCAGACCAATTCCGACCGGGGCCAGGAAGGTTGACTTGTGTTTCACCACTGCCAACATGATGATCACAAAGACCAGTTGCGCGGTGAGGAACATCTCAATGAACAGCCCCTGGGAGATGGAGGCTCCTCCTCCGAGACGGGTTGCGACATTCAAGTCGCCCGGAAACAGTGCGCTGACCACCCCGGCCGATGCAATACCACCCACGATCTGAGCTGCGAAGACGAGGACTCCCCGAATGGGAGACAGGCCTCCCACGAGGCATAACGCCAGTGTGACCTGCTGCGGTTAGCCTGGAACCCCCCAGCTATCAAACGTGCCACATTACCGCTGGATTGAAGAGACCGCCCGTCACGCGGTAAAAGGCCCAGACATTGACCATCAAAGAAAACCCGAATGACAAGGACGAATAGAGCAAGTTTGCTGTATTCGGCGGAGCACCTTCCACCGGTTTGGGCGTATTGGACACCTGAGTGCCAGCGAACGAGAAAAACAAGAACAGGAAGGTTCCAACGAATTCTCCAATGACGGCAATGACATTGTTCCGCACGGTGTCTTTCAGATGCAACATGGGGAGCTGCTTCTGAGTGGACCTGTACACCGGCGTCGAGTCCGGGTGCTCAGCGCGATCAGCGCGAGCTTCGCGTTTCAAAAACTTCATCGTGCTGTGTGGATGGCCTCAGCTCTACTGAGTAACTTGGTGATGGAGGAAAGCACGATTCTTGCGACCGACCAGCTCTCGCCAGAAGCCTTCGTGCATATCTACTCTCACACCCCGCCTCCGCTAGTATAACTGGCTTTTATACTGCTGTGCAGCTTCATGTCTGATTACGGGTGAGAACGTCATGACTTGAGTGCAGTCTTTGTTGCCATTGAACTCTGTCCTGCCGGAAATGACCGCATACGGACAGATTTCCCAGTAATCGAAGTACTGGAAGGCAAGCTACAGGAGACATTTCCATGGTTATAGGCCGGAGAGCCTGCCTCATCTAGAGCGTGGTGGCAGAAATTCCTTCGTACTCCCACTGACCGAGGGAACAGGCCGGAGTAGTCGAGGTCTAGACCCCTCGGCGGTGAGTGCGTATCGTAGAGATAGAAGGTCAAATGCAGATGAGGCCGATGACCGCTATCAATCATATACCCTTCACTACATGCAAGAGCCCTCACTCTTACTACAGTATTCAAATGTCCCGTATAGGTCGAAGCATGGTTCGATGATCGCGAACTAGGTCAGTGGAACAATGGAGTAGATCGACGACATGCCAAGCTGCGGTCGTGGAGGTCCACCGGGATTGTCCAAAAAATGTGGGCTACACACCAGGAGCCCTATGATCTCATGACTTCCACCTGTTCAGCTCGTCTCAGATGTCTACTCTAAGTATGGTCATAATCCCATACATAGGATGAGGAGGATCCATTTGTCTTACTACCTTCCTTTTTGCTCCGGCTCGACCTGGATGGTGCCACTGGAGAAAAAGTCTTCCCACTCTCCTAAACGCCGAGAATTCAGCGAACACGGACCACTTTCCCGAAAATTTCCGACGAATGGGCTGATAGGATGAGGAAGATCATGGCCTCCATTCGCTTACACACAACACGAGAGTACAAAGTAATGCGGAGGACACGAAAGACCACGTACGGGGTATCCTGGCGATGAATCAACATGCAGCATCTTCCCTGCTGGTCATGGGGGTTGAAAACTTGATATGAGGTGTGAGAGAGAGCATCGACCAATCAGGTTTAGTGGTTTATCATTGTCTTGGCTCTGATTCCCTCAAGCAAACAACGTAACGTATCATATCTCCTGAACTCTTCCAGACGTTCCAGTCTTCCATACCCCGCGGAGATGTGCGATGAACCGCGGAGATAGAGGGCAACTATCGGCCTCTGTACAAGAGAAATTTTTACCAAATATCCACATTCCGGTGTTTACCCTTCGGCCGATGACCAGGAACGAAAGAGGTAACTCAAAAAAGAAATTTTATGACACGAAAAATGGCGACACGTTGCCCAGAGGTTGCCCAAGGGCATGGGCTCATCAGTGGTATAAATACCACGACCGACACTGACGGTTGCAGGAGGGGTAGCCCTAATTCCTAGATTTAAAACGTCACATCCCACCCCCTCCTCTGTTTACTACTCAATTCTTCAGACCATCCCGTCACCATGCCGCTCTCCCCTGAACAAATCCAGCTCATCAAGGCCACCGTGCCGGTCCTCCAACAGCATGGCACCAACATCACCACCGTGTTCTACAACAACATGCTGACAGCCCATCCTGAGTTGAACGCCATCTTCAACAACGCTAACAAGACGAACGGTCATCAGCCCCGCGCCCTGGCTGGTGCCCTCTTTGCCTATGCTTCGCACATCGATGACCTGGGAGCCCTTGGTCCTGCCGTCGAATTAATCTGCAACAAGCACGCGTCGCTGTATATCCAACCCGAGCAATACCAGATCGTGGGCAAGTTTCTGTTGGAGGCCATGGGCGAGGTCCTCGGTGATGCGCTTACCCCCGAGATCCTCGACGCCTGGGCCACTGCATACTGGCAACTTGCCGACCTCATGATCGGCCGTGAGGCCGAACTGTACAAGCAGGCCAACGGGTGGACGGACTTCCGCCACTTCCGTGTTGCAAAGAAGGTCCCCGAGTCCTCGGAGATCACCTCGTTCTACCTCGAGCCCGTCGATGGCGAGCCCCTCCCCAAGTTCCGCCCCGGCCAGTATATCTCCGTTCAGGTTTTCGTGGATTCGCTCAAGTTCCCCCAGTGTCGCCAGTACTCCCTGAGTGACGCCCCGCGGTCGGACTACTACCGTATCAGTGTCAAGAGGGAAGGCGGCCTCAACACCGCGGAGCCCAACGCCCCCGCTCACCCAGGATACGTGTCCAACATCCTCCACGCTCACATCAAGGAAGGCGATGTCGTCAAGGTCTCGCACCCCTTCGGTGACTTCTACCTTTCCGACGCCGAGAGCCCCAACCCCATTGTTCTCCTCGCCGCCGGTGTCGGTCTCACCCCTCTGACCTCCATCCTGAAGACCCTCACCTCGAACTCTACGGATGCCCCCCAACGCAGGGTTCACTTCATCCACGGTGCCCGTTCCGCAGCTGCTCGTGCCTTCAAGAAGGACATTGACTCCTTGGCGGAGAAGTACCAGAACCTGCACGCCACGTTCTTCGAAACCCACCCCGCTGCCGAGGAGAAGCAGGGCGAGGATTACGACCACCAGGGCCGTGTCGACATCTCCAAGCTGGACAAGACCAAGGATCTGTTCCTCAACGACCCCAAGACGGAATACTACGTCTGTGGTCCCAACAGTTTCATGACCTCCACGCGTGCTGCGTTGGCCGCTGAGGGCGTCAGCGAGGATCGCATTAAGCTGGAGCTCTTTGGCACTGGCGGTGTTGCTGCTTAGTTTGGTTTTCTCTTCTTTTTTTTCTTGATATAGACCATACCTAGACCATCTGTCTATAGTGTAGATTCTCCTCTCCTGCCGTTACGAGTTACGATATAGCATAATTATCACATTTTCAATATCGATTCCACATATATCGTTCCTATAAGCATATGTATAAACTAATATAATCATATGGTAATCCGCATCACTAGACGTACTGACAATATAGACAATTCCTAACTAGGAGCGGTAATACTCCGAGACCCTCTCATGGCATCGGCCGAGTCGATGGCCCTCTTCAAAAGTGGAGTTCGCAGAGTTCGTACCATGGAAGAGTGGGTGTTCGCCGATCTGCACGGCTAAAGACCCCATAATATATGGCCCTCAGCATTGGCAGGAACGCTTCCAAGTTTCGACGCTATTAAAATCGTGGCTATTATGTCTGCGACTGACTGCAATCTTTTTTTCTTTTCTTTTTTTCCTTTTTCCCCAGGAATTTGGTCCGCTTAATCAATGTGGATTTTCTCAGTCAGAGACTCACATTCCCTCGTTTTCTTCTTTTTCTTGTTCCCACTGCCTCAATTTGTGTCATATTTGAATATATTTTCTACCAGAGACAACGAAATTTCAAATAAATATAGATTCTAAAATTGATATTTCACAGTCTAGTTTTCTGGGCAAAGATACGTTTTGTGTCAATCACAAATACAAATATAGTGTTGAGTCTCAATAAACTAATCTCTCTGAACCGAGATACCTTTTCAAGGTTTCCAATTAGAATTTACCTCAAAGAATTCATTGAATCGGAAATCATGAACATTCAGTCACTCCATCGAAGAACCGTGGTTTCACCAAAAGAAGGCACCATGACCCAGGGGCATTTTCGCGAGAAAATAGGATTTACTGTATTTCTTTCCTTTTTCAATCAGATTTAGACTCGTTTTTATCGTTTCACCAATGGGTCCTTTCATTCAGTGCTTCAGATGTTATATCGAACTACAACTTCTACAAAGAAAAGAATTGTACTAGTAAATTGGCATTACTAGAGATATAATCGTATCATAAAAGTATATGTATGTATGTCAGAACTCAAAATGTATATCCATGTACATGATGACAGAAGAAGAAAAACGCCATGATTCCCATTAAGTTGTCGTAACAGAAGGATACTATTTCCCGCTTAAATCATGGTATAGTGTAACATAGTAATTCGTACCGAAAGCAGCGATGCTTATAGAATTTTTATATCGTTGTTCGTTTACAGAGCAGCCATGACACCCAGAACACCGGCGACACCGGCGATACCGGCACCGAAGCTGAAGGGAGTGGGCATGGCACCTGCGTCGTCGCTGGTGGTGGAGGAGGCGCTGCCGGCCGAAGAGGACGAGGTAGAGGAAGAAGAAGTACCGGTGCTGGAGGAGCCTGTGGTGGTCTCGGTTCCGCTGGCGGAGGTGGTCGACACGACGCCGGTGGAAGTGGGCTGACCGTTGGTACCGGTCAGGGTGGTCAAGCTGTCGCTCAGCTTGGAGCTGGCCTCGGACGCGACGGAAGAGCCCCAGCCCTCGGCATTCGACGCGACGGAAGAGCCCCAGCTCTCGGCATTAGAAGCGACGGAGGAGCCCCAGCCCTCTGCACTGGAGGCGGCGGCGCCCGCGGCGGAGGTGATGGATGAGGCAGCACCGGGGACACCGGTCTCAACGGCGGATGCCACGGCGGTTGCGCCGCTGGCAATGTCGGAGGCGATGCTCTGGCCGCCGTTCACAGCGGTCTGGGCGATACCAGCAGCATCAGAGATGATTTGGTCGATCTGGGGAGCGGCCAGAGCGGAGGTGGAGAGGAGCAGGGTGGTGAGAAGAGTCAACTGCATTTTGAAGGAGATGTGTATAGAATGTGGATAATTCTTGATCAACGTGGAGGTAGAAGTATGGAAGTGATTGATATCTGAGATGGGGAGGTTATCCACAGATTAGATTTGTGATTGATGATCTGAATAATGTTCCGTAAATCTGGAGAGTACCAGGCTCCTTAAATATTTTCTTCTCTGCCCTGTGTTGATGATAAAATTGGATCGGCATAACACTCACAACTATGGCTCCAGTGGCAATGCACTACGATGGAGACCACAGCCACGAATCACCGCGGACCTGGTCGCCCGACTTACGTTTCACAGTAAAGTGTGCTTGGATCCACGGCTCCACAGCCGTTTTCCGGAGGCTTCCATGTGGGATTGAGGGAGGCCGAGGACGTGGTGCTCGTTCTCCCCATCTGGTGATATTCCGGTCGGAAGGTGTAGGGTCTCTTGACTTCACTCACGTTAGATTGTGCTATGAGGTCATGATAGACGTCATTTTAGACTACTATCCAGGACGACAAGCTGTCTAGGACACTCTAGCACACTTTTAGCACGGAGAGTACCCTGTCGCTTGTACCCTAGTAGCCCGAGGCCGCGAGTTGCGTTGCCAAGGTCACAAATCCCCTGTCCTGACCCACAGCACACTTTTGTCATATTTCTATGAATAGTCCCTCTTTTCCCTCAAAAGCCAGTCTCGCCCCAGGACCACTGCTCTAGGCTGCTGCCGAATGATAGGACGGTCGTCCACCAGTCCCAGTTTTTTGTGGACTTGGCATTTGTCCAGTCTACGTGGTGGGTATTGCGATCCAGTCCTGATTGCCGTAAAGGATGACGTTGGTGTTCTTGGCTACTTTGGCTTCATTTCCCTCAGAAGAGCCAATTGGGCGATTTTGACGGGATTTCTGCGCCTTGTAAGGTTTGTTGGGATTCGACAGTCGCCCTGTCGGGACTTTGGTCTTGGGAGTTTTCCTCGGTTATGGTGGCGGAGTGGCGGTGCCTTTGAACACTTTCTTATGGCGGTGCAGATTATGTCAGGTTGTGTCGGCTTTATCCGCTTGACGAAATGCATAAAATTACCAAAAATATGAGCATTGCCTCCGTGGCTTTTGTCTTTCGGTAGAATTCCGCTTGGCATCCAACAGCCTGCCTTACATGGATTCGCCGAGGTCCAAAAGCTAGATCGCTCGGGAAGCCAATGACGTGCGTGTCTTGTTCGACCTGAACCGGAGAACTGCTTCTAGGAACTGCCACCTCCGCGCGGCCTCTTGTGGAAGGTTCAGTTGCACAGCAGAGCATTGGGTACCAACGAGATCCAAGAACTCTTGTTGTACCAAACCGCATAAATTAACCTTTAGGCTTCCAGTTTGCTATTCCCACGGGTTGTGTTTCTTTATTTAGTACCCTCCCGAACAACCTTAATGTGCGGCTTGATGGAAACGCTGGTGGTTTGAGGATGGCGATGAGATGATAGCTTTTGATGGCGTCCATGGCAGACAGTTTTTTTGCTGTAGGTTTATAAAAGTATGATAGATATGACTTTACTGGTAGTGATACTCTTATCTAGCTTTTACTACTTACTACTATCCTTAGTGTCTTACGTTATCTCAGGCTATACTAGAGGGCTTTGTACGGACAAAACATATCATGAATCTTCATACACACAGGGAAAAATATAGCTCAGAACATAGCAGTTCATGATAAAAGCAACTAACGGCCCACCGCTCGAATACTTGATGCCTTTAATATAACTCTCCAGTTCCACAATCGCATACTATATCTCCACTGATTAGAGTGTTACCAAGTGAGGTGGCTGTTTGTCCCGCGCTTCATGTAGGCATAAAAGAGACAGTCTCGAAGTATTCAGCTATGCTGAGCTCACGTATAGACCCTAGAAGGATGCTCTAAATACGCTGGCCCTTGTGATCGAAACATCAGAGGTAACCGTGATCATTCCACAGTTGATCATCTCGCGTCCAATCGTTTAGAACCAGCACTTGTATATGACATGGGAAAGAAACTCACTGAGTGTAAAGGTAATCTGACCATATGTATTAGACGGCATTGGTTGACATTCGCACTGAAGCGATGGAGAAGTAGTTGTAGGTGCCAAAGGCTTACGCTTTGAACAAGACACATCACCAGGATTCTTAAAGTGGACCCATTCCCACTATCTTTAGTTAGCCAAGACACCTCTGAAGATGTGCTTTATAAAGTATGTTAACAGTACGGGGACATGCACTCATTCACCCGCCGTGACAGAGTAGAGTAACATTGGCTTAAATCTAATTTGGAAGTGACTTCGGTCCCGTCGCCGACCGCGCACGTTGCAATCAGTTTATGCATCGTATCTTTCTCCCCGTCGAACTTCACATCTCTACAGGTGTGAGTAAAATGACCGGTCGGCTTAACCGGGGGTCGCCTTGGGTGTGGCACAGCTTCCGCAGGAAGGTCCTGAAGTTGCTGAGGCACAGCCAGAGCTGCCACAGGCAGAATAATAAAGGGTAGAGGTAGATGTATATCTTTAGGTGAACTGATGATGATAAGCTTAATGTTATGTATACTTCTGAAGGGCATCTATAAGGCCTATTTATATCATCCTCATTGTATTGGTTGGAGCGGCCATTGTCTCTGGTATCTTGAATACATTTTCGCCTGAGATTCTACACTCCCAGAACCCCATCATTGTTGGGCAAGCCGGGCAACGCTACGCGGGCACTGGACAAAAGGCGTGTACCAAAAATTGCTGCCCTGGTTCGTTCAGCGGATGATTTAATTGGTGATTGAGTACATGATAAAAGACTGGCGTTACTACTTTTGGTGCAAGCCTCCATAAGGCTCTGCCTTTAATCTGAACCTTTGACAATAGAAATGTCTGCTCGGAGCCCGTGTCTGTGCTGCTACCACGGCGGCAAGATGTACCCGATTGGTACAACTATACCTAAGCTGCCGGTCTTTGTTGGTCCACGCAAGGTGGCTAGCGTATTACCTTGTGCCAAGTCGTATGCACCCAACAACCTTGGCAAAGACATCCAGCAACGCTGTGATACACTACCACAACACTTCCATCGCTCATGTTTCTACCAGGACGACATGACTGGTTCATATGGTCTTGACCGTATCGCTCGAAAATTACGTCTGAGACATTGTGTGAAATACGAAAATTATCGCATATCCACAGTGATCGCTCTCCATGTATCAGAGAATGGACCAATGATCGCTCAAGACTTTTGTATGAGGGGATGAGTTTCAGGGAGATGGGAGAGCTGCAACAGTAGCTGTTTGATGAATGGGGCGGTGGACCATGGTTATACACTACCGTAGGGTGGTATGAGTCTAGCCCGACTCGTGCGATAATTTGAGGCCAGTGTAGCCGATGTTTTCTGTGTATCCCTACCTTTCAGCGACATTGGGGCCAGACCATCCCGTGATCTGACCTTACCCTACGTCATGAAGAATTTGGAAACGGATACATATCTGTGGGACAAGCCGACAATGAGTTTTGGATGACTTATGCATCTGTGATGACAATCCAAGGCCTGATACCTACTGGTTTCACCTGTTTTGTACGGCTCAAATCATACTGGATTAATCTATTGAGGCCTCCAGAAAGACTGTATCGAGAAATAGAATAACGAAACTCACCGCATCAGCGGCATGCTCTAGTTGTGAACCAGTGTACACGAATCCGGTTGTACCAATCTATGTTTTATTTATAGCCTTCCCATTCCGGGAGAATCCGGCCTTCGGACAAATGTGTAGCCTTTCAGTGCACCCGACTGCTTTGATGTCTTGTAATCTTTTAATCCTTTACACACAATATTTTGGGAAACTTCGCAGTTCAACATGCCAGCCTACAAGTTCAACGTTGAATATGGATAATCTTGAGCCAAGACATTGCAGAGGGTGTTATGGACAGCTCCCTCCTGGATCAACGTGTGTTAAAAGGGTTTGAGATGCGACTACTTTGACCGTGAAAGCAAACGAACAGTCCACTGTACAATGTGACTGCCTCTTTATCCCACCCTGTCTGATGATGAGTCTGATCTGATCATTGTCGATAAAGGAAAGCACATCTCCGACGGGCACCTCTCACAGGAAACCTTTGAGAACTACAACGACCATTCGAGTGGGTGCCGATACCAAGGTAGCCAACACCCCCCGCCCTGGCAGAGGAACAAAGGCACCCTTCCCATGTGTAAATGTTTCTGTTGAACGCGTCTGACATTTCGACACACTGATCGATTGTTTTAAATGCCGGAAATAGCAAGCTGCCTCCTATACCCTTGATGCAAAGGTTCACCTGACTTCTACGGGTATACGGGTAAAGCTGACACACGGCTCTAAGGACTTGACCTTTGAGAGGTGACTGTACATAATGAATGGGGTATCTCGGTCTCAAGCTCCCATTTCCCTTGCGGGAACGAACGATTGCCTGTCCAACGACGAATCGGTATCAGGTCTGCCATTGCACAAAGACCATCCACTGTCTGACGGAAGTACACATTGACAGGATCGTCTCATCATGCAACGAGTTATACAAGGGGTGTATGGAGTCCGCCTCCCTGATTGCTATACTTAAAAGGTCTTTCACAGACTGCATCGGATATCAATGAAAGGATTTATGTTCCAAGACAGCGACAAGGACAGATGCGCAAGTAACTGCCTTTGTGAGATACCGACAGGAAATCCTATATAGTATGGCCACAGTGTTTTCTGGGCCCTACAACATGCGATAATCCTTTAAATTTACCCTACTCTACTTGTCAGCATTTCCCGTCCTTGCAATCATGGTAGAGCCATCTAATCCAAGGGCACCAGCGGGATTCAAATTCTTGGAAGTTTTTATTACACTTCCTGCAGAATGTCCTAAAATGTATGATAAGCTGAAACAGATGAGAGACCGTCTTACCTCGCACAAGCATCTAATCGACCGAACTACTCCGTTTAATCCCGGGGCTTACGATTTATATTTCAAGGTCTACGAGAACATGAACCACCCGGCAGTTGTAGCAATACGTTATCTAGCCGATAAGGGAGAGAAGCAGGTCATTGGTGAGCTTATTACGATATGTGTTCCAGAAAAAGTCCGGGTCGACTGGGACCCAATGATGCCGGTCCGAGAGAAACCAGAAGATGATCGCAACTATGTGAGATACGGAAATCTTTGGTTTAACGAAGATTTTCTGATTTGCTATAATGCTGTCTTGTCTATGGTCAATGGTTTGCTTGAGGGCGAGGAGAGGGTACAGGAAAAAGAAGCACGGCGTCGGTTTCAGAACCCAGATCCCTATTACCCCTCTGAACACCCCGAGTGGAAATTTTTCAAAAAGGAAAGTAGTTCTGATGAAGGTGATGAGAAGCCTGCCCGCCTTAGATGGTAATCTGGTCCTATCAGGGGTTTGGATCAATGAATTCTTGGGTTGATTGCTTCTTTGGGGCTCTACATGAAAATCACGAATTCAAGTTAATGTCTCCTGGGCTTGTATGACATAATAGAAAACGGCAAAAAAAAAAAACTTGAAAATACAAGAACCTATATCAAACTATAGGCAGACTGTATGATTATGTGCACTGTGAAATTTGCAAATGTTATGTAGTTTCAATTTACAAGGTTGACATGGGTAAATGTTTGTATTTGCCTTTAGATAGTGATAGGGCACAAACCATAGCTAGACATACAACACTGTACTTGACTAATCTAAGAGAAGCGCCATTATTCTATGATTCCTGAGATTGGAGGCTTAAAAATTCTAACGGGTGGATTTCTGGATTTCCGAAAGTGGGTGACGGGCAGGTGAAACCCACGATGGATTGCGCTTATTATCTCTAAAGCCCGCCTCGCCCCACCCGAAATACAACTCTAGCTCTGGATAGGTCGGGCTGTATTTTTATGTACTCCGTAGAGGGGGGTGATGTAAGTGCAAGTCAGTAAGGTGCCAATAGGGTAAAGAGATGCCTAAACTCAAATAGTGGTGTAGTCACAGCCAATTGATTGTGTCGGTGAGGTTCAAGATAAGTTAGGATTTTCCCGTCCCGGCCGCGAGTGGGTTTGGCTGACACCGAATTTACTTAACTAGGTTAGGATTGACCATGTCATAAGTGTTCTTGCCATACAAGAGCGGGTCTAGAGTAGTGTTGTCCAGCGAGGCAGGGTAGTATCCCACAGCACTATCCGAGGGGGACTGTGAACTAGCTTCTTAGCATACACACTATAATTGAGGAATCGTAAGGTTGTCCTGACACATAAATACTTGAGGATCTCTAGCATGAGGCTTATTTCCTCAACATAATACTCAGGGGCGTCGTGTATATTGCCGTGTGCGGCCTTAATTGCGCTATTTTTAAACGAATTTTCATCGTGGGCTTATGGTACATGACCAGCGAGCCCCGCCCTATCTTCAAAAATAAGGTTATACTGCAGGGCCACTCAGTCTCATTTTATTCTGTTTGTGCGGAGAGCTTCCTTTGATTATTTTTCAAGATGTCCTATGCTACCGAGCATGGCGAATATCGACTCGGAGCGGACGTAGGAGGCACATTCACCGATATATGCGCATTTACGCCCGACGGACAGATCGCAAGAGCCAAAGTACCAACTACTGTTGAGGACCAAAGCATCGGTATCAAGAATGGCATCCAGAAAGTTCGACAACACCTGAAAGAGCGCTACTCCTGGGACGGAAAGTTTCAGTTCATCCACCATGGTACAACAACCGCCACAAACGCTGTTCTAGAAGGCAAAGGCGCACGGACCGGTCTTATCGTCACTGCAGGTCATAAAGACATCTTGGCTGTTCGTCGGTCCCAAATTCCCGGCGGTCTCGGTGCCTGGCTACATTACACTCCTCCGGAGCCGATCGTGCCTCTGGAACGTGTGCTTCAATGTCAAGAGCGCATGTCCGTGAATGGCGAATCGGTGATTGCTGTGAATAAGGATGCGCTGCGTGCTGAGTTGAAGGCATGGAGGAAAGACCGACCGGAGGCTGTGGCAGTCTCACTACTCAACTCTCATTGTAACAATGAACATGAATTACTGGTAGCGGATATTGTGCGTGAAGAGCTCGGATCTGATATCCCAATCATCTGCTCTGGCAATGTTCTTCGTGAGGTCGGGGAGTACGAGCGAACAGTGACGACTTGTACTAATGCGCTCGTCAAGCCGGTTGTTCAAAGCTACCTAGGCAACCTGCGGGATCTGCTGGCAGAGGATGGGAATACGATTCGTATCCTTAAGTCTGACGGTGGTCTAACCAGTTTGGATCTGGCCGGCGAGCTGCCCGTCAACATCTTGATGTCTGGTCCAGCAGGAGGCGTTCAAGGTGTTGCGGACGTCGTGACACGAAACACGCCGTACAAAAATCTGATCACGTTCGATATGGGTGGAACATCCACGGACTGCGCTTTGATCTATCAAGGAAAGCCTCGCCTGCGTCGCGAGACAGTGGTGGGTGACTTAACTGTTCGCTCGCCCGCCGTGGACATTCGGACAGTCGGAGCTGGAGGAGGTTCGATTGCCAAGTATATGGACATTACTGAAACAATGAGAGTGGGACCGGAGAGTGCAGGTGCGAGTCCCGGACCGGCCTGTTATCGCAAAGGGGGAGTCGAAGCTACCGTTACAGACGCGAATTTAGTCTTGGGATACCTGCCGGAAAAGCTACTGGGAGGAGAATTCACACTGGATGTTGAGGCTGCAGTCGCCGCTGTTGATACCATTGCTTCTCAAATGAAGCTCACCGTCACACAGACCGCCGAAGACATCATAAACCTCGTAAACGAAACCATGTACGGAGCATTGCGTTTAGTGTCTGTTGAACAGGGCTATGACCCCAAGGATTTTGCCCTCGTTGCATTTGGTGGTGCAGGGCCACTGCATGCCAATGCGGTTGGAAAGCTTCTTGGTGCTTGGCCAGTCATCGTCCCTCCATCGCCGGGAACACTATGTGCGCTGGGCGATGCTACCACCCGGTTAAGCCATTCCCAGTCATCATCCTACATTCGTTTGCTCTCTATGACATTACCCTGGGAGGTGAAAGCCCGATTCGATGAACTTGAAACAGCATGCAGGGCAACTATGCAAAGTTCCAACGGGGGTCATCCTATGGAGCTCAACATCAGCTATCACATCGACCTCAGGTACAAGGGTCAAGCATTGAACTTGACGATCGACTTGCAGAGCGATGACCTATCCCTTGGCCATGAGCCGTGGAAGGCGTTGCTACAGGCAAAGTTCGACCAGTTGCATGAGCAGCAATTTAAATACTGTCTCCCCAACTTTGAACTGGAGCTTATGCGGCTTGAGGTTGTCGCTGTTGACGCCTCTCCAAGCATTGAGCTACCTCAGCTGAACAACGCTACGGCTAATATGCCACCAGCTGAGGCAATGCTAACCAAGAAAGAAATCGTCATTGAAGGCAAGACTCTGGAGGCTACACTCTGGGATCGTGAGAAGCTTAGCTACCAGGGCGTACGAGTTCAGGGCCCTTGCATTATCACTGAAATGGACAGCAATACTCTGATCCTTCCCGGTTGCTATGGAGAGATAGACGCTATTGGCAACATTCTGATCCGCCCAGATGGAGAACTACAGAGAGAGCGACCGAAGGATCAAACGGCAGAAGAGGCTGAGGACACAGTTAGGTCTACCCCGTTGATCCCGACCTTGGTAGCATCTGCTTTGGCCTCCATCAGAAGTGAGATGGACACATTGATGCTCCGTTGTAGCATGTCACCTGCAATCCGCGAACAGCAGGATGAGTTTAATGTGATAACCACGGCAGATGGCAAAATGCTCGTCGGCCAGTTCGGTAGCTTTATCACCCAATTCCTCCGGGCCTGGAGAGGACCCATCCATGAAGGCGATGTTTTCATCACTAATGATACCTACATGATTGAAGGAGCAGTGACACACTTGAACGATGTTATTGTTCTTTTGCCCATCTTCTTCGAGGGTAGCCTGATTGGATGGGCGTCGCAGTTCGGGCATTTAACTGATGTAGGGGGTATGGTCCCAGGAAGCATGTCTATCAACGCTACATCTATTTTCGATGACGGAGTCCAGATACCCCTCATCAAGCTCTACTCCAAGGGGATCATGAACACAGATTTGGTTGACCTCCTCTGTCGCAATTCGCGTCAGCCAGACTGGTACCGGTCAGATCTGATGGCGATCATTGCCGCCTGTCGAACTGCCAACAGCCGAGTTTGCGAGCTAGCGACGCGGTTTGGATCTCAAATCTACCTCGCCGCCTGTTCAGAGCTACTTCTTCGTAATCGTACAGGAATGGCTAAGATTATTGAGACGGACTTTGATGATAAGCCATGTACGTTTACTGATTTCGTGGACGATGACGGCCATGGCGTTGGCCCCTGGGCTCTTACATGCACGATGAAGAAAACCGAAGGAAATCGGCTGTTGTTCGACTGGAGCGGAACCTCACCCCAGAGTGAGCATAGTATCAACTTCTACCTGTCAGAGACGATGTTTAAGATGTTTATCGGTTACTACATGATTGCGGCAGTAGCACCTGGCACCGTGATCAACGACGGCTTCCATGATCTTATCGATATTCATATCCCCGAAGGCACCGTGCTGAAGCCCATTAGACCAGCAGCTATATCTTGCCGCACACATCTTCTGGGCAGGACAATGGACGTAATGCAGGCACTCATCGGCAAGAAGAATAAACTATACGCAGCGGCAGCTGGCTTCAGTGACTCACCACACTTCTTCTACTCTGGATACAAGCCCGATGGAGAGTGGTATCAGTTATACCAGATCGGATTTGGTGGCGTGCCAGCTCGGAATGCAGGCGATGGACTCGACTGCCACTGTCTCTTCCCGGCCATCAAGTCGATCCCTACAGAAAGTATTGAACTGAACTATCCATTACGCATCGAAGCCAACGAGAGTGTCCCAGACAGTGGTGGCCCGGGATACTACCGTGGTGGTAACGCACAACGCACACTCTATCGGTTCCTGTGTCGCGGAGAGTTCAGTCTGCACGATGACCGCTGGTTTACAAAGCCATGGGGAATTCGAGGTGGTAAACCAGGCTCCCGTTCGCGGAAGATCCTATACCGATTCTCGAAGTCTCGAGAAAGTCCCCCGGTTGAGGTACTCCCCTCAAAGTGCGACCACATTCGCGTGGACCCCGATGATCTACTTGAATGGGTGACATGGGGTGGTGGCGGACTGGGAGATCCACTGACCCGGCCTGCAGAGAAGGTCGCCTTGGAGGTTCGCCGGAGACTGGTGACAATCGACGGCGCCCGGAATAACTACGGAGTAGTTGTCAACCCTGATGATTGTAGTGTATGTGAAGAGGAAACTGTGGCTTTGAGAGAGAGTATGAAAGAAGCTCGGAATGCGTTAGGACAGACGCCGGAATACGATCGAGGCGGCTCAATGGAGGAACTGAGAGAATCGTGTCTGAGAGAGACAGGACTTCCTGCTCCAAGCCCACAGTGGGAGCTGGATCCATATGGACCCCACGTGCGACTCCCTTATGTTAGGGACTGGTTTACGCGGATGACGGAGGTGAAAGGATGGGAGTTGAATTGATTGAACTATCGGTCTTTCCGCTGATCTTTGAGGTAACAAACTTTCGTCTCTTCTATATCGGATTGCGAAGCTCGACTATTAGCATCTAGATATATAAATAACAGTGTGCTACAGGAATGAATCATGAGAGGCTCGGCTCGGATTGTAGCATTGCTCCAGTTATCCTGTAAAGAACAACTAGGCATCGTAATAATTACCCTTGAACCTTTCAAGGTACAGATATCGATCTCAGAAGGTGCGAGAGGAAGTGAAATCATACTGCAAGATCCGAGTGTGCACTTGATGCTTGGGTACGGAGGATCCAGACTCTGAGCTGACAGGACCTGACTCGGTCTGAGGGAACATCTTCTCTCCACAACAAACCAGCCACTTACCAAATCAAGCACACTAACTAGTTGTGAGGGGAATTAGCATAGTATTTCCATGCTTATTGGCAAACAGGAGAGAACCCTCGGGTGATCTTGCTCCGAATTATGCGGGGGAAATTGCTTGGCAGGAGAGAGAATGATGCTTAGTTTCCCTTTCCAAGAACTGCCCGCCGGGCAATCCTGAAGCTGTCGCTAGACCGGAGCGAAATAATGCAATTTCACTACGGAAAATTAAAGCACATAACGGCCACCAATGATGTCACTTTGTAGGCTGTTATGTGAACTCTTGTTCGCTCGCTTCCCTGGAGCGGATCTCGCTATGCCTCCTGACCCGAAACTAGCCCCGAGCCTGCTGGCCATCGTACATGTAATGCCTTAACGTGCTAATGCATGGTTACAATGCCCTTGTCCTTGCGCTACCGAGAGATGGGAAATTGGACTAGGTCCTTGGCCCTTTTCTAGCGCCGCATTGAAGTTCCATGCTGGGTATATAAGATGATGAAATGTTCCCTGTGCCTCATAATCGACTACTACGAGTTGAACCTCCTCTCCGTGTTGGTGGGATAAACTCTCTATTGTTTCCACCATGCGACGGCCATCTTTCTGGGTCGCTCTTGGAGCGCTAGCCAGTGAGGTACTCTCACGACCAATGGAGGGCAGGTCGTCCGATACCGTCAAGGTGCACTGGGTCGGCGATGCTCCAGAATATCATGCTGGAACGACGTTCGGCCTTCCGTGGCCCCAGGGAAAGTACAGATCCAACGACACCCAATTTACTATTTCTGGTCAATCAAATGAGCAAATTCCGCTACAGTCTTGGGTAACAGGCTACTGGCGCGATGGCTCAATCAAATGGACTGGGCACGCTATTCCACCGCTTGACACCATTGACAGCGAATATCGCGTCAGCGCCTCGGTGTCGCGCCGACCGGCTTCCAACCATTCCGACACATCGTCTGGATTGAAGGTGACCAACAATGCCGATGAGGTCACGGTTAATACGGGTAAATTGACGGCATCTTTCCCAAAACAAGGAAATATCGTGGTGGGTTCTATCACGACATCGAGTGGTAAGGTAGTTGGGGAAAATGGAAAGCTTGTGCTCCATACCCAGTCTGGAGTGGCGGAGGATGTTTCGGCAAGGGCTAACGCCTCTATCAACTACTTCAATTTTCAAAGCAATGTTGAAAATGTCACTGTCAGCAAGGATAACGCTGTTCGCACTTTGGTCACGGTGAATGGAAAACACCAAACGTCCGGCAGTGGCGATCACGATGACTGGCTCCCATTCGTTCTGCGCTTTTATTTCTACGCCAACTCTGACTCTATAAGGGTGGTTCACAGTATTGTCTTCGACGGAAAATCAGAGGAGGACTTTATTACTGGCCTTGGAATCCAATTCGAGGTTCCCCTGGAGGGCGAGGAGCTGTATAACCGCCATATCCGACTACCCGGTGTGGATGGCGGTTATCTCAATGAAGCCGTTCAAGGAATCACTGGCTTGCGTCGTGACCCTGGCGAGGAAGTCCGCTCAGCACAATATGAAGGCAAAGTAACCCCCAACATCAGCACGTGGGATGAAAGAGTTTCGTCTCGTATGCAGTGGATCCCGGTCTGGAACGATTACAAGCTGAGCCAATTGTCGCCGGATGGGTTTACCCTCAAGAAAAGGACCAAGCCGGGCCAGGCGTGGATCAACATCCCAGGCGGCACGCGATCTTCCGGACTTGCTTACCTTGGTGGTGCCACGCAAGGTGGGCTTGCGATCGGCCTGCGTGATTTCTGGAAGAGGTATCCTTCAGGGTTAGATATTACCGATGCGGGTGCCAACAAGGGCCAGATCACGCTGTGGCTGTATAGTCCTGAAGCAGCACCCTTGGACCTGAGACCATTCCATGATGGGCTGGGACAAGATACCTACGAAAAACAAACTGATGCACTTGAGATCACCTATGAGGATTATGAGCCAGGATTCAACACACCTTACGGCATCGCCAGAACCAGTGAGATCTTCCTGCACGCGTTTGATGCCACTCCCGAGAGCGATAACTTGGCGCTTTTGGGCAGGTATATCAATGAGCCTCCAGTTCTCGTACCCGAGCCCGAGTATATCAAGGACACCAAGGCAGCTGGTTCCTACTGGGCTCTGCCAGACACGTCAAATGAGAAGTCTTCAACGATCGAAAACCACTTGGATTTCCTTGCAAAGTTCTATCAGGGCCAGATTGAGGACCGCCGTTGGTATGGTTTCTTGGACTATGGTGATATCATGCATACCTACGATGAGGACAGGCATACATGGCGCTATGACGTTGGCGGTTACGCATGGGACAACTCCGAGCTATCTCCAGACTTGTTCTTCTGGCAATATTTCCTTCGTACTGGACGAGCAGATATTTACCGGTTTGCCGAGGCATTGACTCGTCACACCGGAGAGGTAGATGTGTATCACATTGGCGACTGGAAAGGTCTCGGGACTCGACATGGTGTTCAGCACTTTGCTGATAGCGCCAAGCAAGTTCGTATCGCTCAGCCTCTGTATAGGAAATACTTTTATTATTTGTCTGGTGGCGATGAGCGAGTTGGCGAGCTCTTGGAGGAGGCGATCGACGCGGATAAAACATACGGAATTCTGGACCCACAGAGGAAGGTGAGGACGGATGGTTGGACCCCAGAGCCTGGCAAGCCTGTTGCATTCTCTCTCGGAACAGATTGGGCTGGCCTCGCTGCTGGTTGGCTGATTGAATGGGAGCGACGCGGGCCTCGTTGGCAAGAAGCCAGGAAGAAGCTAACGGGAACGGCCAAAGGAATCGCCAGTTTCAAGAACGGTTTCGTTACAGGAGAGGGCTTGTACGCTATCAGCAACGGCACACTGCTGCCACCCCCGACTGATCCAAACAATGAGGGCGTTGTGTCTATCTCCCACTTGAACGCTGTATTTGGCATGCCGGAGGTTGTTTCAGAGTTGCTCGAGTATTGGGGTGATGATGCACCAGAAGGCCTAGAGAGTGCCTGGCTTGATTACTGCTACTACTATGGCGCAACGAAGGAGGAGCAGAAAGAGCGCTATGGTAAATCGTTTAGCGGTATCAGTCTGATCCAGGGCCACTCCCGTTTGACGGCGTACTATGCGAAGCATAGCAACAACGTGACCGTGGCTGAGCGAGCATGGAAGGAGTTCTATAACAATACTGACGGTTTTACTGCCGATGAGCCCTGGGTTTCGGAGCCTGTGAATGGAAGCGCTGTGCTCATTCCAGTAGATGAAGCTACATGGATATCGACGAACGCTGTGGCACAGTATGGGTTGGCTGCTATTCAGGACTTGGCACTGGTTGGAGACGCCGTGACACAGTCCCCTTATGGCGTTTAGTAGACTCAGCTATCCCAAATGGAAACACCAGTTACTTGATGATATTGTGCGCTTATAACACTGAAAGTGCTGATCCTCGCCTTCTAAGGAAAAGAATGTTTAAAATATCTTGGCATTTGATCTATCTCTACCCGTAATGGAGACAAATAATAGAATACTCAGGCGCCGAATATGCTAGCCTGAGTTAAACCAAGCTTCTCCATGACATAGTTATAATTACCCTCCGACGCTCGCGTTTTCGGGTGATCCGGGCCCAGTGCCTTCCGATTAATATCATATGCTGCCTTCAACAGGGGGTGAGCATCGTCTAGTCTATCCGCCCTGACATACGCCACTGCTAGATTATTCATGGTGCCCACCGTCTCGGGACTTTCTTCACCAAGGGTCCGGCGAGATAGTTCCAGGGCCCGCTCCAACAAGGCTAATGCTTTCTGTTGTCCATCGGCCGTCCCAAGTGCCTGGTACGTTGATGCTAGGTTTATCGAACACCGAATGGTGGTCTCACTGACTTCGCCCAAACTGTTTGTCGCAAGCTCAAGCGCTTCCTCCTGGTACCTCGCAGCTTTCTCCACCTGGCCTAACTCCCGGCAGTCAACGCCAAGCAAATCCATAGCCATGATCGTTTCAAAGTGGTCTGGACCGAGTGTCTTTACCCGGAGCTCGAGTGTCTTCTCATGTAACCTGGCGGCATCGCCAAACCGACCCTGCTGATGATAGCTATTCGCCAAGTTATTCATGCTCGTCAGGGTCGCCCGAGAATCCTCTCCTTCCACTTTTTTAAATATATCCAATGCTTGCTCCTCAAGACGAAATGCCTCATCGAACCTAGCAAGACCTTTAAGGTCCAGCGCAATATTATTCAAAGCCTTAGCCGTGTCGGTGCGATCTGGTCCAGAGACTCTCAGGCGAGCAGAATGCACTTCGCGGTCTATCTTCTCGGCCTCCTGATACTCGCCATGCTTGCGGAGGTGGTACCCAAGAATTGCTTTTGTTTCTAGCGTATCCTCGTGGTCGGGCCCGTTTTGCTGCTCTGATAGCTGTACGACCTGGTCCAGTTTTGCTCGCGCTTCGGCCCATCTGTTTTCTTCTAGTAGGACATCGCATTCTGCTGTTAGGCTTTGCAGTGTTGGTCCGGCATCTTCCATTTCGCTTGGAGGGGACGTAGGGGTTGGTGAGCTACTCGATTTTGATCTTCTGCACCAACAACCCATCATTAACTTCAAGATAAAGGCTGGTGGTGATGATGGTCAGGATAGAGACCAGTAAGCACTACCTTGGGTAACAAGGATGAAATGTGAGTGGATTTAGTAAGAAGTCAAACTGTATGCTATGTTTCTAGTTGTCTCGATATTATGTTGATGTCTCCCCAGGCAGAACAGAGATATCTTCTCTCGCAAAGCTGATGTATATTGCGATTTGTGAGAACGGAGCAGTGACAAAAACCAAGAAGAAAAGAAATCAAAGGGCAAGAACAGATTCAGCCACAAGAAGCTTCTCTTAAATAGTAGGGAAATGAATACCCTAGGACTTTCACCTATGGTGATCACCTCGTACAGACTGTGCTTGGCAATCGTGCGCCACCAATAAGATAAGTCGATCTAAATCTCCCATTAAAGGGGTTCCGCGGAAATAACGAGACTAGTTACGTGGAATACGAGAGCTAGAACTCGTTCTGTGGACCCATCATTCGAAGATGGCTTAAATGGTAAGATAAAGTTGTAGATCCTCTTTCGTTTTTCTTTTGGTGATTGGTGAAAGGATACCACAGTTCTTCTGGGTAAAGAAAATCTAATTGACTGCTATTGTCCGTAGGTCAAGCACTCCATTCAGCGATTCAGCTAGCTTTTGTCTTAAAAAAAAAGAATGGAACTATTGCTTCGGCCTTCACTGAGGTTCTCAGCCGAACCATTCTATTGCTCAATAGAATCAGCAATAAGTTAGCATTTCGAATGATCTAGACTCTGGTTAACTTTAAACCCCACATAGCTAATTTACTCCACGTTTACCCTGGTGTGTTACTTAGCCTCTAATCAGCTAAAACGTGTTCTAGATAAAAGTAAAGGTATCCAGGGAATCCACCCAGCGATCGCTGGCGACAAGGACGCTGCTAAAGACAACTGCTTCACAAATAATAGAATCAATGGACAATGTGACAGTAGCTCAATGGAAATAATACTATTAGAGCGTTTCATAACCTTGTGTGTACTGTGATTTACTTTTGCTTCTTAATGTCAACAGGCGAATATCAAGAACTCAAAACCCCAAGCGCACAAAGTATGAACATATTCAAGCCGTGATACACCATGAGTATAATCAAGGAGAAGAAAAACAGAGCAGGGATGTTCTACTACGCCACACAATGCTTTGCGAGCTAGAGAAGTGATAGTACTATACATCGCCTTTGCCAGTGGGGTCAACCATAGGAAGTATGATGCTTCACCACTAGTGAGATGACTACGTTACCATGTAGAACAATGCACTCAATGTATTGAGCACTTGTGCTACCATTTGCTTACGTTTGGATTAAGGTATTCCAGTACCAAAAATGCTGCACACCCGGCTTTACTACTTGGTGCTATGAGGCTATGATACCCAGGTTGGGGTTCACAGGATACTTGCCCTAAGATGGATTGTACAGTGAACAGACCGCACACTACGAGTCTACATCAGCTAGCTTCATCTAAGCCCTTCTAGTACAGGCCAGGCCATGTGATAATTCAGAGAAATTCACGATTCATCTAGGTAACGACAGTAGAAAGTAACATCGTTCTATCCATCAAATCACCCCATTCATGACAACCTCCACCTCACATCATGTTCTATCCAATCCATGTCTCCTCATGTCATTCTCACTCTCCAGTGAATTAGGCCTTAGCACAGCTGTCTCCGTTCTTTCCACAGATGACCTGTATCCACGTTAGTCATGTTCAACCCATGCCCCCTATACCACACTAGACACTTACATCGTAGCCCTCGGTTATGCATTGGTACTTGGTGCAGTCTCCCCACATGCAATCGAGCGGGCAGTCGGCAGGACCCAGCGCAACATAGTTGCTGCACATGGGGCTACCGCAAACACGGGCCTCCAGGCGTTCTGGGAGCGCGCTGGCCGTGGCGGTCACGGCGGCAAGGAGGGCGGCGTAGATGAACTTCATTTTGAAGGAAGAATTGGTGATCAATAGTTATCTTCAAAGAAGGATTGGCTGATTGGCTGATTGGAACTGTGCTTTGTTGATGTTGTTATAGATGAGATTAATGTCGTGCTCAGGGGAGAAAACATCCCTTATATAGATTTCTGGAGACGCGAATGTCTCTTAATCGAGGTATATTATTGGCACAATCTGAATCATTTCACAGAGGGCATGATGATCGACTTACTGTCGTACTATGCCATCAACTATCGTATTCGATCAGACGGTACGCCTGATAGACAGTATAGCCCCAACTTGTTGTATAATGCCCAGCTCGCGGCATGACGATCATATCTGGTAAAGGTGGCATGCAGCGCTGCGTGAGCAATCTAATGCATTCTATAGGTACGTAGTATCGTTCGCGCGTTGTGCTGTCTCGGCAAGTGGCATGCTGGTCGGGTGATATAGTAACAAGAGGATAAACCGCGTTCTTTGCTTTCCAATATGGCCACAGAATCGTGAATGTTCATGATAACAAACACAATACCCAAGTAGTTGACTCCTAGTTTAGACAAAGGTATAGCTCCTGGTTCATGTCTGCGTTTCTGTCTCCAATTGAATATCTCCAACTTGTTCGGAATGAAATAAACTCTATACGCGCGTCGCGACTCTAAGCGATGATGATCACTTCGTACGGACAGCGCTTGGCCATTAGGCGCCCGATCGAAGCCAAGGACATGAACTCTCACATTACTGACAAGACTTCAAGACTCCACTCCGTCATTTCGCATCCGGCAAGCTGGTTGCACATCAACTTGCTTTGAGCTATGGTTGGTCCGGTCGGGGGTTGTCAATGACCAATGATCGCCTGTCGCAACGTCCAAACATCTGCATAGCCATCATCGGATAACTGTCGAGGAAGACTCTACAGCACGATTTGCTCCAGGGTAGTCTCCGACTGCAGAGACAATTGTACCAGTCAGTTACATGAAGAAAAACACATCGGTTCGTCTCTTCTTATAACAGTAATGATATTCGGGAGCAGTTGCCAGCGCAGGGCTTGGCGTGAGGCTGTGAAGGAGGAGAAGCCGACCATCCCGCAAAAGATACTCTCTTCAGACAACAACAGAGTGACGAAGACCAGAAGTTATTCAATGCCGTGTATAGGCAACGGGACTTAATCCTTACACAACGCTTGAGAGACGGTGGTGCCCTCGTCGTACGTTGTGGAGACTATTCCTCGTCTACGTGATGCCTGACCCTTCGAAACCCTCTACCACTGTCCAATGGTCGTACATTAGCCTGTTGGAAATCGCTAGACAAGAAGGCTCTTGGTATCTGTGCACAAGGGAGTATTGGTAGGCGTCCAGGCCGCGGTGAATTTCGCGTCAGCTTCCGTACACTAGTTGCTACGAGAGCCATCAAGTTACTCTATGATCCGAACTATTGAATGGTGATAACCATCTCACTTACTATTCTTCCTTTAATAATTCCCCCCAACGGAACTTGTGATTGACCTTACCAGACACAAATGGCATACCAGGTAATGCAAGACCCCGGTTTGGTACTATATTTTCCATTTTTCAGATCAATGCCGAAACTGAGCCTAGTTGTATGATTAACTAATTTCCAGATGACAGGCTCAAGGGATCTGTGACATTAATCTAGAAAAAGACCACCTCTGCGAAGCTCCCCCAACACCTAATTATAAGCAGCAAGCGCCTTCTCAAAAGCAGCCGCAATCTGATCGTTCAGCAATGGCGCAACCGAGGCATACGGCTCCGCCAACTTAGCAACAACAGCCTTCCCCAGGTCCGCCGACAAGTCCTTCTCCTGTTGCAAGTTCCACTTCACTAAGAATGAGACCGACCCGATGCCGAGGAGTCCCGTGTCAAACTGAGGTTTCTTGGAGACAATGTTGTCAAGAGTCGAAGAGATCTTCGGTTGCAGGTCGATAAAGGCAGCGGCCACCTTGTTGGACTCATCGCCGGTGAAGTTCTGGGAATCTTCGGTGGTTGAGATGGCATCTTTGAGCGCATGGCTGAGTTGGATGGACTGGAACTCGATCTTAAGGGCGGTTCCGGTTCCAAGCACTCCGCCTTGGTAACCCGTGACAGTGGTATTCAGGGTTGTCATTTTGTCTGCAATCTCTGCCACGGCATCTACTACGCCTGTGGCATCGCGTTTGAAGAGCTCGGTGGGTGCCGATGTTGCTGTTGTCAGCAGCCCGGCGGCCAAGACGAAGAGACGGTGGAAGTGCATATTGACCAATGATAGGATCGGCTTAGGTCAAGGTGGGAAGGAAGAGTGAGGTCAAGGTGAAAGAGGAGCCTAGGAGAAGATACGCCAAGGTATGGTTCAACACAAGCTTTGAAGACTGATTAACTGTGGAAGAGACAATGCCGCCGTGGAGAATTCCCACATTATATGCTCGAACACCTGAACGCCCCGGTTTCTGCTCGCCTTTAGCCTGAAAAGCCCATCTCCCTGTTTAATCTTAATTTCTCATCTAGTCCTGCTGGCTAGATCCTGGGGATTTCCGAAAGGAGTAATTGATGGTATCCCAATTAATTGTACCCCGCAAAATACATGATTAGCGCGGAATCGCGGCCAGGGTTCACCACGAATCAACGGGGTTCGTGTCGTATAAAGCACATGTCACCACCGGCATCCCGAGGCATTCGCAAATTAACATGGGCAATCCTACCAAGAGTCCACATGTGTTGGGCCTCACCACTGATGTAATTGTAAGACATGCAGGAATCCCCAGCCAACCTGAGATTGAGTTCCAAACTCAATTTTAGGGCTAGCAGTGCAGGGTCACAGATATGGGTCGCAATTTCATCACCCCGGACTATTGCGCAACACTAGTCACTGCCCTGGTCGGACGCCGTCGGAACTGAAGGACTCGAATCCTAGTGCGTCTACTCAGGTCTCGTTGGGCAGTACCCAGAAAATGACGGAGTCCTTCACTCTTCGAGGAGTCACGTACACCGAAGCATTCCGTCAGACGAGACTGATCAGTACAGATTTCATTAATAAGTAGAGTTCTGCCCAGATCATATTGCCCTTGCATTAGTCTCATCAGCCATTCGATGTGCCGAGGCCATGTCAGCTGCTTTGATCAATTCTGCGGCGGTCAACACGTCTCTTCTGAGATCAGCAGGATGCCATCCCACCGGGTGCATGATTCAGTAAGTCCTAACCTCTACTCGTCACCTCCCGAGCATTAAAAATACTGTCCTATTCTTATTATCCTGCGTTTACCTTATACACTTTGTGGACTTTGCTCTTTCATGGCAACTTGCTGGCGTATTTCGTCACTCGGCGTTAGGAGATTTTATCCGACTGGATGACAATCACCTACTACAGAAGGAATTCACCATTAAGTTAAATTCGCAAAAGCGCAATTCATTCATATAGCACTTAAAAGCCTGGACACCTGAATAGCATTTGGTATGCTGGAAGGATTGTTATGAGCTCATGGTGCCCCATAGTAGTAATAGGAATATGCCTGGTCAAGCCTTCCTGCTTTCATGTCTTGTCCCTGGGAAAGCAATGTTAGCGAAGAGATCTTTGAAGGCCGTGATATCTTACAAGACGGCCCAAAAGGTCAACAGTCATGATGGTATCATCTTCCATCCACCCATGCTGCCGGTCTGCAATAGGACCAGTCGGAAAAGTCTGGGAGCGATCGAAATCTATCCAGAGCACACGACCTGTCTCTAGCTGAACCATCATGTTCCGAGGATATGGATCCCCGTGGTGAACCCGTGCTTCATGAATCTTTCGAAGGGTTTGAATAAGTGTGGCGGCACGGTCTTCCGTATACGTTGTGATATCTATTTTTTGCATATTCGAAACATATTCCAGCAGGATAGCGCGGGTGGGCGAAGCTCATCCTGCAGAAAGCCGTTTAGATGCGGTCAGCATTGATCTGGATCAATCTTCTCGATAGAACCGTAGAAATCTGGGAGTATCCCTTGTTCGCATAGCCCTCGTTCCTTAAGGCGAGTATAGGCTGCGTGTTCGCAGATGAATGGGTCTATCTCTCTGTATGTAGGATCCCAAGGTCGCTTTTCCAAAGAATGATACTAGAGCGTTCAGAGAAGGTTAAACTAATGTGAAGGCGTAATATCTGTCCACACTTACCACTTTCATTATACAAAGTCGTCCTCGTAGAGATACTTGGAATATACTGGAGGTTTCTGATTCTTTTTCGCACTTGATGAAAGCAATGTCGTGGATAGTGAACCCCATGGTGGCAATATTGATGCTCACTGAGCACTTCTCAATCATCAATAGCCACTGCTGCCGACGATAGATTTCGTCTCAAGGTGTGGCTGTGAGTTGCCACAGTAACACAGAGGTGCGACAGGCTACCGTCTGGCATGCCTAGTCTATGGTAACCTAGTTGTGCAAAATACCTTTATACAAAATTCATGTTACTATTCTATGTGCCCCAAGTCGCTCACCTTTTCCGCCACCACGACTTGTAGGGCCTGTCTGCTCTATGCACCGCCCCCTTTATATGTACATCATACCTGTGCTTCTCAAAGTTCCACCAGAGTGCCCAGCCTCCGAGAGTCACTGCTGTGAGCGGGACTGCTGTTGCCCAATAGATCCAAAATTGAGATGACACTGCTGAGCTGCCATCGGAAGGGACGCTTTTCCAGTCAAACATGTCCATGGAGAACAAAGTCTATATATGTTATAACACGTATCATTAGTTGATCCTTGTATTCTACAAGGACTAAATACATACCGCGATAAATGTTCCCGGAAGAAATATAGTCGTGATAAATGCTAAGATCTTCATGGAAGTACTGTCCCTCCCCGTCGATGCGGCGAGGCGTGCGTTGAGTCGATTATCCGACTGGGCCACGAAACTGTACAACTAGTCAAGAGTCAATAACAAAGCTCTTTTTGGATCTATGAAGTTAGATTTAATCGCACCACATCGAGCTGAAGCTCCATCCGAGACTGAAGGCACAGCACATGGTCCTCGATGGATTTGGCGAGGCATATATTGTGCTCGATTAATTCTCTTATTTGGTTGTCGCGCAAATGCTGGCCGCACCATTCTCCAGGAGATTCATTTATGATGTTTAATAGAAACTGTGACGCCTCATAGTTCCACTTCGGAGAGCGCCTCGTAAACAGTATACTTGTTAGTTTCGAGTTAATGGAAACCGTAAGAAAATGCGTCTGGGATCTATCAACGGGTATTCCCAAGTTTAAAACATCTGCATCTTTAGATTGAAGCCTTCTATTTGCTGACCCCCGAAAACGTGGCACCTGGTTCCTCCGGCCCACTGTGGTGACGCCAAGATGCTCTTCGATCACCATGACCTGTTGGGTCAGAGGTCCTGCGCAATATTGTTGTAATCGCTTCAGGTGATCGGTGAGAACGATGCATGGCAATGTGAGAGGATTGGTCCACATTTCAGGAGACTGGGCAAGACTGGTCTGGATAGTTCTGCCGGGGAATTGACATCTGAATGGCAGTTCGGAACCATAGTCATCCATTGATGGAAATCGATTGATGATGTCTTCGCCCGCGAGGAGAGCTGTGGTCCATTGTGATGTAGTATCATGCGTGAGAGAAAGCATGTAATTGGCGATCTCGTACTTCTGAGGGGCTTTGAGGATAATAGCTTTGTTATATTAGTCATTTACCTGGTATGATGTGCAAGAAAGGACCGCTATACGCACATGTTCGATCTCCCTGCTGCCCTGTAGACCTGGAGTAACGCGAGAAGACCCCACCACTTACTTCAAGGGCTGATAGGGTGGCTGGATGAAGTCCAAGCATTGCTTCCACTAAACCGTACTGCTCGGGGGACATTCCGAGCGAGGCGCGCTCGAATAAAGTGTAGTTGCATATCAGTAATCTAATCCCCCCATTCGGCTCTTCAGAAAGGGGGTAATTAGGGACCGAGAAGTCTCCCGTCTGTTGCAGCCATGCTTTGAGTTGCGAGTTTTCCAAGCATCCATAGCGAAAGTTCCAAGATGACACCTCATTTACCTATCGAATTCCATCAGCCACACAATCTATCAAATAGCAAGGCTGATATTCGGCTAACGTTAGGGAAACTCCAAGCCTCGATAAACTGGAACCCCAATGGATTCCACTCGATGCTTCTCGCAGTTTCATCCTTGTGGAACTGGAACATATTCGTAAGAGATATCTATACGCTCACAGTATGATATTTGCCAAGTTTGGCGTGGTTTGCAACCATCAGGTCACATGGAAAATCTGTAGGGAGAAATCAAACGAAAGCATCTAGAACGAGTGCTATTCAATATTGCATCAGTTTGCATAAATCGGTGGCTGGTTTAGCTTTACTACTAACCAAACTCGTACTAGTTCAAAAGATAATCTTTGAGTCTTTGTTTAAGGGGTCAATATATTGGCCTCATTGGTATACAATTACCGGATGTCCTTTCGACGTATTAAGCATCGCGCAAAATACAGTCGTCGTTTACATGTTATGGGCCACAAACATATGTGTTTTGTCTAGGGTTTCACTTCATCGTGCCCTATTCAGACAGTGCCCGTCAGAAGGTAGCGGCACTTCATGTATTTTCAACTTTATCCCCCACTATAATATGAAATAGATCATATATGAAACCCCCAAATAGATATTTCCGCGGGTAGTGATAGGGTCTAAGGCTGGCAGGATAGTATGACGCCTATTAGCTGAATTCGCCATCTTGATTCATGAGGTTTCAAGGCTTCAGTAAATCTTATATGACAGATCGTAGAGTTGAGGACTCAGCCTTGTCTTGGCGTCCCTGTGCGTAAGCGTACATAAAGCAGTAAACTTCCCAACCTGACAGATTCGAAGCACGAGCCCGAGCACAGTTGTCCCATCTTTTACCCACTTCACCTGGGTCTTCCGAAAATCGCGCGGTTTTGCATCAGATTCATCTGCGAGACCAAGTCTCCTGGCTTTTGGAAACCCATGATACCACTGTCGTGAACTAAGGTCATTGGCCTTCTCAGCCTCGCGACTAGATCTGACATACCAACCCTGATATCACGATCACAGACTCTACATATAGACCCGCATCTGCTGTATAAAACACAAAGTGTTTATTTGAATCATGCGCTTGCTACATACAAAGGAAAGCCGTACGGGCAAATTTGAGGTTTTAGAATTCACGGACGACAGAATCCCACCCTATGCGATCTTGTCGCATACATGGGAGGGCGAGGAAGTCACCTTCCAGGATATGTACGCAGATGCAGTTCATACTAAACAGAAAAACGGATATAATAAGGTTCAACGGTGTTGCCATCTCGCTAGGGCCGAAGGCTTCGAGTATGTTTGGATAGATTCTTGCTGTATTGATAAGACAAGCAGCGCAGAATTATCTGAAGCCATCAACTCGATGTACCGGTGGTACCAGGAGGCTGAGGTATGTTATGCGTATCTCGCGGACGTACCGTCTAGGAAGGGCTTTAAAGAGAGCAGGTGGTTTACGAGGGGATGGACTCTTCAGGAGTTAATTGCGCCCACGAAACTTACTTTCCTTGATGAAGAGTGGACGGAACTAGGAAGCAAGGCCGATCTTCAACAGGCTATCTCGGAGTGTACACGTATCCCGATTGGTGTTCTCTCCGGGGTTGACGATATTGAATCCTTCAGCATCGCCCAAAGGATGTCTTGGGCGGCGGAAAGAGTAACGACCAGGGTCGAGGATCGGGCCTATTCCCTCCTCGGACTATTCGGGGTTAACATACCACTGATCTACGGAGAACGAGAAACGGCATTTATCAGACTGCAAGAGGAAATCATGCGCATTTCCGATGATCACAGTCTCTTTGCATGGAGGTCGCCTGACAATCGTGGTGGTCTTCTTGCGACCTCTCCAGCTGCTTTTATGGGTTCTCATAATATTGTGCGATTCAATCCTTTTGATCCTTTCAATACCCCGTTTGCCGCAACCAGCACTGGGATCGATCTGAGAATTCGCTTCATGGGTATTGGTCCCCGAGGACTGGGGCTTGCGATACTTCATTGTAAGGAGGAGGGCGGGGGAGAAAGATTGATTGCTCTCTACGTGAGAGATTCTGAATTCTTGACAATGGAGCGATTCGAAAGAGTTCACAGCGAAGACTTCAAGCGGCTTGATCTTCGTAAATACCGACCCTCGCAATACCCGATGCGACAAATGATCATTCAAGCAGGCCGCCTAGCACGTCACCGAAAATCAAAGGTCCGGGGGAGGTGTGACAGCATCACTCCAGATATTTACCCTGATGCTACACTAATGGCACTTATGGGATTTGGAGAGCCTTCTGCACTATTACAAGCAGCGGAACGAGGGCTCCAGGACGAAGTATGGTTGCTGCTAACCCGCAGCGATATTGAGGGGAACCGGAGGGGCCCAGACGGACAAACTCCGTTAATGCACGCGGCCCGAAACGGCCATGAAACAGTTATCAAGATGCTAGCTGCTCGACGCGATGTTATCGTAGACTCAAATGACGACGAAGGAAAGACGCCATTGTGGTGGGCAGCACAGGCTGGACACGAGGCCACCGTCAAAGTGTTGGTTGAGAAAAGTGTCGATATAGATGTTAGGGATAGAGCGGGATGGACGCCATTAGCCATAGCATCTGAGAATGGACATGGAGGAACAGTTGGGATACTACTTGACAAAGGTGCTGCCATTGAGGTGCAGAGTCCGAAATTTAAGCAGACGCCATTACTAGCTGCCGCTCGGAATGGGCATGACGGGACAGTCAGGGTACTGCTTGAAAAAGGCGCAAATA